AAGGGCAGTCGAATGATCATATTATGTATTTAACATAAACTTGTAAACCGAATCGTTGAATGATGGATAGTTGGTGTTGCAGTTGGTAACGGAAGAGGTAGGTTCCCAACAGGAAGGGGTGGAATGTATCGCAATGACAGCTTCAGAGGGGCCCGGGGGAACTACGGTGGAGGTGGTAGGGGTTTTGGTGGAAGACCGGAATTTAACAACAACAACAACAACAACAGAGGTGAATATCCCACTGGTAGGGGAAGGGGTTATCCAAGTGGTGGCAGAGGCGAAGGTTATCAACAAGTTAGAGGTAGAGGCGGCCGTTCAGGTGGAGCAGCTAGGCAACCAAATAGTGCTAATGCCTCGTGAAAACTCCCTATTTCTCACTGTGTTGGAGTTTTCATTCCTCAACTGTTCATCAATTGTTCATCCCGTGGGAGTAAGTAAGCGTCCTTGTTTTCCCCATCTATTAGAAATATAAATGTACAAGTGTTTTGGGTATTCCAGAAATGGATGACCTCTAGATTTCTATACCAGCATGGTTGTTTGCCATAGTGGGGTGGGAGTCCCATTTTGTAGGCTTTAGAATTAGGAGTAGTAGCCATGCAGGCGTGGGGAACATACTCAACTCATCGGAAGTTCTTATTCCGATGTCGGCTGTTCGGTAGATTTTTGGATGTTGATCTTGATAGAGAAGAGGTAGTATTATCTGGGTAGTATTATCGAGTTGAATTGCAGGTTATGGCAATTTGTCTGGGTTACCACCATTTCTTTGTTTGGAAGTGATGGGTGGACTATTTTGTGGGAATTTCAATGAATCCAAAATTCAAATGGTTTACTATGACTATCTGGAGACTGGAAGTGACAGTGAATGTTAAAAGTGTTTGAATTTGTCAAGCCTGATAAACTCTCTATGATACTGTTGTTCAACAATGGCGTCTATTAGGGAGGCCCTGACGAGGGAGAAGATCTCAGAAACGCGGCAATGAGAATGTTGTTTGAACTTGTGGTTTAAGAATGTTGTTTGGTTGTTTTGTACTCGATCGTAAACATGCATTTGAACGATTATGTAGTTAATTCAGTAATGTTGCAGTTTGTTGAATTTTATATTAAATATGCCTATTTAGTTTATTCAGATTTGTTATCCGGTATATTCTGGTTTTATTCCGGTATTATTCCGAAACGGTATCCCGAATCTGCCGGTACGGTTTTTTAACAAAAAAAATATTATTTAATTAGAAAAACGGTATTTTGCCGGTACACAACAATTGAACTATGATAGTACCACAAAATACCCGACCACTAGCGGAGCCGGTATGACTTCCGGTACGATTTTCTTTACCATGTCTGTAATTCTTCCGAATTACGAATAGTATTCAAATTCCTCGTTTTTCAATTATCTAAAGCATTCGCTAAAGGGTTGAAGGGAGATAGTGCATCAAGCTGTTCGCAAAGGGTAAAAAGTGGAATTTGTGCTTGTGGAAATTATCGAGTAATCGGAGATGGAAAAGAAAACCCAAAGTTTTGTGAACAATGCGGAGTTGAATTTGTTGATTCTCGGATACGAAGGTATCAAATGGGCTACATCAAACTGGCATGTCCGGTAACTCATGTGTGGTATTTAAAGCGTGGTTGTCAGCAGATAAGCGTGAGTCTTTTGAAATTGTTGTACTGTCCTTTGAAGAAATCCCGACCAATGATATTAATTATTTTTAGTCATCAAACTTGAACTTCTTAATAATCTAAGTCACCAACCTTGAAATTTACCCGACAATAAAATTAGAAAGAATTGACGGTTCAAAATGTGGGATACCCTAAAGTTAACAAGAAGAACTTCCCGCGCGAGAGGGTTCTAGGTGGGCGTAGAGGCGAGGATTTGGCGCCAAGAATTCAAGTTTGGAAAAGAGAAGTGAGGCGGGTTGCAAAACAGGCCAGCCACGCACCACGTAGGCCCAACAATCTTCTGGTGTGGACACGAACGCCCAACATCCCTGCTCATCTGGAACTCTCTACACCACAAAACACAATACAATACAATACAATACAATACAATACATGCACTTTCCCAGACCCCAGCCAGCAAGCTTACTCCAGAAGCCTCCTGCCCCGTCTTCTTGAACTTGGAACCGCACGCCACGCCACGCCACGCCTTTCTCATTCTCATCACCGACTACCAAGCTTTATATAAACCCCCTAAAGCCGCCGAACCTTAGAGATGGATCATCATATGAAAGAAGGCTCATCGCCGTCATCGGAAGGGTGGATGATTTACGAGAACGAGGGATCCCGGACGCCTGACCGGGCCGAGGATCGTATCCCGGAGCAGGGACGCCTGTGCCCACCGCCGCCGCCGAGGAAGAAACGAGCGTCATTTATGCTGGACAAGAAGAAGAGGCCGACGGTGCCCAAGGAAGGTTACTTCAACCCTCCCGACCTCCACCTTCTCTTCACCAGCCGTCAACCGACCATCTGACTCGACTCGATTAGCTCGCTCCGCCGGCTAGGCTATAATTAACTTGTTAATTAAGCCGATGGCCGGCGGATGAAGTTAAGTAGTAGTGTTGAATATTGTTGATGTATAGTATATTCTTCTTTCGGCTTCCTACTTCCTGGCTAGCTACTGTTTTTCAGGATATGTCTATATGTAGGAGTGACTAGCTAGTGAGTGGTTAGGACTTAGGCGTATGGTGTGGTATGATCGTTGGTACGGCGAGCGGCGACGCCGGCCAGTTTTGTAATTATAAGTCAGTCGGACGATTTAGTACTAAAAACTAATCGATTTTTCTACCACGCGGATGTTAATTGGGATTTCCCAGTCCTTCTGAATTTTTGATGAATCATAAGAGGATTTCATTGACGAAAGGAAATGGGGAACCAAAAGAAAAGATACATAAACAGAAAACGGACTCAAGCCCAAAGACTGTGCCAATATTCAGTGGGCTTCTCCAAAAGAGAATGTAATCATGCGGTCCACCTCATACAAAGCATGTGAAGTTTTGGATAGCATCAGAATTTGGTGGAAGAGCCCGCAAAGGAGCTCATTTGCCTCAAGGGCAGTATATATACGAAGCCAGAGACAGCTTCCTGTACAAGGGGTCTAGTCAGCATATTTACAACGGTAAAATAAACTAACTATCTTCTAACTACCAATCAACAGAAGACAGGTGTGTATAAACTAACTAACTCCTAAGAACACTAAATGGAACGGCGTCGTCTGCTCCCAGCTCTTCACTTGCTTCTGGTTGAAACGATGTTGTGCCACCAGCTCGGTAGTGTTCTTGCCTTAGATAAAACCAGAGCAGCTACATCGTCTTCTTCAATACGCCCCTTCAAGCTGACACATACATATTATGAATGTTCAGCTTGGACAGAAGATACAAAAGACGATGCCTGCTTAGTCCCTTCGTAAACATATCTGCAACCTGATTCTCTGTTTCAAGATGGCTGAGATGAATGAGCTTGGACTGAAGGAACTGTCTGACAACATGACAATCGACCTCAATGTGTTTCGTTCGTTCATGAAACACAGGGTTTTCAGCGATGTAAATGGCTGATCGATTGTCACAATAGACTTCTACAGGTCTTGGATGTTCAATGTGTAGCTCATGTAGAAGTCTCTTCACCCACACAACTTCACAAGTAAGCTGAGCAAGAGCTCTATACTCAGCTTCAGAAGATGATCGAGAAACAGTGCCCTGTTTCTTCGACTTCCAAATAATCAAAGATCTTCCCAAAGAGACACAGTATCCTGTTGTAGAACGCCTAGTATCTGGACAAGACGCCCAGTCTGAGTCACTGTAGCCTCTGAGCTGTAAATCAGACTTGGAAGGATAGAACAAACCCTGTCCTGGGGCATTTTTAAGGTACTTCAAAATCCTGTATGCAAGCTGCAAATGATTAGAGGTCGGAGCAGCTTGATACTGGCACAATTGTTGAACTGCAAAAGTGAGATCAGGACGTGTAATGGTGAGGTAATGTAAACGTCCAATGATCTTCCTGAACAAGGTTCCTTCATCTTTCCCCAGTAATGGACCATCATCAGAGGACAACCTGGTTTTCATATTAATGGGAGTGATAACTGGCTTTGAATCAGCATAACCAGTGTCCTTCAACAGGTCAATGCAGTACTTCTTCTGGCAAATGTGCATACCCCCCTTTGATCGAGCAATCTCAAGCCCTAAGAAGTAGTGTAGATTGCCAAGATCACGGATTTTAAACTGAGAATGCAGAAATTGCTTGAGAGCAGTTATGCTGTGAACATCATCACCTGCAATGATGATATCATCAACATAAACTAAGAGGACAGAAGTTCCAGAGGAGTTGCTATGGTGGATAAACATAGAATAATCACTGTTAGACTGTGTGTATCCAAAGCTGAGAAGGGCAGATGTGAGTTTAGCAAACCACTGTCTCGAGGCTTGTTTCAAGCCATAAAGAGACTTTCTTAGTCTGCAGACTTGGCCAGAATCAGAAATGCCAGGAGGGAGATCCATGTAAACCTCTTCTTCAAGGTCTCCATGAAGAAAGGCATTACTTACATCTAATTGATGTAATGCCCAGTCCTTAGCAGAAGCAATAGCCAGGAGTGTTTTGACTGAATTCAGTTTGGCAACAGGTGAGTAGGTGTCAAGAAAATCCACACCATAAATTTGAGTGAAACCTTTGGCTACCAATCTAGCCTTATACCTTTCAATACTACCATCAGGGTTGAACTTGATAGTGAATACCCATTTGTTGCCTATTGGCCTCTTCCCAGGTGGGCAATTAACCACATCCCATGTATGATTAGCTGCTAGTGCCCTTAATTCTGCATTCATTGCATCTCTCCAGCATTTGTACTTCACTGCCTCTTCAAAGGTTGTTGGGATAACTGTTGTTTCTACTGCAAACACATACTTCTTATATCCATATGATAACTGATCATAGGATAAGCAAGCAGCCAATGGATATGTATACTTGTCAATGTGTGATGATGATGCATGCATAACATAATCATTGTATCTTACTGGTTTAACTGGAACTCGGGTAGGTTTGCGAAGGGCAATGGGAACATTAGTAGAAGGAGAATGGGGTACTGCAGCAATTGGAGGAGAAGGAGAGGAAGTGGAAGGAGAAGCTGGAATGGGAGAGGTAGGCTCAGGTATAGGAGAAAATGAAATTTCTGGTTCTGGTGTGACAGGAATTGGTGTTGTTTGAACTGGATTGGTGATGTTTGAATGAGGTTGAGGATTAAAAATGGCAGGGATTGGATCAGGCTGTGTGTGGATGGTTGGAACATTGTGTGTAGGGTTGGAAGAAGTTGAAGGAGGATTTTGGTCCAGACAAGGAATGATGTTTTCATGGAAAACAACATCTCTAGAGTAGAACACTTTCTGGTCTAACAAGTCAAACAGTTTGTATCCCTTAATTCCAGGTTGAAAACCAAGGAAAACACATTGTTTAGCTCTGGGGGAGAACTTGGTTCGATTATGACCTAGTGTACTTGCATAACACAGACATCCAAATACCTTAAGGTTGGAAAGATCAGGGGGACTACCATACAATATCTCATATGGGGTTTTGTTTTTGAGAGGAATGGTAGGCAGCCTGTTAATCAAGTAAACATCATGTAAGATGAAGTCTGACCAGAACTTTAAGGGTAGTCCAGATTGGAATTTGAGGGATCTAGCCACATTAAGGATGTGCTGGTGTTTCCTTTCTACCCTAGAGTTCTGTTGGGGAGTCTCAACACAGGACATTTGGTGTGTTATGCCATGAAGGGAATAGAAATCTGGGATATGGAATTCTGCACCTTGATCTGATCTCACAGTTTTAATATGTGCAGAATATTGATTTTGAACCATAATGCAGAAATCCTGTAACAACTGTCTAGCTTCACTCTTTAACTTCATCAAATAAACCCACACACACCTAGATTTATCATCCACAATAGTAAGGAAGTACTGAAATCCATTGTAACTGGAAACAGCCAAAGGGCCCCAGATATCAACATGAATGAGATAAAAAACATGTTCTGCCAAGGATTGGCTTGAAGAGAAAGGTAAACGTTTCTGCTTTGCCAAATGACAGACATCACAATGAAGTAAAACTTCAGTTTCTATACTAGGAATGGACTTTTGTAACTCTTTAGTACGCAGCAAAGATGGGTGGCCAAGCCTCCAATGCCACAAGTCAAATGACTGAGATGTAAGGTTTGGTGTCTTGATCGAATTCACAAGTATGGATGTGTCTTCTGTGTGAGTGATAATTTGGTAAAGGCCTCTAATCTGACGGGCAGAACCAATCCTCCTCTGGGTGAATAGGTCCTGGATATCACATAGGTTGGATTTAAAGGTAAGTGAGACTGGTAGAGTTCTGGTAAGTCGACTTACAGAGACTAGGTTAAAGGAGAATGCTGGCACAAATAAAACCTCATGAAGCACAAGGCTATTAGAAATTGAAATAGTTCCAGAATGTGTGGCAGGTGACTTGGAACCATCAGGAAGGGTTATGAAAACACTCTTGATAGGCTTATATGTATCAAACAAGGATAATGAGCATGCTACATGATCAGTGGCTCCTGTGTCCAGGAACCACACATTGACAAGTTCCAAAGGATGCTTAAGGAAGTATGTGCTCAAAGTAAGTTTACCTGAGAAGTTTGGATTAACAGACAGGTGCCTAGTAACAGAGTTCACCATGGGCTGAGATTGTTGGTTTTGTTGAGGTTGAGATCCAGGTGACACAGGTGAAGTAGGAGACTATGGTGGACTGAACTGATTGAGTAGTCTTTGAAGCATGCTCAGGTCATCAACAGACAACCTAATATTTGTGAAACCATCCCCAGCCTCAGGTGAACTCTTGGTTTCTGGCTTAGGAAGTATACCACTTCCTTCAGTGCTCTGAATCTGCCCTGCGAATCCAGATGATCCTCCTGATTCTTTGAGAGAATTCTTCCTTTTGAGTCTATAGCAATCTGCTATAACATGGTTGTCCTTCTTGCAGTAACGGCAAAACAAGTTCCCCTTAGCAGCATCCTTTCCTTTGTTCTGATTTGCTGCTAGCAATGCCACTGAATCTAATTGAGACTCAGGATTGGGCTTAACCAATTGCCTCTCATGCTGGATGGCATAATGAAATGCAGTTTCCATGGCTGGTAATGGACTCATCATAAACAGATTGGTTCTCACCCCCTCATATGAGTCATTTAAACCCTTAATGAACCTGATCACAAATTCATTCTCTCTATACTTCTTCATGGTAGTCTCAGTAATACAAGGAACTCCAGCATTTGCTATTCCAGCACATTCACAACTAGGAATAGGCAAAAACTGACTTATCTCCTCCCAATATCCCTTCAATTCAGTATAGAACTGGTTTACAGATCTATTACCTTGCCTAGATGAGTATAAGGCAGTCTGCAGATCTGAAATCCTGATGTTATCAGCACGTCCAAAGCATTGCCCAGATCTTCCCACAGCTGCCGTGCATTCTCAATGGTAGAGACAGAATCGACTAGGCTTGAGTCAAGAGAACCCAGAATCATGAACAACACAGATGTGTTGCTCTGTTCCCAAGCTGGGTAGGACTCGCTCAACAGATCTGGAACAGGAATTGACCCATTTATAAATCCCAGCTTGTTCTTGCTCTTCAAGGCCACACGAACTGTCCTGCTCCATAAGCTGTAATTTGAAGCTCCAGTGAGTTTGATTGGAAAGACGAGGGACTCATTAGGGTTGATGTAGTAGGGACTGGTGACTGTAGGTGCCACAGTAAGAATGGTGTTTGGGTTTGTAGAAGAAGGATTGGTAGAATCATCAGCGGCTGTAGTTGCCATAGTTTGATGATGGAATTAGGTGAGGAAGAATGCGGGTGAAGGTGAAACCCTAGTTGCTTGAGCAACCAGGATCTGATACCATGTGAAGTTTTGGATAGGATCAGAATTTGGTGGAAGAACCAGCAAAGGAGCTCATTTGCCTCAAGGGCAGTATATATACGAAGCCAAAGACAGCTTCCTGTACAAGGGGCCTAGTCAGCATATTTACAACGGTAAAATAAACTAACTATCTTCTAACTACCAATCAACAGAAGACAGGTGTGTATAAACAGTAAAAACGGAAACTCCTAAGAACACTAGATGGAACGGCGTCGTCTGCTCCCAGCTCTTCACTTGCTTCTGGTTGAAACGATGTCGTGCCACCAGCTCGGTAGTGTTCTTGCCTTAGATAAAACCAGAGCAGCTACATCGTCTTCTTCAATAAAGCAAGCAGGGCAGATGGGTCTTGGACTCAGTTTTAAAGGGAAACGAGACAAAAGGTAAATATTCCAAGTCGAAGATCCTCATCAACATAGAATAGCAAGCCAACAAATATCAAACCAACACCAATAATGCACAAGAAGCAAGATCAATTGGTTATACATAATACACAAACCACGCTGCTTTGCTCTGGAGCGAGAAAGAAAGAAAGAGCAATCACCAATGGCAAACACACCAGCTCCACACATTCTTGTCATCCCATTCCCATCCCAAGGCCACGTAATCCCACTAATGAAGCTCTCTGTCTGCCTGGCGACCCAATTTGGGTTCAGAATCACATTCCTCAACTTGCAGTCCAAACAAGTCAACGATGGGAATCCCATCATACGCATGGTTCACATCTTTGAAGGCGAAGGGAACAACAAGTCAACACAATCGGTGCAGAGTTTGATGCCTGGTAGAGTCGAGGAGCTGATTGACCAAATGAACGCCACGGGAAGCGACGCCATCACCTGCGTACTTGCCGACCAGACCAATGGATGGGCTTTTGAGATCGCAGTAAAGAGAGGGATCACAAGGGTCGGGTTCTGCCCTGCCGCTGCTGCCATGGTGGCCGTGCAGTTCAGCATCCCGAGGCTCATTCGAGATGGGATCATCGATCAACAAGGTTAGAATTAGAATTACACTTTTACAAACATTCCCCTTACCATCACAGATACATACCCAAATTTTGCTTTCCACAGGCGCTCCAACCAAAGATGACCAAACGGTCAAACTCGCACAGGAAATGCCAGCACTGAGGCCGTCGGAGTTCGTATGGAACTGCTTCGGCGACGACAATACTAGGAAGCACATGTTCGAATTGGTGCTCAGAAGCACAGAGTCAATGAGGTCGGCGGATTGGTTGCTGTGTAACTCGGCTCACGACATCGAGCCCGGTTCGTTCGGTTCGATCCAAACCCTCTTACCGATCGGCCCCCTCGGATCGATACCCTCATCATTTGGAAGCTTAGAAGGAGAGGAGGATCAAGTGTTGTTGAATTGGTTGGATCAACACCCGCCCGATTCGGTCATTTACGTTGCATTCGGAAGCACCACCCTGTTCGACCCATCCCAGCTCGAGGAACTCGCGCTCGGGCTGGAACTCACGAACCGCCCATTTTGCTGGGTGGTTAGGCCCGACCACATAACCCCTGAGATAGAACCAGTTCTGGATAGAGTGGGTGGGCCGGGGAAGAAACAGGGGAAAATAGTTAGTTGGGCGCCTCAGGAGAAAGTATTGGGGCATCCATCGGTGGGTTGCTTCGTGAGCCACTGTGGGTGGAATTCCACCATGGAAGGGTTGGCTAGTGGAGTCCCGTTCCTTTGCTGGCCTTACTTTGCGGACCAATTTCTGAATGCGAGCTATGTCTGCGACGTTTGGAAGGTTGGGTTGAGGCTTGAGAGAGAAGACGGGAATAGGATGATGGTGGTCACCAAGGAGGAGATTAGGAAGAAGGTGGATCGGCTGGTTGGGAGTGTAGAGCTGAAGGAGAGGAGTTCGGAGATTAAGAGGATGGTGAGGGATAGTGTTGGAGAAAGGGGCAGCTCGACCCAGAATTTGATGAAATTTGCGGAATGGGTTAGAGGTTTGTGATTTTTTTTTAAGTAAAAGTACCGGAGAAATTAGGATTTGGTTTAGTGGTAATATCATTTACCATTTCATTCGAATTATCATGATCTTAAAAACGATTAGGAATTTTATTTAGTCTATCTCCACATCATATATATGATAATTTATTGGGATTCAAAATCTAAAATATGATTATCGCATAACTTATTACTATGATATAAGGAAGCTACCAAGTTGAGGATTTGGATAAGAAATATTTGTTGATATTAATGAGATTAGGGTGCGAACACTTAACTATTATATATATACTAGCTTTTACCCGACCCGTTGGTCGGAGGAAATTCGTTTTATTTTGTATTATTTATGTTTATCAATTTATTTATATATTAAATGCATTGGAATTATTTGTATAGTTTTTACTTGATTGGAAAGTAATATTATGTTACTTGTTCTTATTACTCGTAATGACTTCATAGTTTATAAGGTCATCCTATCTTATTCTTATGAGTCTTATCCATGCAATTTTCATATTTTAGAAGTGACGGTCATCCTATCTTTACTCTTATCCATGCAATTTTCATATTTTAGAAGTGATTTTTGTCGTTACCACGAAAATTAAATGGTTCAAAAAGGTATTTATTCATAACATTTGATCTTATTAACTTGATAGATATTACCAACATATTATAACTTCAAATACATTAGTTATTGACCCCAAATTATAGTAATAAAATATGAAAGTATCAAAGAAAGAACTTTCTAGAAGTTAATTAAAATATTACAACAATTACTATAATCTACCTAGTCAATAATTGAGTGCAACCCCAAATTTACCTTTGATCACACGGACAATCTTAGACATTGAAATAACCCAAATCAACACCGATGCGGATGGCAAAAATATCCGTAACCGTGAATATCCGCCCGAATTCGGCCTAATTGGGTAGGGTAGAACCCGAACCCGAAGGACATTTAGTGGGTTTGGGTAAAATCCGAACCCGAATATTGCGGGTAATGGGTGGGCATGGGTTTCTCACTATCCAACCCGAACCCGCCCGATTATACAAATGTATATGTGTTCTGTTTAGAAATAATCATTTTTTCTCTAACATATTTTATATTTAGCATATAAATATAATATTTTCATGAAATTGTGTTGTTTTAATTAATTTTCTTCATTCTATTGAATTATTGTCGTACTTTTCTTCTTATGTAATGTGAGAATACGTGTGAATGTTAACATATTGGTTATAGTAATGAAGAAAAATCATTACCCATGGATAACCGCGGATACCCGAAACCCGAACGGGTATGGGCATGGTTTTAATTTTCTACCCGTTTCACATGTGAGTATGGGTATGGGTAAAACCCGAACTACTTTGGGTAGGATAACGGATATGCACTATCCGTCCCCGACCCGACCCATTGCCATCCCTAAACACCGATGCTTCCTATGTCTAATTAAATAAAATGTAAATTGTGACATATTTTCAAAATAAAAGAACAATAACAATTCAAAAATGACATTGTTAAAATCTCATGAGTTTCTTTTTTCCAAAGTCGGTATAGAGTAAGATGAACATTATGTGACAAAGGATGTGACATAAGCTCCTCTTATTTTTTAGAAGTGTGACCTCTTGCTTGTATTGTTGTGCAGCAACAGGGCTTAAGTAGCATGGTGTTGTAGACGGACCAATATATCAGCTGTTGCAACAAACATTGCTGCTGTAAATAAGAGAATCGAGTCATAAGAGAAAAAGAAGCAATGGATGATTTGGTACAAATTGAAGAAGCTTAATATAAGTTTGACTCAAATGAAAGACTGACATAATAATCCGAGTAGTGACCATTCTGGCACGTAGGCAACAGGCCTACGAATTCATAAGTCATTCCTGCTAAACTGGGGGCTATCTAGGGCTTTATCGGAATTTCTCAGTTCCCTTAAACGTGAATTGACCTACCTCAAATAGGGAAGCTTGTCAATCCCATTCAATATGCTTTTTTGTAGAACGTCAACTTGCTTGCACAAATCTTCATTTGTATTTCGTAGCGCATATGCTTTCTCTAATTTTCCCGGCAGTGTCACTCTGCTATAATTCAAAAGGGAAAAACACTACAAAAATTCAACAGCAAATAATCTTTACCTCAAAGACAACAGAAAAAGACAAAACTGAGAGCGATCATAGAATTGCAATTCCTAGGTTGGATGCAAGATAAACTTCGACAAACGAAAGCTTAGCAACTCCAGGATTTTACAATAGGTAAAGTTAGTTTCTTGTTAATACTATATATTTTCTAACCATCATAGAACTCAGCTTCGCCATTCAGACAGAAATGACGAAAAATTTAAGATTTTGACATACATTCTCGGTATATCAAACTTTCTAATATCCAAATCATTTCAAAAGTACTTGTAGTATGAAGAAAAATTTAACCCTCAGAAGAAAGCAGTATACCCTAGAGGACTGACTTAAAAGACCTTGCTGTTGTACCAAGTCTAATTGATAGATAAACTTACATTCAGAAAGCATGCAAGGATAAGACCATAACAGAGAAAAACAGGCTGAATCAAACCCAGACAATATCAAGACAAATTGAATGGTCTGGACTTTCTTATATTTGATCATGCACCATCTAATTTTTGTCTGATTCTGAACAGTAACATATACACGCTCGCTAAACACTACCTACTCTCAATTAATCACAACCCTAGAAAAGCACAACTTCATTTTAAAAACCATGGTTAAACCTCACACTAAGCATCTACAAAAAGGGTGAGAAGTACATTGCTTATAATGAATTCATAACGGCAGCCACTGGATTTCGTGGTAGATCCAAGTAGCACAACTTGCTTATAGTTGACAAATACATCCTACATCTTACTGGAAGTATTTGGCATTTTGTGTTTAGTTAAAGCAAAAGCCTTGCAAGGCAAATAATTAATGTTTTTTTTTTTTTGCCTTCATGCGTTCTTAAGTTCCTTTGCATAGGGTTAAGAGATCATCTTCCTTATAGTGGTTGAATGTAGGATTTTAATACTGAGAGCTAGGATATCAGTGAAAAAAAGCACAATATCAATCATGTCCCATACTCAAGATTATAAATAAAACAATGGAATCTGAAGGCGACCGGGAAAGGTAAAAAAGACAGCCTCTTTATCTTGGATTTGAAAATGAAAAGCAGACCATGTCTGTGATGGCAATGTTGTATAGCAGCTCTCCTCCATAAAAAAAAGATAAATTGCAGTTATGCTAGTAGAGCAATGAAATCCAAGGAGTAATTCCATAAGTAGAGATAAGATCATATTTGACCAATTTGACTGTTTGAGCAAATTCCAGATGTAAAAAGTTCATTCATTATGTGTTATCTAGCTTGATAAACCAGTACAAGAAAATGGAGAAGAGGAAGAGTCTGTTACCTTTTTATAGTTTCTTTAGAGATACATGAGCTGAAAGATCCCTCTTACTGCAATCGATCAATCCCACCATGCTGCACCTTTTCCCCAACAACGAATCATGCATCCAATTATCTAAACATCTTTGGTTCGAAACTTCAATTGCATTGCTCATACTCGATCTCGCAGAATAGATCCATAATTTCTTAACTGAAACACACGATTGAGCATTACCAACTTAAGAGAGCAAAATCTGTAAATTCCAACACAGAATCGGCGAGACATTGAGTGGAAGTGTTGACCTGCAAGGGCCAAATTATGTATGGATGGCACAGAGAAGGAGCAAAGAAGACCAACATTGGCTCTGGCCTTTATGATTGAATTAACAATTGCGCTTCCCTCTTGAAACAGTGAGATAACTACGTTGATAACTTGAAAAAATAGACCTCGTTTTCCTTCATTCTTCAACTATTGCTCTTCCCTCCTGAAAGGAAAGGGATTTTTCATGAGTGACGAAATCAACAAAGAGTACCTACTGGTTGAAAGAGGCATACACGGAACAAAAGCATTGGAAAAAATGAACAAAGCGGTGAAGTTCAACACTGACCATTATGTTATGCAGAAGCACTTCTCTGGATTGTTTATGGTCCTTTCTTGTTTACAAAACTGATGAAGAGGTAATCTTTCATTTTGTATGGACTTTCCCCTACTCGAGTACTAATACAAACGATTAGCTGTCAAAACTCAAGCTGGTTCACAAAGAATCTCACCATTAATAAATTCCAGAACTCCGGAATAGAATAAACATATCAAATATGAAATTTCTTCTTACCACAACATAAATGCATATGCAAGTGAGAGCTGACAGATCCACCAAGCGCCTTGAAAGCCTTCCGTGAAAACTCAGTCCAAGTTTGTGGGTAATTTTTTAAATGTTATTAGTTACAATGAACCTATTTTGTGTAATCATCATTTCGTTAATATTTGCAATATTGTGATCTTTTGTTGAATGAAACCATAGCCGAAGTAACCCATTGCACATAACTTCGAGTTCTCCATATCCAGATCTTCTTTCCTACCAGACTCCCATCAATGGCTTCACTGGCTACATATTAAAAACCATGTTTGAAGGGGAGATTGATTGCTTGGGAAAGAATATAAAAGGAAAACAAAGGATCAGGATAGTGCACTCGACCTAGTGAAAGCACCTCACTTACGCACAGGGAGATTGATTAATCAGGCACCACATGATTGCACTGGAGAAGAATTGATGTATCCTAAATATTTATTCACAAAAAACAGATTTGTGACTTCAATCCCTAATTGGACCTAGCAAAAGAATAGGGCAATTTCACGATACAACTTCAAATACTTACCTGCGATGGGAACCAAGAGTACACCAGCGTCAGCACATACTTGACTTGAAGGAGGGAAAGGAATCACGACTTTCCGATTCCCCGATCGAGCGGCCATACACATGGTTCCCGTTGGCTACTGTGGCCTAGGAGTTACTGACCTGCGATGGAAACAAAGAATCAACCAGCGATCATCACGGACATGACTTGACGGAAGGGAAGAAATCGCCGACTTTTCGATTCCCTGATCGAGCGGCCATACACATGGTTCCCAGTGTAGGAGAAGAGTCTGAGCGTAGGTGCTAGTGGCAGATGCTTCAGCTGTTTGATGGCGAGGGAAGAGAAAAAGTTTAGGTTGTTCGACGGGAAGGATGCTCAGCATTCGTGGGATGCGGGGTGGGTGTGCAGACCCTTGGTGATGAAGATTGATGGGAGTTGAAGGGAAGGAAAGAGAAAGAGGGAGGGTGGACAGTTTCAGTCGACAGAAAGAGGGGAAAAAACACCGCCTAAATGGGCTGCCAGCTCAGCCTCCGAAAATCACTCTAAGATCAAGAAAATTTGAATGGTGGTAGCAGTTTTACTTTTCAGCTATAAATGATACTGTTGATATATATATATTTTTTCACATTTCCTCCTAAATTAAATAAGCTCCGAGATCCACCTTATTATGCATTGGCTTCGCCACTGGGAGAGTCTAGTAGGATCCGACACCGTTTGGGTCAAACCCAACTAGTTCTCCATGTTGTGTTGTTCATTTTAATAAAACAAAATGAAAAATAGAAGGTATCTTCTCAACTGTACTCTCATAAAGATATGCGGAATCGAACTGCAAGTTATAGTTAGTGTCCATTGGGATATATTTCTTTCAGGTTTAATTTGATCACACATTCAAATGTTTATATGTTGTTACACAGTTAACTTATTGTTGTTTGATTTACTTGTGAAGTGTGATGGCGGTTTCATACATGAACATCACCGGTATGACTTTTATGATCGATCTACGATGTCTAACCAAAATAAAATCGTTTTGATGAATATAATTAATAAAAAAAATTACATATGTTATGAATATAAAAGTTAAAAGTTAATGTAATTTGTTGGTTTGAGGTATAAACGTTTTTAAGTATTGACGTTAAATATTGCATTTAAATATGAGTATTTGTTATTTTATTTAGAATGTTATCTTTTATTAAGCCGGCATGAACCGACACAAACCGGTTGTACCACTGATCGTATCATCTCACTCACTAACCGGTGTAATGGTATAAACCTGTTTGACAACCTTGCTTTCTAGTAAGATCAACTGGACCAATTAGTAACCCATTTTGATTGGGCCCAAACGGCCCAGGTGCATTAGGGCTTGTTAAAAAACTGACAAACCAACTTAATCAAGTGAGGCCAAAACTCAATTAAAGATTTAAAGGTTAACAGGTTGGCCGCGTACTAACTATCACTACAACAAAAAACCCCTATGCCAAGGGTATGTTAAACCCCTGCTAGATTTTTCGGAACTCATTTAACGACGGTTTTTTCTAAGGGTTCGTGAACCCTTGCTAATGCACAAATGACAATTTTGTTTTATTACCCACACTGGAAAACTTAATCAACACAACAAAGAACCCTTTATTCCCCCTTCTTCAGTTTTCCTATTTGATTAAGGGGTCGTTTGGATTAAGGTTTGTAGTGAGTGATTCTCCGATGACTCCCTCCGAGCGATTCTTCGATGACTCCCTCACTTCGATCTGAGCGAATCCTCCGGTCCCTCCCTCATCCGAACGGCGCGAATCTCCGATCCCTCCCTCACTCCGAGCGGCGAATCTCCGATCTCTCTCTCAATTAGAGCGACGCCAATCTCCGATCTCTCCCTCGCTCCGACGCGATTCTCCGATCTCTATCTCGTTATGGCTGATAAGGTTATCTCTCTAGTACTTTTCGCTTTTAGGTCACTAAGATTATCAATTCAAATTTTTCGCTCTCTTAAGAGATTGAGATATATAATAAACCTTTGTGTTTCTGCATGTGCATTTGCTCTCATTCACAACCTAGATGTTCATCAGCTTGTGACAATACTAGGGATTAATCCATTTGATTTCTTTTACTCGATGGAATCTCACCCCGTGCTTTCGTGGATCTGTTGTAAGCTGCTTGATTTCATTTCGTTTCCATGGCTCTAATTCTGAAATGCAGACTGTTTTAGTTGAGTAATCAGGGGAATAATCTCTTTGTCTGTAGTACATAATAATCTCCTTGTGGGAATAATTTGGTTCTTCAGTATGGATGGGAAAACAGAAAGTTTATTCTGAAATTCAGGACAAATATCTGGATTTGCTTCTGCAATATGAGGATAAACAGAAGGCCATAAATTGGTCCTCGTGTTAGCACCATGAAGTAAGCAGGCGGCTTCGTCATAAGTTCTTCCAGCTTCTTCAGTGGTGTCGAAGATAACTAACCATACCCTGATCTTTTATATTTCAGAATAAACTGTTTATTCTGAAATGCAGGACAAATAGCTGTTTGTTTTTGAACTTATGTTTTTCTCTGCCCAACCCAAATACTAAAGCAAGCTTGTTTTTCTTCTCTCGGGCAGTTTTGTTTTGTGGTTTCTTCGCTAATCTCCCACTCTACTTTTGGTTTTGTGGTGGTAATGGGGATAATATAAAGATATCCATGTGGACAGGTTCTTCCTACTTATCACTGTTATCAGTAATGAATTGACGTTTCATTGTCAAGACAAAGGGGGCTACAGGGGAAGAAGTTTCACTAGTTTCAGTTTGTCTGGTTGTTGCTTCAAAGTTGTTTAATTCACATTCACTGTTGTGATCTGCATCTCCTTTGTTTTGAAGAACCCTTTGTGTTGTGTTGTTTGAATGACTGAGAAAAATATCTATGTATGGATTAGTGAGCAAAATAATGTGCTATGATGCTAACCATAAAAGAAAGGATAGAACATGCATCAATGGTTATGCTAAGGATTTCATTGTAAAATTAGGCACGAGTGATGTTGCTTCGATTAGGAATTGTTGTGTTGTGGAACATGTACTTGGTAGTGAATTTGCCATGCCAGTTTATGATATGTAGATGTTGCAGTACAATATTTGGAACCATGTCCCACTGTTTTGATCCCTAGATAGTGTTGTCCTCTTCTAAGAAGTCTTTAGGTGGTTGGGAAAATGTTCCGCTATGGGGATTTTTTAGTTGTTGCTTTAATATTTACCAACCATCATTCAACTACTGGAAAAATGTTGTCTTCTGAAATGGAACCCTGTTGGGACTGAATTTGCTAGACCAGTGATTGCTTTCTGGATGCTGCATTGCTCTATTTTGAGGAACTGGATCTCAGTTTTTCCTAAATCATGTGTGTTGTCATTGTAGAACTTGTCCCTTGTGCAATTCTTCTTTTCGGGCTGCTTCTTATCCTAGAATCTCCTAGATGGCTAGTATTTATAATTATGCTATCTCAAGGATTTTAGAATCTAAGGAGGCTGGTTTTGAATTGTTGTTGACAAGAATGTTTGTCGTTCATATGTTCTGCAGGCAAAGACATGTCATGAGAAGGAGTTTGAGGTTGCATTGCAGGAATTTTGTGGCAATGATGCTGACATTTCAGAGGAGGCAGCAGCAGAGATGAAGGTTTGTTATCCTAACCTAAACTCAGACAAGCATTCCATATAATGAGTTGAGCTGGCATGCTTTGAATAAAGTTTAGTTGTTAAGAAAGTTGAGTTATTTTAGAATTAGTTTTACCGAAGTAAAGGTTGGAGATATTTTGCATTGTTTTATCTATGATGATTAAGCTTGATCGGTTTATGCTAATTCTTAGCCTCCTTTCATGGCATGTCATTCTGATGGGGCGGCTGCAAAAGAGGATGTGCGCAACTGAGGCTCCATTTTCTCAGTCTTCCGCATTGACCCTGGATAGCGGTACACCAGCTACCCCTTTCAATGGTGAGAGCCTGTTCTTTATGCATGAGTTGGTATGCTCTGTTAAGTGTACTGGACTTGTTATTTTTCATTGGCACTCTCTCATCCCTAATATTATCACGTATGATTCCAAGTGATGCAACCAAGTCATTCCCCTTTCAGTTTGGGTCCATAAGTCCTGGTTTTATGAATGGGATGCAGGTATTTCACTACACTTATGCTGTGATGGCTTTTTATAATTTCTTGTGCAGCAGTATGAAGTGAAGAAACATTGTGATGTAGATTCTTGCTCGAACTATCTTAGCTCCCCCAAACTTGGATGAGCAGAAGCGCGAACAGGTCCATTCTTCTTTTGTTTGCCCCCTCAATCTAGTAATAGAATTTAGTGAGTGCATATTGTTGTTGTTGCTTATTGATAGCAGAGGCCTCCTACTGGATGAAACTTACATTTTTCTCTCTGTGTAGTGTAATTGATCTCTTGTTTGGAATGCACAGTAGAATCCCAAACTTTATTTAAATCTGTCTCTCTAGAATCACTCTCAAACACACATATGTTTTTGATCTGTGAACTTGCCAGCACTCCATGATGCATATAGATCTGTGAACTTGCAGGCACGCCGGTGAACAAACTCCCTTATGTTAAAATAGTCTTTGTTTTTCCTTTAAAATGTTAAAATAACCTTTGTTGTAGAGAACAAGTTCCCTTCTCTATAGTATATATAGAATGACAATTGTGACTAGAATGTTGAGCTTGTTGATGGTAAAAAAATCAGGCGTTACCAATTATACTGGAATGTTTAGCTTGTTGATGTAAAAAATAAGTTTTGGTATCAATTATATTAGAATGTTTGGATAGTGACAGGAATCAGTATTTGCGACGAAAATGTCATTGCTAATGAGCCCCTCTCCTTTTTAATGATGGTTCTATGAACAATATAATGACCAAAATACCACTATTTGCAACCAAAATGTCGTTGCTAATGAGACACCTCTGTTCAGGATGCAACTTTAGTGACAATGTGAATTCGACACAAAATGTTCATTAAGATTTAGTGCCGAATTATGCAAGGGTTAACTACAAACATCTCATTGTAATTTACATTAACGTGTAGCAGGGGTTTTAAACCCTTGGTACATTAGCAAAGGTTAAAACCCTTGCTATAACCCTTGGATGGGACTTCCACCGTGGGTTGCTAAAAACCCTTGCTGTATGTAGCAGGGGCAGAATTGGCGAGGGTTTGTCCAGGTAGGGGTGGGCATTCGGTCGGTTCGGTTTCGACCGAACCAAAATTATGAATACCGGGTTCCCGAATTCTCCCAAACCTCAAACCGATTTTGAACCGAATTATAATTCGGTTCGATCGATTTAAATCGAACTATAATTCGGTTCGGTTTGATTTCTTGTGAAAACCCGAATTTGTGAAGCTATTTGTATTTTCTCACTTTCAAATTATTTTTCACCCCTAATATAAACAATAAATATCATTTATATGCATCATTAATGATAAAACCAAACTTTTCAACACATAAGTCATAAAACATTTCAAATATTTAAGTCTAAAAACAACTACAAACATAAAAATCTACCATTTGGAGCTTGCAATTATAGTATTTCGGTTTTTCGGTCGAAAATTCAGAAATTCGGTTCGGTTGAAAGAACCCTAATTTCCGAACTATCCATATCTTCCTTTCCGAACCGAATAGCATTAATTTGGTTTCGGTTCAGTTCGGTTCGGGTTTACCGAACCGTTTGCCCACCCCTATGTCTAGAGGTAGGAATAACCCTTGCTACAACTTGTAGCATAGGTTAAAACCCTTGCTATAGGTAAAAAAAAAAAAACCCTTCCCATAGACTTTTTTTTTTAGTGTATCACTGTATTGTGTGGTCACTAGCCCACTAGCCAATTGTAGAATGATGACCGGTGTACTATTTAGCATTTTTGGTTTTTGATTTTATATGATGCTTCTACGTTATGGTGGTTATTAATGTACTCGACTTAACCAATTTTGTGACTGTTTGTAGTATAATTGGAACCCCAACAAATTCTGAGTAAAATTTGCTTAAGTTTACAAGTCATGGTAACAAACTCCTAAAGGCCAAAACAGTTTTTTTTTTCAAAACTATTCATAGAAATCTATCACAAAAGATAAAAAAAAGGGTTTGGAGTGAAGTGAGCTACACAAGATTATGTACTCATTAAACATAAAATTATGGGCTAATACCACTACAACACCCGAACTATTCGAAAAATGCCACTTGTGCCCTATTGTTTCCAATATTCCATCTGTGTCATGAACTATTATTCTGTTAGTGTTTCCAACATGGAGTGAGCTCTCACTCCCCTATGTTCTCACTCGTCTCTCTGCGGCCCAGTATCCAATCCCAATTCTTCTTCCCCAACCAGCGCCACCCACTTCGCCACCGCTCCTTAAATTGCTCCATTTCCGCTAAAGCTGTCGCCGCCGCCGTCGTCCTGGGTTCTCCGCCACACAAGCACCTCCCCGCCGAGGTCTCCAGATCCAAGTGCGGACTTTGACTGGAACATGGAAACCCGGTGGATCTTCTACCATTTTCCGAAGAACCCTAATTTTGCCAAAACAGGATTTGTTCAATTCAACTCAATCGGAGATTGAAATCATGAATAAAGAATGGAATACATTCTGGAGTGGGAAGAGGTCTTTACACGGGCCTTGATTTGGGGTTATGTCGAATGAGAAGGTGATTGGAGCGTGCGGTGGCGAGGGAGTCAGATGTCGGTCCGCAGCATTTCTGGGTTCGAAGAGTAGAGTGGAAGACGCAGAGGTGGTGGTGACCTGGATCGACGGTGGTTGCGATGAATCTTCGATGCCGACGATGGTGGCTGGGATGAATCTTCGATGCCGACGACGGAGGTGGTGGCGACACCGCATCTCGAACCTTCAAAATCTGGTCACCCTTTCTCTAGCACGACGATTCCCCTGCCACGACCTTCAGAATCTAGGTGTTGATGGCGACTTACCGGAGAGGGCTCCCGGCAGAGGGTTCCACCAGACGGCGGGAGGAGATGCGGAGAAGAGGGATTGGGAGGGTTTTCTATTTTTCTATTTTTTTATTTTTTATTAAATGAAAATTGATAATGAAAATTCCAGGTCAGATGCCACGTCAACGCTGACTGGATTTTCTGTTAAATACTAACGGTCAACGCCGGTCAACACTAACAGAATAATAGTTCAGGACACAGATGGAATATTGGAAACAATAGGACACAAGTGGCATTTTCCGGATAGTTCGGGTGTTCTAGTGGTATTAGCCCTAAAATCATCTACTTAATAAGTTATTTTTGCACGAAATATGTATGCTTATAAAAGTGTACTTTCTGTAGAAAAATTCCTATATTCGTTGAATATAAAGTTTCACGTTCATTGTATAGAAACTTTATGTGCACATAAGGAGTTTATACATAATTGCTACATTATGCAACGGTGTATAAGTTTTACGAAATTATGTATTGATGCTTACAGAAATAACTTATCAACAATTTGGGGAGGGTATTAGAGCATGAGTTGTACTAGTAGTATTATGTTATACTACGAGTATTGTTGTATAATCAACCTCATTTTGTAAGCAACAAGGAATGGGAAGGGAAGCAGAGCAGGTAGAGAAGAGAACATGAAAGTGAGGTTACACAACAGAGAATACTATCTTGAAGTAAAACAAAGTGAAGTTATATAACAAAGGTTAAACTCATTAGCCAAATTGAGGAAATAGTAAGTGGGGTTTTCTTTTCTTTTCACACTTGCTGGTTACTATATCAAGGGAAATTTGGGAAGCCGAAGATTAGAAAAAACAAAGATGACTCACTAACTGAAACTTAGTATGTAACTATATATGAATGACCTATTATCTTCGGTTCTTCACTTTACAAACCCGTTAAATATGAACGATTTCTTCTTTCACCTTTTGCAACAAGCCTTTATTAGCATAGCTACTAAATATTTAATTTTCGATCTCTCACCTAACATCTTTCTGATTAGCTTAATTTGTTACAAGGTATTATTTCAAGCTTGCATTGTGTGCACGTACGTGGTGACTATTTGATCACCATGACCTCTTCATTGCGATCAAGTTAACAAGAAGTAATCAACTAAACACCCAACTTTGTACCATCAAAATTAAAAATAAAATAAGTGGGAAGAACAGAAGACTGAGAGGTGCATTGCATCGCTCACCAAGTCACCATTAATAAAAAATAAAAATAAAAAAAAAGTAGTACAACAACACACCATGTGACCAGATTTTGACCCTTCTCCCTATTATTCTTCCACATCTTTGACCCTCCTCTCCTCCCTCTTCCTAATTTCCCATCTTCTTTCATCAGATGGCTTAACATTAATATTTTTTTTCTTCTTCCCATTATGGGGTTTTCTTTTTAATTCTTCTAATTAATTCTAACATTTAATTTTTTATTTGTAATTATGTAGAAGACTAATAAACTGCCTGCAGATTGGTAAAGACTAAAGACTAGAGAGAGATTGGTGTAGGTAACTGCGTAGGTCTGAAGATGTTGGATTTGGGTCATATAATTATGCATGGGATAGTGTGGGATTATGTCACAGTCACATGCCCCAATCTGCAAAACCGTACCCACTGATCATTTTTCCAATCACATAAAACAAATTATTATTATTGGACCAATTAAAGCTAGGTTCCTTGGAAAACAAAAAACCATTTTTTCCTTGCTGGGGAGTTCAAACTTTGTAGTAATGGTGATGATTGATGAGGTCAATAATATTCCACTTACGATGATTCTTTCTCAATCACCGCCTCTCACATGCAAAATGCCAATCTCATTACTCATATTCTTCTCCCCGTAAGAACACCATTAATCAAATCAGTCAAATCGTAGAGACTACTTAGATTTAGTGGCCCTCACTCAAAGTTCAATCAACAAAAAACTTCTCCAAACATTGGACAAGATCGATTGGCCACAAATAAACTCTCCTAGCTACTAATTAACATTAAAGTTTGATGATGACCCACAACTAATCTAAGACGGTTGGCTCCTAGTCGTATTATCATTTAATGAGAGAATTCGATATTTAGTCGTAGTGAATCAGCAAATATCAATAACAACTCACAATTTGATGTAACTCAGTCCGAAACATTAATACAAGCTGACCCATTTTTCAAATGTACATATACTGTCAAGTTTGTAGAGCTATATCAGACATATTGGATGCCTTGAAGTTTGAAGAAAAAATATGTAATGCAACTAACTAATTGTAATCAGAGCTATTGATTGCGTTGCTTATGAGTAAGAGACCTTAGTCATTCATCATATTATCATTTAGCGTGAGAATTCGACAATTAATCATAACGCATATTATTAATGACTCACACTTTGAAGTAGCTCGTCGCAACCGATCCAAACTGACCCATTTTCTGAAGCTATACCAGAAGTTGCAGTAATTATAATCAGATATTGAGTTGAATTGGTAATGAGTAAGAGAGAGCCAGATTGGTCGGTGCGAGAGAGATGTCAAAGCAACGGTCTTAGGAGTGGAGTGGATCATCGAGGAAGAATCTATGAAACCTGCTGTCTACTGTCCATTGCCGCTATTGCTGTTCGATCACAAACAAAATATTAACCGCAGAGTTAGAGAGAGAGAGAGGATCGAAATTTGCAAATTTCAATCACATGGTCTGCAGTTTCAGACCCATGGAGCTGTGCTGAGCTGATCGATCAGCTGAGCTTCTTCCTCGATTGTATGTTACTTATATAAATAAATGAAGGAGTTGTATTCGTCGAGGTTTATTTATTTGAATTTGCTGTCAAACTGTTATATATGTATATATGGCTGGCGAAAATAAGAAATTATGTCGGGGGGTCGGGCCGACGTGGACTGGCCAGCCACTGCTGATATGATCGGAACTGGTTAATTTCCATGTGAACCAACCAACCAACCATTTGACAATAAAAAGAAAATTAAGCTCGCACTTTTCAACCTTGGGATGCTCTGGTCTGGTCTAGTCTACAGTAGTTGTTGATTGCTTTGCAGCCCACATTTGTGAATGCGACACCCTTTCGAAAACCTTTGTATTGTATGTATGAAGAAAGGGACTAGTCAATGTGTGGGAAACCGACTCTATGTGTCCATTATTACACTGTGATGAGTCCAAATTTGTTTCCAAGTTTCTGGATCATGTATATGCATCTTCTTAAAGTCCAGTCCAACGCTGCTACGTACCACAGGATCCAAAACTCATGGTGCCACTGGACCCGGCCTCACTGGTTGAGAGCGTGGCACCATAAACACGATCTCTAGCACGACATGAAGAGCAGGAAAAAGTTGAACTTGTTCTAATTAAGAACATGAATGAGAAGTGCGCATCTTTGAGATTCGACCGAGTACTACGCACAAAATTTTGGAAAGAAAGTACCATATCGATCGCTCGTTATAATTTATCTGCTTAAATAGTGTCATAACTATTTCTTTTGTTGTTCGTGTTGCGCGACAACGTTACAAATTAACTATCACCTTTGCCTAAGCCCATAATACTATCTGTGTAATTAATTATTTTTCTTAGCAGGTTGACGCAATCCCCTCCCTCTATATACACGTATTAATATGAAGCAACATAACAAACTCAAAATTCTTGGCTACTTGAGGAGTGCATTAATATGATAAGGTTTTTGTTTTCCACTTCACAAGCAGAGTTCTTCATTACCAGATGCTCTAGCTAAACACGGTGACACTTCACACATATATGCACTTCAAGATGGATGATTTCCACATATGTTGAGATGTTTCACTCATATTTTGAACTGATTTTTTACTTTTTAGTTTTTACTGAGTACAAACTTTGACAATGCATATTTTTTACTTTTTGCATGGGCCGGACAGCGGGGGTGAAAAGTATGAAGGTGAATCAAAGTGTGAAGGGGACGCAGCAGGAGAGGAGATAGAACATGCTCCTGGACTAGGGATAGCAACAAAACACGAACCCACGGGTACTCACCCGATCCAACCCGGTCAATGCGGGTAAAATCCGTGTTGATGAGTTTTGGGCTGGGCTCGGGTTTAAACCCGCTACACTACTCATCGGGTCGGGTTGGGCTTGGGTTTAGGTAAACCCGCCCCATGGGTACCCGCCCACACACATATAAGTACTTTCCCAGTATATTTAATATTATAAATAATATATCTTCCTTAAACAACTAATATTCTTTATGTTTGTGGAGACATGTATAATTTGTTCTTTCTAATTATTTAGAATGAAGTTGATGTTAGAAGTGAAGAGTGAAGAAACTTAGTTGACGAGGAAGAAGCTTTCAATTAATCTTATTGTTTATAGATGTTTATCTTTAATTTTGAATAATTTGTATTGATAATTTGCGGTTTGCTTGTATGCTCTAGATTGGTGGGTTTTGTATGATTAATTTGTATGAGAAAATTGATGTTAAACTTTTATTTTGAAAAAACTTGTTATTGTAAATATTTTATCACAAAAACCCACGGGTACCCATGAACCCGCGGATACCCAGCGGGTTGGGTTGGGTTTGAGTTTTTCAAACCCAACGGGTTTTACCTAGGGCTGGAGGTTCGGTTATCGGTTGCCGGTTAACCGACCAGTTAAACCGATAACCGGTGGTTACCGGTTAACCGATAACCGAAAATTATATGCTTCGGTCGGTGGTCGGAGCTCCTAATAGGTAATTTGGTTAACCGAGTAACTGAAAACCGATTATCCGGTTAACCGATAATAACCGAAAATAACGACCGACCACCCCCCTCACCAAAAAGATGTGAAAATACCCGGTTATGAAGTTTATAATTTTATGTTGTTGAATTTGAGACATTAATTTGGTGATTTAGATGTAGAAATGTAAGTTAGAACCTTTCATTTTAGGCAATTCTAATAATTTTACCCGGTTAAAACAGAACCACCATAATTTTTTCGGTAGGGGGAGATGATGGTTCGGTTAATCGGTAACCGACCAATCGATTATCGGTTATAACTGAACCGAACCGAATCCACCCTAGTTTTACCCCGAGTTTTTTTGACTGATAAACCCATGAGTTTGAATTTGAGTTTGACAAAACACGCACCAACCCGACCCATTGCCATCCCTATCCCGTACCTGGTTTCACCACAAAAATAGAATCGTAACCCAGTCCCCCTATTATTATTTTTCGAAAACACCCTATTACCCTTTTTCCCTTTCTCCTTATTTATTTATTTATTTATTTTTCCATTTAATTTCACCCCCTCCTTTCTTTTCCGGACCAATCAAACAATGACCAACCCAAAAACAAGAAAGATTTACTCAGATTCCTTTTACCACCGTGCTTAGTTGGCATCCTTCCTTCCTTCCTTGTACAGTTTCTTACTGGCCCTCACTATAGTAAAATCCACTTTTCACAAAGTGCGAACGAATATAATCGAAGGTGCAAGAAAATGGAGGGGAAAAAAGAAAAATTTAAGGATAGTGTAATTAGATCATAAAAATAGGCAGACGTAGTTGGTGTTCAAGTCGTAATTTCGACCCATTGGTTCTGAATTATGAAATATCACTATAGTTATAGTGGTAGATATGTAAAATTCGAGTAAAGCGGAAAGATAACGAGACCAGGATTTTACGTGATTTCCCCGTTCGATATGAACGGGACTAGTCCACGGAGAGCTTCAAACTCTCAGAGTCGATATTATTATTCTTCTTCTTGCTAGGGTTCAGCCGCAGCTTGCAGGCACCCTTATATGTACAAAAAACTAACAAACCCTAACTCCTCTACACGTTACATGGAGTGAAAGGGAAAATAACAAAAGGACCCCAAACAATTAATCAAATGTCTAATGGGGTCACAACACGCCCCCTCAAGCGAAGGAGTGGATGTCAAGAAGGCCGAGCTTGACAAAAAGATGGTGAAACTGATCAACACCAAGGCCCTTCGTGAACAAATCGGCGGGCTGGTCCACTGTAGGAATCTTCGCGGGTAGCAATCTCATTTGACTGAACATGTTCACGAACAAAATGGCAATCCATCTCAACATGCTTAGTCCGTTCGTGAAAAACAGGATTAGCAGCGATATGGAGAGCAGCCTGATTGTCGCAAAACAAAGGTGTAGGTGCAGACAAAGACACGCCGAGGTCGCGAAGAAGCCAACGAAGCCATAAAATCTCACTAACCGTGCTAGCCATGGCACGGTATTCAGCTTCAGCAGAAGAACGAGCCACCACTGTCTGCTTCTTCGTGCGCCAAGAAATGGGAGCAAAACCAAGCATGATAAAGTAGCCAGTCGTGGAACGCCGAGTAAGAGGGCAACCACCCCAATCGGCATCACAATATGCAGTCAGAGTGAGAGAACCAGTAGAGGGAAAATACAGACCACGGCCAGGAGAAGACTTGAGGTAGCGAAGGACGCGAATGGCAGCCTCTTCATGAGCCTTGGTGGGAGACTGCATCGCCTGGCTGAGAAGATTAACAACATAAGTGATGTCCGGACGAGTAACCGTGAGATAGAGAAGGCGGACTACAAGACGCCGATAGGCAGCCGGAGCCGAAGCAGGAGGTGAAGGATGACGACCAAGCTGGTGCTGCTGCTCGATAGGAGTGGAACACGGCTTGGCAGCTTCCAAGCCAGCATCAGCTAAAATATCAAGAACATACTTGCGCTGATTAAGCACAATGCCACGAGGAGACCGGGCCACCTCGATCCCCAAGAAATACTTAAGGGGCCCAAGATCCTTGATGGTGAATCGGTCGTGAAGAAAAGTCTTCACACGAGTAATGAAGGCCAAGTCTGTACCAGCCAGAATGACGTCGTCAACATAAATGAGGGCCGTGATGAAATCAGCTCCACGGCGATAAGTGAACAAGGCATGGTCAGCCCGGCTAGGCTCAAAACCAAGCTCGAGGAGGGCCTGGGTGAATTTCTGATACCAGTTGCAAGAAGCCTGACGCAAGCCGTAAATAGACTTGTGTAACCGACAAACACGAGTTTCACCCGGACGTGCAAACCCCTGGGGTATAGCCATATAAACTTCCTCATCAAGGTCACCATGCAGAAAAGCATTGTTGACGTCAAGCTGGTGTATATGCCAACCACGAGTAACAGCAACAGCGAGCAAGCAACGAACGGTCACGAGCTTAACCACCGGAGCAAAGGTGTCGTGAAAATCAACACCCTCTACCTGAGTGAAACCTTTAGCAACCAGACGCGCTTTATACCGTTCAATAGAACCATCAGGTAGAAATTTAATCTTGAAAACCCATTTGCAAGCAATGCACCGTTTACCGGGGGGGAGATCAACAATCGACCAAGTGCCATTGTCAACCAAGGCAAGAAATTCGCGGACCATAGCATCGCGCCAATGCTTATAGCGCACAGCTTGATGAAAATAGGTAGGCTCAAATGAAGTACTAACCGCGGCCACGAAAGCATGATGAGCAGAAGACAACCGATGATAGATGACATAGTTATCCAAAGGGTACTGAACCGTGGCGGAGTGAGCAGCGCCAGGCAACTGAACCTCATAGCCCTGCAGACGAACAGACGGGACCCGAACTCTGTCCCCACGCCGAACTGCAGGAGGAGGTGGCGGAGGCGAGGACGAGGATGGATCTGTCGAGGGCGGACTGGACGGCGCTGGTGAAGTGGGAGCTGGCTCGCTGAGCTGGCCGAGGCATCCAAAGAAGGAGTGGACGTGCTAGGGCTGCTGGGCGGTGTAGGCGAAGCAGGCGACGTACCAAGGGAAACCTCAAGGCTGGCGGCAGGAGAAGACACCAACAACTCGTCCTCATCAAGGACCGGATGAGCAGGAGGCTAGCCAGGCTGAAAGGAGGAAAGAGAAACCCGAGCCGAGGTGAGCTGATCCGCCCCATCAATGTCACGGTAAGGAAAAACATTCTCGAGAAAATGAACGTCTCGAGAAGTATAGATGATATGACGCTCGAGATCATAAATGCGATACCCGCGTTGAGAAGCAGGATATCCCAAAAAAATGCCGGCACGTCCACGCGCACCAAATTTATGAAGACCGTGATGATTATCCCGAGCATAGACTAAGCAACCAAAGCTGCGAAGGTGATCATAGGCAGGATCCTTATCAAACAAGATCTGGAAAGGAGATTTATTTCCAATGCTGACCAACGGCATGCAATTGATGAGATAAGCGGCTGTCATGACACACTCACCCCAAAATTTAAGAGGGAGATTCGCATGAAATCTCAAAGCCCGGGCAGTATCCAACAAGTGACGGTGTTTGCGCTCCACCACCCCATTTTGCTGCGGAGTATCAGTACATGAAGTCTGCAAAACAATCCCCTCTTGTTCGTAATAAGAGGTCAAGGAAGCACAAGAGAACTCTGGACCATTATCAGCTTGAATTCTCCGGACCTGGGATTTAAACTGAGTGCGCACCAAATTACAGAAGTAGAGCAAGTGGCGAGCAACATCAGATTTAAAACGCAACAAAAAAACCCAGACTGCACGACTATAGTCATCCACTATGGTCAGAAAATAATGAGCGCCAGAAGTAGACGCAATCTTATAACTGCCCCAAATGTCAACATGGATAAGATCAAAAACCGACTGAGTCTTAATAGTGCTAGGCTCAAAAGTGTTCCGAGTTTGCTTAGCCCGTAAACAAGAACGACAGGGCTCTTTATTGTGAACAAATGAACAATGAAGCAAAGACTCCAAAGAATGTAGTTTCGCAGCAGATGGATGTCCAAGACGGGAGTGCCAGAGCTCTGTATTATCCAAGGATCTTCGAACCGAATGTGCCACCGGGTGCTCATGCGTGAATAACCTCAGAAAATAGAGCCCATCGACGTGCTTACCCATCCCAATCAGCGTCTTGGATGGTAAGTCCTGAATTACACAGAAGTCACCCAAAAATATTAACGCGACCGGAAGATCAGCAGTCAGCCTACTGACTGAGAGCAGATTACACTGGAAATCAGGAACATGAAGCACACGACGTAATAAGAGACGATCAGATAATTTCGCTGTTCCGATACTGTGAACCTGAACACCTGTACCATTAGGTATTTTAACCTGTAAAGCCGGACTCGAGTCCAACTCAGAATCGAACAAAGAAGCACGATTAACAATGTGCTCGTTGCACCCAGAATCAATAACCCACGAGGCTGAGTTAACCGAAATATTACCTGCCATGTTGAAGGAAGGTTCGGCCGAACCATGCTGTAAATCACCATTGAGCAAAGCCTTTAGCTGCTCAAACTGGCGAAGAGAAAGACCTGGCAGCGGACCCTCAGCTGTGTCCACTTGTGCAGCTTGCGGAGACGACGAGGTACGAGCGCCAGCGTTGCGATCAGAACGTGGCCGAGGAGCTGCTCCCTTGTAGCCTTTCTTGGGAGGAAAACCGATTAGACGGTAACAGGTCTCCTTAAAGTGATCAGTACGCTTGCAATGAGTGCATTGCGGCTTGCCATCTGCGTCACGATCCTTGTCGCGATCATAATCTGCCAACAAGGTAGCCCGATCAGCCTTCTTCTCGCCATGGGCCTGGAACACAGCAGCATCGGGCCGCGGACGACGACTGGAGGCGATCTGGCGTTGCTGCTCATCATTGGGACGAGCTGATACGCTTCAGCCAGCGTTGGGATCGGCTTCATCGCCAAAATCTGGGACTTCACGGTAGTAAAGGCTTCATCGAGTCCCATTAAAAAATAAAACAAGCCTTCACTCTCCCGTGCTGTTCTTTGACGCATCTTAACATCACAAGTACAACCAGAGCAAGTGCATGATAGAGAGGGAGTAAGAGATTGTATCTCGTCCCACAAACCTCTTAACCTTGTGTAGAAGGCTGAGACCGAGGCCTTTTCTTGTTGCAATCGGGCAATGGTGCCCTTGAGTTCATACAAGCGCGCGGCACTGCCTTGAGAGAACCGGGATTGGATGTCGACCCAAATTTCACGAGCTGTGGAGGCGAATCGGACGCTGCCACGAACCTCCTTGGTCATCGAGGTCTTCAGCCACCCTTTGACCATAGCGTTACAGCGAAGCAGGGCCTCCTTCTCGGCCGGTGTAGTAGCAGGAGGCAAACTCCCATCGACGAAGCACATCTTGTTCTTGGCGATGAGGGAGTCTGTGATATCTACGACCCATTCTCCGTAATTCACATCAGAAAGCAGCTCACCGACGAATAAGTTACTCGGGCTGTCCGACGGATGTAGGAGGAGATGCGACGGCAACATTGGGGGAGGACCAGAACTCACCACCGTCGACGTCTGCGGAGATTTCCCGAACTGTGAAGCTTGAACAGATTCATCTTCGTCCGAGGCCATGATTGAAACTGTGGAATCTACTCACAGCTCTGATACCATGTAAAATTCGAGTAAAGCGGAAAGATAACGAGACCAGGATTTTACGTGGTTCCCCCGTTCGATATGAACGGGACTAGTCCACGGAGAGCTTCAAGCTCTCAGAGTCGATATTATTATTCTTCTTCTTGCTAGGGTTCAGCCGCAGCTTGCAGGCACCCTTATATGTACAAAAAACTAACAAACCCTAACTCCTCTACACGTTACATGAAGTGAAAGGGAAAATAACAAAAGGACCCCAAACAATTAATCAAATGTCTAATGGGGTCACAACAAGAGATATATATATATATATAAAATGGTAAAATCTTAGAATTATAAAATCTCATAAATTCACCCAACCTAAACCAAAATAAAGAAGAAAAAAAACCATCAGCATCATATCAATGTGGAACACTGTAAAACATAAGTGTACTACAACTTAAACGGTGGAACAGATCTCCACAAATCTTCCATCCCCCTGTTGGGTCTTTTTTTTTGTGTAATTATTTTGAAGCCCTCAACTCAATCTAACACTTGAGTAGGATGATAATTGAACTCGAATACTCGAATTCACCGGTACTTAACTTGGTCCAGTTTTTGTGTGTTATAATTTAGTGTTGATGAATTTTTAGTCCGAGTGTGGATTTTGCACACTTTTATAATTGATGAGTTGTGTCCGATGTGAGTTTTGTCAAAATCCAACTCTCTTTTCATTTGATCTGCATCCAAAAAGCAAAACAACATTGTTTTGTATCTAACTCTAATGATATTGGCGACAACAATTTCAACCCGCCTCGTGAGTGTTACTTGACCTGACCCGCGATGGGGCGGTATTACCCGACCCGCAGTAGCGTGAGACGGGGCATGGGTATCTATATATATTTATCTCAATTTCTTGGCCCATTTTATCTCAACTTTTTACGGACTCTATATATATTTCTCTTATTTTAACTCTTCTTCAACTAGTTAGAGTTGATCTTTCAACTTGTTACACTCAATTCCTCATTTTATTATCGCTATTTTTTATTCATAAAGTTTTTTTCGCTTCATTTTATCGTAAAAAATAAAATTTGAGTGTAATTTTTCAAATAACATGTAAGAGTGGGTCGACCCACCCTGGCCCACCCAGAAGTAGCATGGCGCGGGGCATGGGTATTGAGGTACCCGCCCCACCCCGCCCCATTGCCATCACTAGTGATATGGATAATTATGATGTCTTTTTATGTTATTTAGTCCTAATAATATAAATGCTATATAGATGTTGTTAGTCTTTATAACAATATAGTCGTAAAATTTTTCAATTACATAAAAATGCGAGTATTCAGAGAAATTATATATACGGTCGTCTATAAAACTATGAATACCCATATATCAAAGAGTAAATATGAATTGAGTCCAATAAATTTTTTGATAAATTTTTTGACGTGTTGAATTGGGTTTGAGTTGGGACCAATTTACACCATCGCACCACAATAGATGGAAACAAACAACGTGTGTACCGATAACATAACAAACTTTTACCCAAACCCACGTAATCAGAACCCAACTCCTATTTGATTTCTTTATTTTCAAAAAAATCAGAAACTATTTTTTGAAAATTTACCCCAATCTCCGAAATTCGAAAACATTGGTCCTCAATATTCCACAAATATATTCCATTCATATATAAATCATAAAATCTCATATTTATATACATACACACTCACTCTCATACACAAAAAAGAAACATCACCATCTCTTTCTTTCTCTCTACTCTCGCATCGCAGACTCTCTCTGTCTCTCTGCGTCTGTCTTACATTACACAGGTCGGAAGGAAGCCGATTGATTTGATTAAATGAAGGATGAGAAATGGAAGCTATCAAAGAGCTATTCCACCAAGAACACCAGTAGCAGTACCAGCAGCAGCAGCAGCAGCAATTTCACGCGGAGTTTCTCCACAAGGACCAGCAGCAGTACTACCACTGGTGCTAGTACAGCGTCTTCGTCCTCCTCTTTCTCAAACAAGTCTCCCTTCCTCAGAAAAAGCTCTTCCCTCAAGTACGCCGCCGCCGGCGAAGGCGGCGGCGAGGGTTACTCTGAAAAGGGGGGTTCGTCGGCGTCAATCGGAAGGAAATGCACCAACTTGGCGAAAGAGCAGAAGGCCCGATTCTACATCATGCGCCGCTGCGTCGCCATGCTCGTCTGTTGGCACAAACACGCCGCCGATCCCTGACCCTCATCACCAATTGATGCATCGCGTACCAGATTAATTGGGGCAAATCTTGACTTTATTGTTACCCTTCTCTGTTTTTCACTTGTGGAATTTTGTTTGGGAGGGAATTGAAGGACAGGACAGGACAAGACGCAGCATCCAACAGATGATCATCATCAATTGATCGATTGCTGTGACAGAGTTGAGCAAAAAAAATTTCCCTTTATTTTCCCTCTTCAATTTTTTTTCTTTCTGGGTTGTCATGAGCTTAATTGGGTTGAGCTTGTAGAATCATATATGATGAGGTGTAATTAGTTAGAAACGATTTGATGAATCAACGATGATGATATATAAAAATGCCCCACAGCAGAGCAGAGCATAGCTGAGCTCTAGCTAGATACAAAAACCCAGTGCGACATTACTATGATTCCATCTACTTATAGTGTCCTTGTACATACACTGCAAGTTGAGCTCTTTCTGGGTTTTCTTACTTGATTTAGCAGCTTCAGACGCCATTGACGAATCTGGAAATCCATGATCATTTTAGGGAAAAGGGATCTCTGTCATCCTGAAGATTAATATATATGTTGCAATAGAGATCTCTAGCTATGTCCCTTAGTAGAGTTACTAGCTAATTCTCTCCCCTTTTTCCTCCAATGCAGAATGGTGGGTTTGTAGTGTTGCGATTTGTCACTAATAATGGAAGAGAGATTCCTTCTTCCCCATTGCTCGCTCTGTCAGATAAATGTTGGAACTGACACTGAGCTGTGAGAGCCCACCACCACCACCTCCCAAGCAATTATTTTTGGATCCGGATTCCCCATTTTCCACACCCAACCCATCCATCCATCCCTCACTATATATGTAGCAGATTTGACTACTGGTTTGGTTACACTCTCTCTTTCTGTCATATTACTACTACTTGCTTTCCTTCTGCAAAACAAGCGCGCATTAATTAGGAGGCGAGGAGCTCTATTCTATCTATGGCAGTATTGTACACGAGCGCATGAAGAATACCAATGGAAGGCGTACACATATATGGTAAAGGTAAGCGTCTTTCTGGCCACAACCTGCATTAACAGCACTGGAGATGGTACTAACAGGAAGGAAGGAAGGAAGGAAGGAAGGAACAATGTTGGCAGTGAAGGTGGAAAAAAAGTTGGGTTTCTTTGGCCCATGTCGACGGAAATAATGATAATCAATTGAAAAGAATCACTGTAGGCGAAGAACCTGTCACTTCGTCTCTGTATAGTGGCGATCGTACTGCTTCATGTGCCAAGGAGCTAAGGCTAGCTAGCCAGTTGGCTAGCTTTGTGTGGACAGAATTGAATCATTTTCATGTCAAAGTACGTACCCAGGAGAGGCTAGCTAGAATAAATAGAGAGGAGTTCACACTAGTAACAATGTGTCATGTTACTACAGCCGTGTGCTTGCTGAGACCACCAATCCCCACAACGTTATTGCGAGAACGTTCTCATAGGGCTAGGCGTTGCGTACAAGCATTAGACATCCTGTATGTTGAATGAACACTTTGATATTGTATTTACAAAATTATCACTACGTTGATTCAACAGCCACAAGCCACCCCAAACACCTGATCCCGACAGCTCGCAGCCATAGGCAGAGCCAGAGCTGTTTGCCTTGTCTCAGGACAGGGGTAACTTTTGGGGAGGGGAAAAATACTCATACATATGTTTGAACGAATCTAATTTCAACACCTACAAGTAACATAAGGATGTTTTGACACTACATCATAACTTATTACTTATTCATTCATTTACAAAATATAATTAATTTATTCGACAACCACTTGTTTCTGTTCGACAAAAATAGAAGCTATCAATTTATCATGACACCATAACTCACTTAAGAGTGTAAACAATGAATGTATTTTACATTTCTTGCATAATATGAAAATTCGTCGTGAATTTATGCAAACAATAATTATATTAGTCAGTTATTTCTTTCTAGATGAATGAATTATTTGGATATTTATAGTTTTAATTATATTTATTAAATATTTATATATTTATATTCTGAAAAAAAAATTGTAGTTTCAAATCCGGCCTCCACCACTGCTCGTAACATCTGAGCACGTTCCCACCCAAATTCGCTTTTTAGTTCAACACATTTTTATAGACTTTAGCCATATCGAGCTTGGGGGGTGGGGGATGATGTAAATAAAAAGAGGAGGAGCAGGGGGCAGAAAGCTGGACGCAGCAGTGTAATAAGAGAGGAGGTACAGATTTGTGCTTTGCTCACTCCATACAAAAACATGAGGTGACACTATGCATTATATGGTACCATCTCAAAATTTACGGTTTAACTTTGAATTGGAAATTCCTATAGGTTAATCACATAAATGGGCACACTTACTATTGGGACCATCAACAAAACAATCACTTATCGTACATTTAATTTTTAATATAACGATAATTCACGTAAAAAAATGATATGAAAACCAATAAAAACTTTAACAAATACCAATCAGACCCAAATTATTGTATCCATCCAATTTAGATAAAAAGAATCATGGCTCTCTTCTATTTTGTTGCTCCCTTCCTCTAGGAATATGATAAACAAATAACAAAAATGCTTAAATCGGTCAGAATATTTTTCACTCGTTAAGAAGAAATTCAAGTTGGCCTGCACTATTCAAATCATACAACTCGTTTGGCGTTTGAGAATTATCAAGTCCAATATACTTTAAATCTTCGCAACAGGTTGAAATGGAGTCCTCAAAAAAGACCATGCATCGAAAAACATAGCAAAATATTCAATTCTCCAGACATTCTGAAAAGCTAGGTTGAGCTTCGGAAGGAAATAGAGTTCGAAAGAAAGCAAGACGCCAACACACTTAAATCTTAATAGGTCAAGCACTTGCCCCATAAGCGAGATTTTTGTTGAAGACGAGGATGGAGATACAAAGTCCTCCCTTCATGGGGATGAAGATGATATGAGTTTGATGACTAAAATACGAATGAAATTAATTAATTCAGCACAATTATCCGACTCTCATTCCTATCGTATCGAATGAGTTTGGGTTGAATGGAAGTGGGTTAGGTTAAGACAGATTATTTGGACAATCTTCCATCCAGTTAAACTATTAAAGTGCTTGAATTGGAAAGATAGTTCAGAGTTGACGAAATGTGGCTGAATGGAAGTAATTAGCTGCGAACCACCCTTCTAATTAAGGTGTTTGGTGGGATGGCTTAATCAGTTATGTATGCTTTAGTTATGGTGCTTTCCTTCCACATCCATTTTAAGCTATGAGCTCGCTTTGACCCATCACTTTCTGTCTATGCTTAGAGAGGGACAAACATTAATGTTCGGAGATCGCAATGATTGATTAATTGCTGAGGTGTCACTATCTAATCACTCCATCTTGTACCCTAATCACTGAATTTTCATTTTCATCGATATTTTCATTTTTGTTATCCATCTACAGAATATAACATGGTGGAGTTTTATTAGATTTTCGCCTTTTCGGTATTAAAAAAATCCTATACTCCCCTTAATTTTTGGTAGGGTATATTAGTCCATAGCAATCTCTTAAATCCCGCCCAAAAATATGAGGATGGGTTCGGGTCTTTAAGCCACTAAACTTAAGGAGTTGCTTAAGTGAATACGGGCTGTTAGATTGATCTAGGGTGGTTATTAATTATTTAATGGTTATTTGTGATTATTGGTTAGTTAAGGGTACGTAGGAAAATTTAATTAAGGTAATATCATTTTCTTAAAACTAATAGCATAATAAAAATATCTGTTGGATCGTCGAGCGCGAGACGGTGATGTTTTTCGTTGGAAGTTCTTTCCTTTTGGATGAACCCTAATTCTGCAATCTCAGATCAAGCGAAGAAGTCGAGCAGTAGGGATACAATAGAGATGAATTTTAATTTTGGTTATTCTTAAACAGTCGTTTATAATCAAAGCAATTCGAAGTGGGCTTTAAGCCCTGAGCAGAGAAATTGATAACAAAACTTATTGGGCCTGATGGCTGAGCCCAAGTCTCAACGTCTTCTTCTTCGTGGAGACGTCGAACCTTCTTCCCAGAACTCTGTTCCTGCAAAACAGAGTATAACAACAAGAAAATACCAGCAACACAATCAAACTCACTCACACAGACAAATCAGATTTTTACGTGGTATCCGATATTGGGAGAATGAGGATCCCAATATCGACTAATCCACGATAGGAGACTCTCTACTTGAGATCTCCTACGTAAGCACTATCTTTGTGTTTTGCGTTTTACAGAACTTGGTGAACCACTAATCAACTTCCAGCTGATCTGCCAAGCTAAGCTTTTGGTGTGCAACCCTTCTATTCGAACACCCCCAAATTTCCCCAGCTAATCTCCTAGATTAGCACTACTGATCACTTCTAACAAAAGACCCTTGCTTCTCAAGCTCTCTCTTTTGTTCTGTATCGTGAAAATCACAGGGAAAACTTGTGCTGTACCACTCCACCAGACTTCCTCCGACCGCCACACTTCTCCGGTGAAAATCCCATCGGCAGACTCCCTCCGACCACCTCCAAAAAATATACCACTGCACTGATACGTTGTACCACTGTACTGGTAGATATACCACTGCACTGGTACCGATATCAGTGCACTGGTAGCAATGTCATATCTGAGTATCAGTGCAGTGGTACAAATACCAGTAAAGTGGTACAACATATCAGTGCAGTGGTATATTTTTGCATGTGACCGGAGAGAGTTTGTCGGCGGATTTTACCGGCGAAGTGTGGTGGTCGGAGGAAACTTGGTGGTCGGAGGCTGCTCGGAAAGGAAGAATCAGAGATAGGAGTGAGAAAGATCAAAGATATGAGAGAGAGAGAATTGTATTTTGTATATGTTTAGATTTTTTTAAAAACAAATAATTAATGTGGTGTATTTAATGCTTACTTTGTATTTAATAACAGAACATTTATTATGTTTACTTTCATTAATACTTGTCAATAATTAATGAAAAATTGACCAATTAAAAAGGGGATGTCAAAAAACCAACCCCTTAAGGGTTAGCATGCTAACCCGTCCCGTGGTTTTATCATATTGATAATCGAGTATTTCAATTTTATTAGAAGAATCTGCACAAAAATTCTTTATTGTAGTCTCATAAGTGCATAGTTAACCTCTTATTCAGCCTTTAAATACATTAGTTTTATACTTGACTTGGATGAAACATGATCATATTAGATCAAAGATTGAAACAACAGAACATGGAGTTATGGGAATCTCGGTAGAGTACATAAACCAACTACAAAGAGTTTAATAAGAATGTTGAATATTATGACCGAGAAACACCTCATAAAATAAAGAAAATTAATTTTGTCAATGAATGCTATGTATCAAACTATAATAGAATAACAATCAACAATGCTAAATAAAAATCTTAGTTGAGATAATTTAACAAATAATGGAGCTAAATGTTCCGGCCAAATGGTCGGGTCCATGCTAGTAAAATATGATGGTGAAGATGAACAGACACAAGTAATCAATAGAAAGAAGAAAAAACATAAGAGAATATGGGAGAATAGTGTTTCTTGTTTATTAATTTTTTTTACTATCATCTATTATATAAGTACAAATACATCATTATTTGATTCCAAACATGGATGTACATAAAGGGGTGAGCCATGAAAACAATACATTCTCACGATCAATGTATAGAAAGAAGTTACATATATCATACATATACAAGATGGTTCATTCTTCGATTTCAAGAATTTATTGACTATGTAATGGGATAATGATAATCTTACATATATGTGCCAAGATATCAATCATGATAGGAAAACATGTACATTATGGTTTATAAGTAGATTGTAGATATTTTAAATAGTTGTTTTTTAATTTACATGTTTTAAAAAAGAAAGTAAATTGTAAGTACTTGGATAACACTTAATGATATTTAGCATGGAATCAATTCATATAGTGGCATCTTTGGTTCATGACCAACATCCATTTCTACTTTCTATTTAGCAATGTTGTCAGAACCGAACCGGAGCATGACCCGGTAATGCGAACGGCTCGCACTTTAGCGGTCCAATCGGCATTAGACCGTTTAAAAACCGTTAGAGAACCGGTATCTAATAAACGTTATCAGTATAAATAGTGGACATTTCTTAATCATAGCTCATCTCTTTCCTTCGAAATTGTGAAATGGAAATAAGGATTCAATTTGAGAGCCCGACGTTTTTGGTTTATTTCAATTTTCAATTTTCTACAATTTTTTTATTTAAATTTAGTGGCTGAATGGTAAAAACCGGACGAGCGGCTCGATCGGCTCGAACGGCTAACCGCCTCGGCCACTCGCCAACCGCTACATAAAACCGGAGCGGCTTTTAAACTGTTCCGAGCCGGTTTTGTGATCGGGTGGCGGTTTTACCGGTCGGGCCGAGCGGCTCGACTTTAATAACACTGCTATTTAGTAATAGGCCTGCAAAGGTCGGAATATTCGTGTATCTGGTTGTTCCTATTCCGGAAATTACCTTCTTAGGTGAGAGATCTGTCCCCCTTGGTACAAAGTCAAAATTAGATCAAACTTTTGAAGTAACAAGCGCTGCAGTGGTTAAGAAAAATAAGAAAACTTCCACCTTGTAATGTGTAGATATGAAATTTGCAACTCTTTTTATTGTACAAACAAAGACTCATCATCCTCACTCACTCAACTACAATGGCCTTGTCACAGTTTCTAGAAGGGGAATTTAGAGAAAGCCGATCCAGCAGAAACAAAAGCAAACAATTATTGCCCTCCCTCTGCCATGCCTTGCCTGTCTGTGCTAAGGCTAGCCAGGAACAACTTGTTGCAGACACCAAAAATTACAAACAAACAAACAAAAAACCCACATAGCAGCAGTAGTAGTATAGTATAAGTTAACTTAAAACAGACCCACAAAATTGGAGGATATATTGTATAAAAAGAACAGCAAAAGAATCTTTTTTTTTTCTTTCTTTCTCCCCCACATCTATTCATGATGAATCATGATCAGCACTTGGGAAGATCAGATGGTGGAGGAAGCAACTTCTGATGTGGAAGCTTCCCATCCATTACAACCCATGCCATCCTCAATCCCCAGCTCAGATGAACATCAAAGTGGCAGTGCATCAGCCACACCCCTGCATTCATCCAAACAACAAAGTTTCCAACTTTTTTCTCTGCTGTAAAATTGAAAGAAAGAGTTGGTTAAAATGGACTTTACCTGGATTATCTGCTCGAAACCGGATCGCAACCCAACCAGCAGTGGGCACACCAACTGTGTTCCTCTCAACAGGATCAACTAGGTTGTAACTCTTAGGGTCCTTGCTTGGATCAAAGTTACCAAACCCTTGTCCCACTATGTAGAAATTGTATCCATGGAGATGGATAGGGTGGCTCTCAGCACCAAGGATGCTGGTGCCTTGCAGCACGACCTCCACGGTCGTGTTGAAGGGCAGCACCACGGCTTTGGTCCCATTTGCCACAAATGTATTATTCGGTGGAGTGCCTGTGTAGTTGAATGGGTTCAAGGGGGTTATAGGGAAATCAGTGGTGAACACACCATTGGATTTCTTGGTATAGTAGGCCTGAAGAAGTGCTGTGGAAGGGAGTGGCATGGAGATGTTGTTCATTGATGCTGCAAATCTTGTGCCATTAGGGCCTTGGCATGTCTGGTTGTTAGTTTTATTATTCCCACAAGGGCTGATCCCTAGACCTACCGTGAACAAGAAGGTCCGGTCCACGGTTTGAGGGACAGTGACTGGGAATTGGGCAGTGGCCAATGCCCTGAATTTGCTTGAGAAATTGGCAACGACGTTTGTGGCATTGATGGCTGGGAGGACCGGAGTGAACACGGGAGTAGTAGTAAGGTTTTGGGTTTCTTCATACTCAAGTATCCCAGCAATGGTTGTGTTGTCAAATGTGCCTTGGCCTGTGAAGTATGGTCTAGCTAGCATGTAGAATGTTGCATTGGGGGAGACCGGCTTAGTCTTTAGGAGGACATTAGTGGTTTGGCCTGGCGTGATTAGCAAGACACGGGTGTTGAAAGGCTTGACATAGCCTGCATCAGCTTCAACTACAGTGAAGGTGTGGTTAGCAATGCTGAAGAAGAGATCGTCATTGAGTGCAGCATTGATCAGCCGTAAGAGGTATGTCTTCCCGGGCTTCACCTTCAGCTTGTATGTGTCTGTTCAAAGAAAGAAAGTCACAGAAATTACTCTACTGGGCACAACTTGGATACTGCATTTCAGCAGTAAAATTTTCAACAATTGTGGCAAATTTAGGTACCTACCCTTAGCAGAACAGTTGTACAAGGGGCCTGGGAGACCATTAAGAGTGTATGCATCAGAGACATTTGGACCTCCCCCAGTCTGAAGAGCCTGACTAATGACTGCCTCAGGATCAGCATTGAACCACTCACCTATTTTCAATTTTTGTTCATAACCCATTTTTCAGTTTTATCTCAAGAGTGCTAATGCAGTAAAAACAAATGTTCTGAGAAACATTGGAAAAGACTGGAATTACCAAACATGATAGGGACTTGCTTGTACGGTTTGGGGAAAGGGTAAGGTTGATTGGGTTTAGGGAGGATGATAAGAGGGCCATAGACAGTGGCTCTCATCCAGGTAATATGAGCATGCCAGAATAATGTTCCTCTTTGTCCTGTAATGGTGAAGTTGTAGACATATGTTTGGTTGGTCTGGATGGGACACTGTGTCACATAAGATGGGCCATCAGCCCATCCACTCCTTAGCTGTCGAATTCCATGCCTGGAGTTTCACAATTTTTTTGTTATGTTTCCAATCATCAGAAAACAGAAAGACATGAAGCATGTAGATATTAGCTGAATTGCAGGAACATGTATAAGATGCTCTAACATGGGGGTGGTGGGACTGGGGGGTGTTTTTGCATTATATTACCAATGGATGCTGATGTTATTGGAAACATGATTGACAACTTTCACCACAAGGCGATCGCCTTCTCTAGCGATAACCCGAGGTCCAGGGAACTTTCCATTCACTGTTACAATGCTCTTAGTGTGGCACAACCTTGTGATGTTCTTCAGTTCTATCTGTTTGATTTACACCAAACCCACAAGTGGTTGAGAAGAAGAAGAACAACAACAAAGTAACACAATGTAGCAATAATGTTAGTAGGTAAGAAAAGAGTGTTAAAATTTTTTACGTTGAACTTGTAGTGCCTAGTGACCCCTGCATTGGCAACTTGAGGGAAGGTCCAGAGGCAGGTAATGGCAAGGAGAAATGCCATGAGAACTGCTGCTGTAGCAGCAGACATGAGTTTGTTCTGGATGATAACAGTTATAATCAGTGGATGGAGGATGAGATGTGATTAAGTACTTGGTAGTGGATTTGATGAGAATGGAGGAGACAAATGGGGAGGTTTAAATAGGGGCAGAAAATGGTGTTTTTTTGGTGCATTATTAGTGTAGTAATTGAGAAGGTAATAGTTTCAGATATGGAGAAAGAAAAAAAAAAAAAAAAAAAAGAGCTATTACCTACTGTCACTGGCCCATTGTGCCAAATTTGGAGTATAATCAAAGGCAATTAGTTCACTACTAAAGCTTTCATACTCTTAAATAACAATTACTAAGTTTCCCTTTTCCTTTTACCTTCAACCTTTAGAGAGTTGTTACCAACTGTGGTTATGCAGTACTTCAACCTTATAAGTATGGGTGAAAATTTTGAATCCATTGATCGCTTTACTTCACTGCTATGTGATATGAAAGAGAAGCATGTCTGACACCATGAAACAGTGGATCCAAGTGTCATTTAGCCTTGATGGGCAGGACAAATCAAAGTGTTAGTCCATTGCATGGACTAAAACAACTCCAGACCCATTGTGGCTTCTTTGCACCAATAGAAACCTTGATGTTTAATCAGACAGAAGACAGCAAGAGGGACCCCAAAAAAAGGTGTATCAAGATTTTGGTTGGTGACACCAAAAGTTGCAACCAATGATGGGTCCTTGGAGAGAATCCAAAGAAGGGCCAAAGGGTGACATTCTAACCTTCCTTACTTCCAAGCAAGAGCTAAACGAATCATTAACCTTAGTTGGTTCATCAGCTAATAAGTTAGTTGTTTTTCTCCTTTGAAAATGACAGAAGCAAATCTACCCAGATACAGCTCCAGCTTGGCCATGAAGCCAACTCAATCAGACCAGGGAGAGGCTTGATTCCCTCGTACAAATCATTAACCTTTCAGCTTCTTATCTGGCCTAACTAGAGATGCAAATTTCACGTCGGTTCAAGAAATAACCAGACAAAGTGATTCATGGGTAGATCAAATAGGTAGCATAGCAGAGATTATGAGAAGATATTTCCATCAGTTTTGTAGGTGCACCAACTTCGGTCCTCATGGCTGTGGGTTCCTCTTCCTGTTACGCGTCTCAATGTTTCTTAAATTGGATACAACACTTTTATAATATGTATATAATCCATGGCAGAGACATGCAGGATTGCTGGTTTGCTAAGCCACTCCATAATACACATCCAATGCCAGTAAGCTAGCTGGGCCAGTGTGCAAAAAATGTTTCAGACAATTTTCCCTCCATTTTACTGATAATATAACTTACTACCAAGCTGAAATGTATTCATCTTACTTCATCCTTAGATTATGTCCTGAAATGCATTCATCTTTCTTCGTGTACATTATTATTGAATTAATATCTTGAGGTGATCAATCAGCAAGGAGCGCCTGTAGCTCAGTGGATAGAGCGTCTGTTTCCTAAGCAGAAGGTCATAGGTTCGACCCCTATCTGGCGCGTTTTATTTTGCTTTCTTTTTTTGTTTGGTTTTGCAGCCTTTTGCAATTTCCATTTATCAACACCAAATCCGAAAAACAAAGAGTTGTCGTTCTCTAATCCCAAATCATGACAACGGCAATGACTGCCACCCCAAGAAAGACGGCAACGAACTTAAAGGCCGGAGTGTCGAAGAACAATTTGGATTGGGGCTTGAACCCTTTGGCTATGAGATGGTTGATAGCCACGTAAATGAACACCCCGCAAGCAAGTCCCATGGAGATGGCATATATCCAGTCAGCCACCCTGCCTTCAGCAGTGGCATCAATGGCGATCCCTATCCCCACTCCAACCGGGCTCGAGACCGCAAATACGAATGAGTAGGCCACCGTCGTGAGGAATGGCCTCCTCGGTATCATCCTCAGCAGAGCGATCCCCATCGCTATGGCTGCAAAGATCTTATGCAGTGATATCGTCCACAGGTTCCTCCATGCATCCGCCTTTGTATCTGCAGGTACACCCAAATTAAATCTATTGGTGAGGGAACAAAAGAGAAATGGCGTAGCTAGATTGGTACTCTCTTTTACCTGCAACCCCAATGGCCATGCCCTCGAAAACGGAATGGAAGCAGAGGGCGAGGATGAGCAGAATGGCATCCCCAAGAGAAGTTGTTCTCAGGTAAACAGGTCTGGTCGTCTCAACTTCCACTTCTTTACCACATTCAGCAGCCTCTGCCCTGCCTTCCTCCACCGCGATTCTGGACTCTTTGTCACCGCCGCTCGTGGCATACACGATGATGCAGTCGCTGAGCATCGTCAGAAGGTACCCGGCGGAAGCCAGCATGAAGGCGAATGGGTAAGTGTTGCTTGTCAGACTGTCCAAAGTCTCAGCCGCGTCGCTCAAGAAGTGAATCAGTGACGTTCCGAGGAAGACCCCGCCGGCGAATTGGGTTCCCAGGAGGAGGAAGTTCTCGTTCCATCTGTACAAGTACGGTGACACGCCCCCAGCGAAGGTTGTCACAAGAAGGATGATCAAGCACCATACTTTGACCAAGATCAAGCCTTTCGAGTGGAGATCTGCTTTTTCGTCGTCGTGGTCATCATCATCATCGTGGCCGCCATGGCCTTCCATTGTGGAGATTTGCAGGAGTAGGAGGAGGGAGAATAGGAGGCAGGTTGACTTTCGGTGTATGAGGGAGGAAGAAGACATGGTGGAAGCCATGAATGGAGGAGTTGACTATCAAGAAGCTTCCTTTCCTGGCGAGACAAGGATTGGATTTGATTTCACAAAAGGGAAGACAAGAAATAAATACAGATAAACCAGGAGATGCGCCTCTCCTATTTCTGACCCTTTGTTCCAGTACAGTACAACTTCCACTTTGTAGTATCTGTACTACCCAAGTGCAAGTACCCATTTCAGTTCCGGGAAAATCGGAGAACAGCAACCTTGTACTTCACAGTTCATGCTGTTATGTCTATTTCCTTATACAAGTTGACTTTTGTAAACTCCACCACAATTCTTCTGATCAATATCCCTTTGGCCAAGTACAATGATAATGATGATGCGGGAAATGACGAAATGCGAAATGACAAACGGGCAAAAAAACTCGATAGAGAAGAGAACAAGGCAAAGTGACACACATGTAAAGTCATTTTAACTGATTTTATTAGGTGATGGGCACCAACAGAAAATATGCAGAGACCTAACAGAATTTCAGGAGAAATGAAGCTTCTTCAATCTATGCCCTGCTGCAGAAAGGCTAAGACTTGGGACTACCTAAATACCAGTTTATTTTTTTGGATCATACGCTGCAACAGAAACAAAATGGAAGATGGGTACACTTAGGTATATATAATTTGCTATTGCTATACAGATGCGTTACTTGAAGCAGTCGCGTTAAACATTGTCTGACCCATCCGAATCACTTCCTCTGGAATCCTGCCAGCCTGTCCCCATCCGAAATTTACAAACGGGGCACGTTCCTTGTTGCCGGAGCCATTGGTCGATACAGTTGGTGTGGAACTGTGTCAAGGGGTGAAAGCAGCGGATTCTCTTTAATGAAGCCATACATAAGTATTGCAACAAGGGATCATAGATGATACAAAACAGTACCTGATGCAAACACGGCAAGCTCCGAACAAGTTCACCCCGGCTAACTTGCTCCAAACAAATTGAGCATGTAAGTTCGTCGTCTGAAGCTTTTGCGTTTCCTTCTACCTTTCCAGCCTCTTGCTTTGTCTGTTTAGAATTTGAAAGCAGAACGCTGGTTAACAGACATCAATCCAAAACTCCTAATGAATTATTGATGTTGCAACATGACTGATAAAGAGAACTTAAAATTTCACATTGGGCAGTGCACTCATTATTTGCCATCTAGTTCTACCGGGCTTCACGGAACCCTGCTAAACATGCATTTATCCATTATAGTTCGCTCATAGCAACAAGGAATGGTATTCCCCTAAATGGTAGCAATAGAATGATATGTAAAAGAGGTGTGTGACTAGTGCCTCAAAATGTCCTTTCCATCTATCTCATCTATGTCAAGCAGGGATTACAGGTTGGAACCAGCTTCTGTTCATTATGTCTTAAAACTTCTAGGTTTCAAAAGTCTTAACCATATGATGCTCATAACCACACATCACTATTCAGAGCGTTGAATGCTGAAGTGGCTTCTTTCTCCTGCAAGTCTTTTGCAGGTTTCTTTGCCTGTTCTTTTTCTTTGTACAGTTTTTATCTTTTTGTGAATGCGAATAATATTCGCCATTATAAAAAAAGAATGATTAAGTGGCACAATAGTTAACTAAAAGGAAAAGGGAGCCTACCTCCGCTTTAACGGATGAGGATGATGACTCTGGCCCAGATGCACTGCCTCTGGTGAAAGAAAACAACGAGAAAATCAAATAATGCCAGATCAATTTCAAGGTCAGGGGGGAACCGATAAAGCAAACAATTCCAACTTACATCTCCGATCTTGGGACCTTGTACTTATGAACAGGCAAGGCATTGATCTCTTCCTCACTCATTGAATGAGCAGAAGGAACATTGTCAGAGTCTAATGCTCTAAGGGCATCATAGTCTGCAACACAACAGCAAGAACTAATCACATCCACTCGCCCACATTTCCAATGAATCAGAATCAGAACCAAAACCAAGACATGGTTTGCAATCAAACAAGGACAGAGAGCACCACCATACCTAGGTCATCAAATTCGCGGTCAAGAAGCGCAAGCTGAAGCCTGAGTCCTTGTAATCGCCCTCTTGTAGCAAAAGCAATTGATGGAGGCATATGTAATCGGAGTTCAGTATGACCTAGCAAGCCACTAGCTGCTGCAGCATGAGCTCGTGCCTGTGCTTGAAGTTGCTGACAGGTTGCGTACATTCTGAGGCTAGTGGCCATCAGGAAAACACCCACAACTAACCAAAGCTGCAACCCAGCAGATCATTCCATATCAATACTCTCGCAATGGTAGGGAACATCATTATCAAGGTCATAAGAGATGACACCCAAAACAAACATACCAAGAAGTTTGGTGACATCTGATGCGAATTCAAGATCATGAACAGAAGCAGAACTGCTGAACAAATAGGTCAGAAAATCCAAATTAATATGAGCAATAACAGCCAACGCATCAATTTTCAAAGGGAACAAGGAAGAGGCAGAAACATTACTTGTGGCAAGAAAAGCCATGGAATTTGAACTGACCGGCCGACCTGCCGCTGCCGCTCCATGAATACGCTGGGTGAAGGAAAGGGTTAGCAGAATGTGAAATTAGTTCCCCCGCAATGCAGAAGTCGATCTGGGAAATATGCACGCTGACTACAATTGCATGAAACACAGAAAGGAGCATACCACTGCAGGTCGCTCGGTCATAAACCCAGAGAATCCACTCTCAATGTCTCCTCTACTACCACGAAAAACAAAGCTCATGTTTCCAGCAGCCTTCTAAGACAATATATCCTGCCCTAATCTGTCTTCAAGATCCGAAAATCTACAAAATGAAAAAGAAGTGAGTGCCACTAAGATCAGACAGGTATAGAACTCAATTCCCCCGATACCAAGAATCCCAACAGGTCAATTGACAGGCCTGGAAACCGCAAAAATCCGTACATTATCAGATAAGGGGACAGGTTTAAAGAGAACCTAAACTGATCGCCAGCCAAGAACCCCCAAAAAAGAGAAATAACTGCAACAGAACTTTCAAGATTGGCCTAACCATAAGAGGGGAAATCACATTACCCCCTCTTCGCCGAGAAGTAGGGGAACCAATTGATGAGAGATCGCACTAGATCGGAACTCAGCCAGCCGACCAGTTGCAAAGGGGAGGAGGTTCAAGCTTGAACAAATTGGGATCGATCGGAATGCGTAATGAAACAGAGGGGAAGACAGACTTACTCTGGGATTGTGAGACTATCAGTGGGATCGGAGAGCCGGTTGGATGTCGGCGCTTCTACTCGCTTCGTCGGAAATCTGGAAGTGGCAGCTCTAGTTGGCAGTTAAAAGGATTGTGCTATCGCCGCCGTCTCTGGTATAGGAAAAGAGAAGTAATAGCTTCGGGAGAACTCTCGAGAGTTCGACACGTCAGCACGATTCCCGCGCATTTATAGCCACGAACAGACTAATCCGCCGGCCCTTGCTTTTCCAGTGACCATACATATCTCATCTCCACCGTCCGTTACGGATTTGTGTTTCTCGTTTTGTCTTTCTTTTCGGGGTGAGAGAAGGGTTCCATTTTGATTTATTTGGGGATAATGTCCTATTTTGTTCCAAAGTTTGACCTAGATGATATTTTTGCACTAAACTTTCAAATAATACTTATGATCAATTTTTTAAAGAAATGGGCTAATTTAATACAAAATCTGCATTGATCATCAATACTAAGGTTTAATTATATTCACCGTTAATGATTGAGCAAAAAAAACTGCTAATCTGACTGATGCATGGTCGTCACATCATTATTCTTTTTTTGTTAATAATTCAACCAAAAATAAAATAACTCAAAAAATTTATTTAAACCTCTCAATCCAAAGAGTTTGTATCGTAACCCCCTCTCTAATCGAACTCAATTCTCACCCCTGAAAACGGCGGGTTAGAGCTGGAGCCGGAGGCCGTGCTCGACACTCGCTGGCCGAAGAGGGGCAAGCGCCGCGTGGCGGAGAGTCTTATCCAGTGGAGACACCTCGGACCGGAGGAGGCGACGTGGGAGGATACAGAGACCTTTCGTCAAAACTATCCTGCTTTTGACCTTGAGGACAAGCTCGGTTCTGAAGGGGAAGGGAGTGTGACCAGCACGGGCGCAAGGGCCGACTCGGCCTAGGGAGGGTAGTTTGGTCACTTATTTGTTATTGGGGAGATAACTATTTAAGCAGCAAAGACTTGTTATTTCGATTAAGCAATAATAATATCAAAACCCTAAATCCCTAATTCCTCTTCTATCTCTCAATTCTCAACCCAATTCTCCTCAATTCCCAATTCTCAACCCTAATTCTCCTATTCTCATCCCCAATTTCTGTCTGAATCATTCGTGATTCTCACATATATCCTCGTACCATATAAACACCTGGTTGTATTGCCAGATGAATGGCAAGAATTGTCTTATTGTCTCCTCAAGAAAACAGTTATGAAAACAATTGAATACACCAAGTACCCCGAATCCCAATCAATCGGGGACTCAACACACTTCCCCCGTCAAAGGAGGAGCCGACGACAATGGCACCAGAGGCCGAGGGTGCAACTGCGGAATCCAACTATCAATAAGGATATCTATTCCCACCATGGATCCAACCTGCCATCGGATACCCTCCTAGACGAGATCTGGCCTTAGACTGAAAAAGTGTACCATGAGAGAATTACTTCCCTTTATGCGGTCTAGCCATGAGGGATTCTAGATCATAATAATCCTCCACCACACTTTAGCCAATAATGCCTTTTTTATAAGGGTGATATAGATTTTTTTTTCTTTTTTTGTGATTAAGGTACAACTTAAGGGATTCGAACCTGAGACCTCCAAGTTCTAGACTAGTGGTATTACCACTAGGCCAAGCCCTTGTTCGTGTCTAATTAAACTGTTCGAATTCTGGAAACCTACTCCGCCCTCATGCTTACTCCGACAAAGCGAGCGCCATGATACCCAATGAAATCTATTCTAACCATCCTGCACACCCCACCAAAATCTAGCCACGTGCATATCCAATTGCCGATAGAGAGTAACTGGTATTTTGACCCACGACGTCACATAAACCGACAAGGTTGTTGCGACTGCTTTTAGCAGAGTTTCCTTACCCACCCAGGACAAATAGCATTGCTTCCACCCTTGTAGCTTACTTCACATTTTCTCCTCCAAGAAGCAAAAAGTTCCAGCCTTGGAGCGGGATATCAGCATAGGCAAGCCCAAGTACGTGTCTTGCACACCCACCGCTCCAACACCCAAAAATTGTGCATCGTACACTTCGTCGTTGGTATGATTTTGCTTAAGAACACTGCCAATTTGTTCAAATTTACTCTTTTACCACTCAACTCTTCATATGTTTGAGGTAGGGGTGGCAGTCGGTCGGTTATCGGTTAAACCGAGCCGTCTCCCAAAGCTGTCGACCGCCGACCGTGAGAAGACGACGGTTAATCGGCCACCGATCGACCGATTTTTCGGATTTGGTTCGGTTAGCCGTGGTAACCGGAATGGCAGACAAGATGGTCTGTTGCAGGCGAGCCGGCGAGTTAAACGAGGTGATGGTGCAACAGAGGGGCGTGGTCGGGGCGAGGGCGCCAGCAGCAAGCGAAGGCGTCGCCGATGTCGCGGTTGATCGGCGGAGGGTTGCTAGAGCCGGCAGGGGAGGGCAACGACGGTGGTTGCTGGATTTGGGAGGTCGGCGTGGGTCGGCAAGGGAGAGTTGTCGCCTCTCGCTAACTCTCATCAATGGCTCGCCAAAGAAATCCTAATTCCCCAAATCTAGAAGCCGGGAAAGCGCCACCGCCATCCCTTCCTTTCGGTGAACCAACGACTTGACTTTCTCTTTAGATCGAGAAGACTTCTTTCGAGTTCATGGAGCTTCGCGGAGAGCCGGGTTCGCTGGGAGTGGGTCGCCATGGAGGAGACGGCGAGGCGATGGTGGACGGCGGACGACACTGGTGGTGAGGGGTGAGAAGAAGAGTTAGGAGGGTGAAGGGCGGCGGGAGTGGAGGGTGAGTGGTGAGGGTGCAAGGTCGGCAAAGAGGTAGGGTTTGGGATTTCTTTTATTTTTACTTTTCTATCATTGAAACGATGTTGTATGGATATCGGTCGGTTAGTTCGGCTAATCGGCTAACTTAGTTTTGGTTACTCGGTCAAACGAGACTATCCTCACCACCACCGGCCGCATCAATTAACCGTCGGTTTTCAATTAGCTATTAATTGGCGATTATCGGTTAAAACGGCCGGCTAACCGAGAGCTCTTTGGGATTGGATGGAGTTTGTTGGTTCCTTTGGGATGGAATTGGTAGTTTCCCTCTGATTTTCTGCGATTGGTTGCGTGGAGGTTCTCTCCTTGCTCTTGCTCGCGTTGGATCTCAGGGGATCTGGCTACATCCAGTGACCTTTTCAGTTTCGAGAAGCTGTGCAGAGGGGTCTTGGTGACATTATTGCTCTGTCTGATACAGACTACAGAGAAGCTTAGAAAGTTTTCATTTCTCCCAGGCCGTCAGAGAGTTTGCATTGGCTGGAGTTATTGGTCTACTACCCGAGGTGACTAATTTGCCCTTTTAGTTTTTGGAATAAATGCTGGATTTTTCTCTACCACACATCGGGATCGAAATCATTTTCAATCATCCCATTGCGCTTGATAAAAAAAAAATCAGGTTGCAGCCTCAGAGAGTGACAGTGAGGTTGGGAGAGAAGGTGAGAGTCAAGAGACGAGTTAAAATCACATTTTGTTTAGGTGGAATATGTCTCTTTGCATTCCACCCCAAAATTTGTTTTCCAATTCTCTCTCATATGTCTCTCCAATCTCAACGTGTATCGCATCCTCTCTCAACTTGCTTCTAATCTTCCACTCTCAAGGCAGATCGACTCTTTTATCTTGCTGATTTTTCTGTGTTTGATTGTTGGGTTTGATATTGATTGGGAAACAGAGTGATCCGGATAGCACTTTCGGAGTCAGCGCTTCCGGCTGTAAATTCCTGCACCTTTGGTGGGTCATTCTTCACTCCTGGATGAGGACCAAGGGAGTGCGAGTTATAGAGCCCGCGATTTGTTGATCTATAGGTTCCCTCAAGCCTTTATGTTACTGGTCATGTTCTCTCTCTCTCTCTCTCTCTCTCTCTCTCTCTATCGGTTTTATTTTCTGATCGTTCATATATCGGTTCAGTTTCTCTTTTTCTTCCTCATGAGTGCCTCTTTGATATTTTTGACAAAGTATGACGACTGGTTTGTTTTAGGTTTATTTTGCCCGTCTGCTATAATGAGACCCTAAATTATGCCTATTGTTTGTTTTTTGTAGTTGTATTCTGTAAGCCGAGGAATGAGTTGGTCTTGGTGGGTGCTTGGATTTGTTTTGTACCATGCCTTTGAATGTAATAATGTATTTTTTAGTTGGCAAAATACATATGTGTAGCCAAAACTTTAACGGTTTTGCCAAATGTAGCCACTTTTGGCGAAATACCAAAAATAGCCAGAATTTTGAAAGTTTGATGACAATAATAGCCAATTCCGTTACATACTTTAACGGTGTCAAATTAACGGTAAGCTCATTGGGCTGCCAACTCATCGGACATGTCATCGACACCTCAATAATTGATGACACGTAGATGCCACGTATTATTTCAATTAAAATTTTAAATAAATAATTGTATTTGTATTTTTTTTAATCACAAAATTCAGTTGAAAAAAGAAATAAATCTGCAATCCCCTTTCATCTTCTTCCTCTCGCTGGGAACAGGGAAACTCAACCCCATCCATCCACCCACAAATCTCCTCCTTCCCACTCTTCCTGCTCCCTCCGTCAGGGAAACCCAAACTTCATCCCACTTTTTCCACACTCCCCTTCACCCTCACTCTCTTCTCCACCGCCACCATCCCCTCATCTGTCTCCTCCACCCTTCTCCCGGACACCATCGCCTCCGCACTCCTCCACTACGCCACCACCAACGCTACTGCCCGCCACATGAACCCGGCCTAGCTCACCACCGGCGACTTCGGCTTACTAACTTTTGGAGTTTGAAAAGCCGGACCGTGCCATGAGAAGCCCACAACTTCCGGATAGATCTAGAGAGTGGGAGAGATATGACGGAGCAACAACGGTAATCTAGAGCAAAGAGGGGTTATTCTTCACTGGTCGGGACTCGATGACGGCGTAACCCAGGACCCTAACGGCGACTTCATCAGATCTAAGAACTGATAAATCCAGTCAGCGAAGAGGGGTCGTTCTCTCCCTGATCGCGATTCGACGATGGCAGTAGCGGCGGAGACCAGGAACTCGACGAAGGGTCATTCTCCCCCTGACCGAGATTCGACGGTGGTGGCAGAGTCGAGGAACTCACGATGCGCCTCGAATGTTGATGCTTTGGTATTTTTGGCTTGCAGATGGCGATCTATGTGGCGGTTGCTGTCTTTATTAAGAGAGGAATTGGGGAGAGGGATAGAAAAATCGGGGAGAGGTAGAAGCTGATTGGAAAGAAAATTCTGGGAAGAGGGATGGACAAATCTGGGGAAGCTGGATAGGAAAGGGGAAATCAGTTGCAAAATGGAGAAAGATGGCCAAATTTGTATACTTCGGCAGATGGATTGTTGGAAGGGAAGCAGAAAAATAGCAAAGGGAGAGAAAATAAAAAATGTTAATTAATTTTTTAATTGATTAAATATTGCCAGGTCAGCATTTCCGGTAGCCCAATCAGCACGTTAGCTCACACCGTCAAAGAATTGAACAAAAGTGGCTACTTTTGGTAGTTTGTCAAAAGTGGCTATGTTTGGCCAAACCATCAAAGTTTTGGCTACCTAAGTGTATTTTGCCTTTTTAGTTTGATATTTACTACAGAAACACATGTATTTTATCTGTGTTCTTGGGGTATGATGTAAAGTGTTGTATGATTCTATGATTTTAGGTTTAGATTGTGAGTCATAGGATTTGATGGGTATCTGGCGGCAACAACGACAAAGATGAAAGTTGCCTTCTGTGGCCGATCATGAACCAGGGGATGCATGGCAGTATCTTCCTAGAGGAGAGCGGGTCTTTCTCAACAGGCATAAAGCTCGCTCATCTTCGGTTAAGGAAATGCATCGGTTGCAGTGTTTGGTAGCTTCCTTTTAGTGCTTCTCCCTCTTGAGTCTTGACCTTTCAGTCTTTTCGATTAAGAATTTTTGCGTTAGTTTTTAATCATTTCTCTTGCCTGTATCGACTTCAGGTGTTCTCTCCATACACTGTTGGTGATTTTTTATGCCATTGAATCAACGAATCCACGTCTGATCCCTTTTGGAAACCCAATGATTTGGGTAAGCCTCGCTCCTTTCCTATTTCCATTCACTTTTTAGAATCTACTTTAATTCTTGTGTTCATGTTAAGATTATGCTTATAATGATAATAAATTTTTTATTCTAGATAAGGGTGGTCGATTGTAACCTGGGTTAGCTACTTCAACATTGCAGAGGTGTTCAAGAATTTCGGTGTATTATTTTGGTATGGTTCCTTTCCTCATACGTTTGGGAGATTTGGTTTCTTTTGTTGGATTCATTTGGTTGTAGCTTCTTCGATGGCCTTGATTTATGGCTTTTTGGATAAACTCTCTTTTGGTGATTAGGCCCATGATTGTTTTCCCTTTTTTATTCTTGCGAATTGATTGGATATTTTCACTTTTTCAGTTTTCTCTCTTTAGTAATATCCTATGTTTATTCTGCCCTCCATGTATTTAAGAGAGTATTTGAACCAATCTTTTAGGTTTACAAATTACATGTACATCATCTTTGTATGATATCCACTGATTACTGTTAATGATTTCAGGTCTAATGCAACCAAATGGAAGTATGGAAATGGAACTATCCACCTATGGTTTTTGCATCAATGGTGAATGCTCTTTTTGTTCTTAATCTATGTAACGTTAAATGTAGCTTTAAATTCGGAAATGAAGATATGTTGATTATGAATTCTGCACTCTAGCTCACATTTTCTTGATGTTCATGCAAATTTCTTCATCAATTGGTTGGAGAACAAACTTTGGATGATGGAAATCAGTGGAATAAGTAAAATAAGTTGTTAATAATCCAGTCAACATGCTTTGGGTTGTTTTATGTGGTTAAGCTGATATGTGGATCCATCACTCCATAGAACATTGGAATTTGGAAAGTTGATCGAAAATATTTCTCCATTTTGCCTAAGTATGCAATCATAGGGTCTAAAACGAATTCAACCTAAATTCAAACTTCTCAGTTGTTATGTACCAACTGCTGTGCTCTATTGTCGATTTGATTTTATTCACAACCCTATGGCCTTCGTTCCGAGCTTCTCTACTATTTGCCACCATTAATATAGGCAGTGCTAAAATAATCTTCTTATCTAAGAATTTCAAAGGAAAGTAATAAAATAAACCTTGATATTTAAGCAAAGATAAAACTAAAATTAATAGCCTAATTATAACTCCCATTTCAACGCAGAAGTAGCTCATTGACATCCGGTGCAGAAAATGGTGAAATACTTCTCAATTATTAATTGTACCAAATTACTTAATAATTATATCTTCATATGTCACATATCCCGTCGCGGAGTGCGGGCCAAGAAACCTAGTTCATCATTAATCGAAAACGAAGAAGACAAGACACATTCCTTTAGTAGTATCAAATAGAATTTTCCTTATTGGCTAAATACTTTAAATAATAATAATTTTAGCCTCTCATGTTATAGGCTCAAATATTATGAATATACTTTATTGGTTTAGTTTTAGCTTAGTAGAACTTACCAAATTACTTAATAAATTATATGTGAATAATGACGTAAAAATTGTAGAGCTTTCTAAGTATTATGTGGAAAAAAAAACTTTTTCAATAACCATCATATCATAACTAGCTTTTTACCCGGCCTGTTGGCTGAAGAGATTTATTTTATAATTTATATTAATTAACTTATTTATATTTTTAAATTATTTTGTATATTCTAGATATTTTGTGTTCTCTATTCATAACAAAGTTTGTAGTATGTTTATATTGAAAATTTTCAATATTTAGCACAGTCACTTGTGATGCTTTGGTTTTCTAATCATAAATTATACCGCTGTCACGTCCCATTTAGAACTTATGTCAAATTTTTCAACCAAAACACTAATATTCAACGTACGACAACCTAAACCACACACACATATAGTTCAAGCTAGCGTGCGCCAGGAGTACGCTATATTCTTGTATTTACACTACCATACGACCATTGAGTTTTATATTTAGATCCCGAATTAATTATAGTTTTTTTGGGCATGATATTATACCATAACCTCTAATAGATGAACTCCAGTCCCTAATTCTCTAACCTCTAATTTATGCACATACTTCGTCATAACTATCTTCTATCTTATCTTGAGTAAAATCAAAAGTGTAGTATACCTTGATATTATATATTATATGATGGCGTCTTCGGTGTACTCACTTTTTTGGGTGCATTCAGTGCACTCGCATCATAACCATCATTTTAAATATGCGATTTATGTCAAAATGATGTCAATCATCACTTATGATATGATGAACAATAACGCACATGAATTTGCACAAAAAACATTAAAAGATTTACTTTAATTGGAAGGATTTAGAGTTTAGAGATTTAGGGTTAGAGTTAGGGTTTACAATTTGGGGTTTAGGGACAGAACTCAAATTTGGAGGTCTAGGACTTAGGGTAATCCAGTAATTAGTTGTTATCATATGTTATATCATCATATTACACTAATTTTCTACAAATTAAAATCCAAAATCCGACACCTTAAGACTAGTTTTTGAGTTGGGTGCATTGAACACACTCATTTTTGTGAGTGCACCGAAATAGTCACCATATATATATAATATACATCAAAGGTAAGATAGCCTAACGGTAAGCTGCCGCAATAGTGAAGGCTTGGGAGTTGCAGATCCCAAGTTCGAATCTAAGCGAGGTCCGTTGGTGTTCCCAAAGGTATAAGGCTTCTGGGGGCGAAGCCCCGTTGGTGTCGAATTGAATGCAGGTGGCCCCCAGGTTTAATAGGACCCGCTGTCACAAAGTGGCACGTGGGGATGAGGTTCCTCGGTTATAAGAAAATATGTATGTATATATATATATGTGTGTGTGTGTGTGTAGTAGACTCAAAATTATCCAGATACTTCGTCAGACCTATCTTATCTCGCCTAATACTCATATTAAAGTGCTACTTGCCTATCCCCCACCCCCGGGATAGAGATCCCGCTTTTACCCCCATAACGTAAGACAACCATCGGGCGTTGTCTATCGTTCAATATGTAATATATATAAAGAGGCAAATCCTAAGTCCATGCTATTTATTTCTTATCCTCTCCCGCCGCCCCTTTCATGGAGAATAAAAGGGTAGGGATGACAAGATCATAGCTCGATATAGTTTTATTTTGTTCATCCTATCAGAGGTTATGTTATTTTCTGCTTTTTTGGGCTTCTTTTCATTCTTCTTTGGAACCTATGATTGTGATCATAGGTCTTTAGTCCTCGAAAGGGATTGAGATTTTAGGTCCTTTGGAAATCCAATACACATTCATGATCCTCGAGTTTGGACGAACTCTCGACCAATGTTGTAAAGATTAGGACTTTTTAGTGAGAAATTCTTAGTAAAGATACTTCATTATTAAATCAATTTATTCATCCATATTGAAACTTGACACACACCATAGCCCTTATGATGATTAAATTCTCCAATCTCGACTCATTTCCATTTTGGATGTTAGTTTTTTTATGAAGATGCTTAAATTTAGTATATTATACAATATGTATAAATCGTTAATTCTTGAAGTTTAGACTATACCTCACCCGTGGTCATTGTTATGTTGACTTAGAATCTCAATCTAATACATTCATACACACTATCGAGGATTTTGGTCTTAACATGGTCGTTGAATGTGTAATTTTCAAATATTTTATCACATATATTAATAATTGATAAAGAGTGTCTACAATACACACATATTTCAAGTGCAATTAAAATGTCTTATCATTTGAACAATATTGGTAGATTTCATTTGATTATTTGCATTAACTTATTATCTTATACAACATATATCAATTCGTGTTTCTCGAGTTTGGACGAACTGGCAACCAATTTTGAGAGTTGAGATTATTGGATAAAAATACTTGATTGCTGGTTAAATATGTTTATATCCCAATTGACTATCATACTAAAAATTGTCAACCTTTATTTTGTAAATGCCTAGGTTAGTAGTTGCTGAAACATGATGTTTATCATAGTGTCATCCTAGGGTATGAAGTCAAAGTTAGTCAACAATCATATTTAAGTCATTTTGAAAATTTTGATTTATAATTCTCGACGATAACGCCTATCTGAAAGAAAATTTCTTAGCTTACGACTTAGAACCTCAATAATGCTTGCTCAATCAACATGAGATAAACCAAATATTATCAATTTGAATTTATGACACATTATAAAATTATTGCACATGTGATTCCTCTTCGTTGAGCCGTTTAAGGTAGAACATGATCTGAATGAATAAGAAATCTTTTTAAATAAATAACTGTAACTACTCGATCAAGATTATACTATGACATTTTGCTAAATAATACTTGAATGCCAAATTTTTATTTTCTCTCTTTTCCTATATATTTTGTTTAATTGATAAAAATTTATTGTTTATGTGTATGTTTGTTTAATTTTTTTTTATCAAAATGTAGCTTATCATTCAATTTAGTAAAAATGAGTAGAAAATTTTCTTCATAAGGTTTAATAAGATATTTATTATTTAAATGAAAGTGATATATATCATTCTCTGTTTTCTTATTTATATCTTGTTTACTTGACAAAAAAATATTATTTATGTGTTTTTGATTAATTTTATTAACATGTAACTTATTATTAAAAAAAGAATAATTGGATAAATGAAAAGAATAATTGGATAAAAGAAATGAAAATATTAAAGAAGAGAGAGATAGCTCCATAAATAAATTAATAACTAATTTTTTTGTTTGTAAAAAGGTTGTCCAACTAGGCAAATTGTGAATCCTCCAAGTGCTTATGTGGCAATAGATTGCTTTTGAATTGCCATAATATATTTTATAGATAGATAGATAGATAGATAGATAGATATAAAGTACGAATTTACTAATTAAGGTCATATTACCAAAATAAATTAATAATAAAAATAATAACCATAATAATGATTAATAAGAATATATTGATAAATCTTCTTCTCTACGATTATGAAAGGGCGACGATAATGGGCAGCATTTTGCATTGTCATGAGAAAACCCAACATTAGTTCTCTATGTTCTAAAAGATATAAATATGCACTTGATATTGATTAATTAAAAAAAGAGGTGACAAATTGGCAAATATGTCCATTCCTCGTCATATTAATGTTTTACAGTTGCAAAATAAAAGATGAACTTTTACGTTATGTATGTCGTCATAACTTTATATACCATTGAACACGTGTAGTAATATGGCAAAGTCTTTTGTGTGTAGCAGCTAACGGAATATTGGACTTACCACTACTATCTTACAATATCATATATGCCATTAAACTACAAATGAATTCCAAAGAGTCGCCCATCAATTTAAAAGAACGTCTTCTTCTTCTTCTTCTTCTTTCTTTTTATCCTCTTTTAATTCTAACGAGTAGAGGTATCATTGCATTCATAAAATCAAATATTGGGGGGTCATCATTGCACCTATTATATCACCGTTATTTTTCTATGATGTTGCGAGTTAAAATTTTAACTTCACAAGACCCAACTCCTCAAATTCACAAACAGATAAGGAAGCAAGACAATTAGAATATGAAAGAAAGAACTATGATGATAAATAATAAAATAATATAACGAGATACAACTAACACATTATAGAGAGAACTTACACATGTGTCTCTATCATCATTTGTCACTTCCTTCATCTCATATTTAACTTTATTAGCAATTGCTTTATTTCTCAAATTTCCCCTAGATTTTCATTCCCCTTTAACAATCATCCCCTCTAATCCTTACGTCTTCTTGTACATTTATGCTCAATTTTCATATAGTTTCTTCCAAGATTAGAAGAAGATCAGAACCATACTTTCTAGTGCTACAATATCATCCCTCGCCACCAACTATAGAAAAGGGTTTTAAATTCTAGCTACACAAGGAACCAAAATTGGAAGATTCATTGGATGTTCTTATGTTGATTATGTACATAAATAAGTTAAGGAGAAAGATCCACAAGCTTAAAGTTGGAGTCCCTTAAAAAAAAAGCTTAAAGTTGGAGGGGAAAAACAATAAAAAACTTCAACAACGTAGAAGAATCTCACCATCTATCTGTCCACATTGGTCTCAGCTTCCAAATCGATACCTCTACCCCTCCTTCTCATATGTGCTCCCAGACTTGAACTCGAACGTGTTGATGAGCTCCTATTAAATGATCCAAAAGAAACTGATTCGCCCCGCATATTTGAAGATGAAGAAGAAGACCTAAATCGCAATAAGGACAAAAATCCACGGACAATTCTTCTCAATCCACCACTATTCCCCCTACCTCGATTGGTTCTGGTAATCCATGAAACCCTTCTTGGAACACCACTTCTTCCACCTCCTCTACCACCATTGAATCCTTCGTCCATCTCTGTAAGCACTCCTGGGGAATTCCTCTCACTTACCCTCATTCTGCCTCTGAATCTCCCCACTGCAAACCCTCCTCCTGGAAGCCTCCATATCGTTAGCCCAACAATCTCCTCTATGGGTGATGTCTCTTCTACATTCTCACCTTCTTGTTGATCTCTCGGCAACTCATGTCTGCACACCGGGCAAGAATTACGAATTGCAAGCCATGGGAGGATGCAATCAGAGTGGTATATATGTTTGCAAGGCATTTCTCGAGCTCCGAAACCAATCTCAAATGGCTCTTTGCATATGGCGCAATTCGATTCGGAGAGCACGATTTTCTGGTCGATCTCCACGGTTGGAAGCATTTCAACTACTACCTTTGAAGCAGGTGGGTTCCCAATCCGGCCAAAGCTACTTATCTCATTCTGGTCCAAATGATTCAACAATAACTGAAAGCCAGATATCATCAAGAACTCAGATATGGAGGTGGGCACTGGTCTAAGGCCTGACCCAGTCCCATCATCATAGTAGAGCTCATACGTGCTCCTGCCTTCTATGATAGCACCACGTAATACCACGATAGGGTTATACGAGAATCGATCCCCTACATTAGGATGCGTCCGGCAAAACCTTAAGTTGGGGAATCGATTAGAATTTCTTCTTCCCCTATGTGAGTTCAAGGCAACATTGTTACCCAACAAGTTTATTATACGGTACGGGCTCTCAACTTGGGCATTTGACTGGATTTGCTCGATGAATTCGTTACCACAATGTGAACAATAAATTCCCAAGTCGTTGGTGGACAAAAAGGTAACAAATTGAGTGCAGTTGTAACACCAATACAACAAGGGAGGCGAAGATGTGGATGGTGCAATGGTGGATGATGACATGATTCTTCTTTTCTTTTTACATATAACTTCAAATCCGCAAACGATCATAGATATCGAAAGAATGAAATATTTTGAAGAGATATATGAGGAGAATTTTGATTTTATGGAGAGCAAAAATAGGAAAGTGGACATTTAACACAAGAAAGAATATGGGTGGTGATGGTGTTCGAGGAAGGAGGGTGAGAATCGCAAAGATGCATCCATAAGTGATGCATGAGCAGCCCGTATTTTCCGGGATCAAAATTAACCAAGGATCATGTAATGATCACAAATTAGGATATTTGAAACAAATTTTACAAAAAACAAAATAGTCAATAAAAACATTTCCCTCAACTTCATCCTTGTCATGGTAGGTAACAACCACACAAAAATTCTCTCCATCGTTCCTTACGTCGTTCAAGAATGAAGTACTATCTTTGACAAGTATGTGGCCTGGGCATAAACTATTTTTGTATACAAACAAGAAAAAAATGTTTATGGTTCACATTCCTCTTTAGACAAAGTTCAAACAACTTTATGAGAGTGTAAGATTATTGTGGAATTTGAATTCTCAGTAAACTACTCTTATACAACTTTCTTATGAGTTTGAAAATTACAAATTCGATCATGCATACTCGTCAAAGGCATCTTGTTAGAGTGTGCGTTCGAACTGCCTGATTTGTTGCCCAAGACATACATATCAAACATGACCAAAAGCCCTTAGTCGGTCCTACTAGTTAACTATGGACGTCTAACCAAATTATTCTCTCCCTTATCAACTACAACTACACTAAATGGAAGGGGGGAAATCAGGAGTCAATAAACACTTGAACCCACCACTTCAAGATTATAATATGTAGTGGAAATACTAAATTAGAAGTTCATCATGTTTTTTTTTTGTTATATTATCGTAACTTGAATTAGTTGTATAAAAATGAGGATCATCAAAACATCATATGACTATAGATCACAAAGGATCACCGGTACCAAGCCAACACAAAGCATGATTCCAATTTGAAAAGAAAAGCCAAAATTAAAAACCAAATTTCATGGGTCGAAGGAGTTGTAGCCAAAAAGTAGAGACTTTCACAAACTCTACCATATATCGTCCGGTCCTCATCCTTGTTCATATTGGATAAGGGGGTCTAGCAACTACATTTAATGATAAAATGCTATAATACTCTGTCACTCGCCTCTCATAGTACCAGTCACATCTCTCTTTATTCAACTTTTTCAATGTTGCAATACCATTTTCTATCTTAAAAGTTTTGTAACAAATATAAGAAATGAAGTAATTGGTAAATATTTACCCCCTACCCAATTATCATAGTTCAAATCTCTTGAGCGTAGATATTTAATTCCCTTGTTTAGATTTATGGCTCTGCGACTGATCTCCACACCAAACCACATCTCTGAGATAAAATTCCTTAATTTCCAAGTAATCCAACATTGGTATTGAGCTTGTAAACCTACAACTTGAGGCTTATTCCATTATTTACAATATTGAATCGATGCACACAAATCAAGGTTAGTGGTTCGATGAGCCTCCATATAGTCATGCAGCTCATTGAACGACTTCATTCACTTTTTTTTTTACAGAAAACTTTAGTTCATTAAAATTAAAAACCAATGGAAGGGTTACAGCATGTGAAGGTACAATAAAGAGCATAAAGGAACTTCAAGGTCCACAATAAAAAGCACAAAGTTGAAAAGAAACAGCCCAACAACAGAGGACCAGAAAACCCTAACATTTCCTTCAAACAATCAGATCCCTTAGCAGCCGCCGTAAGGGACACCAGATCAGTCGTTGTCTTCACCAAACTTCATCCATTGGCGGCAAGCAAAACAAAACCGACAAAGCTCATGAAGGGAGAGACAACGAGAGCACTCGCTTGAAAAGACGAACACACCCACCACAAATCATCCAAAACAAAGAAACCAAAGCTTCAACAAGATTGGAGGTAGCCGAAGCAACAAAATATGGACCATGAGGCAATCTTCTAAGAAACATAACAGCGACCCTGCCCTCAGACTTCAAGAATGAGGGTTCGTGGTCTCACATAGGAAGGCTGCTTCTCCACCAATCACCACGCCAGTTTCGAGTAAAGCAAGGAGGAGGAACACATGAATCTTGAAAGGAAGAGTGCAAACCAAAGGGAGGATCCCTTGAGCTCACTCTGAAACCAAATAAAGACCACAGATTTGTAGAAAATAGATCGGATCTAGCAAAAAAAACATCTCCATGAGAGAGTCTATGGAGGATTCCACTTAGGGAATTGCAAAGAGCCAAAAAGGGCTGGAAATGTCAAAATAATGGCTGGAAAAAGCATAGAAAAGGAAAGAAACACATTAGAGAAAGCTGGGAAACAATGGGTTGTCGTCGGTCACCCTAGAGGTGTCGGTGGCAGCCGAAGGAAAAAAGAGTAGAAACTAGAGAGATGAGAGAGCGTTTGCAACTAGAGAGAAAAAGTTTTATGGTTGCATCAAGTTGTTTCAATCATCCGACTTCATTCACATGAACCTTAGAGTTATTAACTTTTTGGTTGTTACCATATAAATTAGGGGTGGAAAATGGGCGGGTGTGGTTACCCGCACCACATTTTGCGGGTACCCACACCCACATATTTGCAATTATGCTACCCACAACCCGCACCGCAATGGTTAGTGGGTGACGACTACCCACTGCAGGTTGGGTGTGGTTACCCGCAAAAATCTATCTTTGCAAGTATGGAGTGGATGCCTCCACTAACGTATTTTTTTTTCGTAGCTAGACTATAATGATATAAAATTGTGTCGTTCGCGGAGATATAATTTTGTATATCGATCTTACTCAACGTGTAGATTATTTCTTTTCGAGTTTGGTTTTCAACTTTTGTGTCAGGGAGCTGTGATTTCAGATATAATCTTGTATTTTCTTTCACACAAAAGCAAAAACGTACAGATAAAATTTACTAAAGGTGCCAACTTTTAATGAAACGATTATTACCCACTCTCTCGATTATAGTGTTTTATAAACTAAAAAATTCTCACTTAAAGCTGCTTAGATGCGTATTTGATTGTGTGGCTACTTTAGTTTGTTGCCTCCCACTTTTCACATACTATTATATTATAAAGTATTATTAGTAAATAAATATAATAAGTGTGGTTAATATGGATTTTGTGGGTTAACCGCGGTGGATAGTGGGTAACCACTAACCACAAAAGTTATTATTTTACTACCCATACCCAACCCACTACGCACAACTTATGGTATGGTTACCCACAATGAATGTGGGTTGGTGCGGTTTGCAGGTTATCCACAACCCGCAACCCAAACTTCCACCCCTAATATAAATCACTGGAGGGTGCAGAATTCCTAAATAATGGGTATAAACTCTTTTTTTTCAAGTTAAATAAGCAAATTGTAAAATAAAGTGAGAATTTTTTTCTTCGCTACACCCAGAGATGAAATCTATCAAAAAACCCACTAATATTGATTCGGATCTAATTGTAAACTTTTTATCCACGTTTCTCTTTGGCGTTTGTGGCATTTGAGCTCCTAAAATGGTGGTTTTCGCTAGTTTCTTGTGTTTCAGAGTCTAACAGGTAATACCAACCCCCGGAGGCTAAAGTTGGAAGAAAATGCGCTAAGACCGGGCAAACAGGAGAATCCAGCCGCAGTTCACGGCCAAAAAGACTTAATTACCCCTACTCTTTTCGTCAAATTAACATAATTGACACCACCCTTTAAAACGACCTAATCATCGTCGTTTCCACCAAAACGACCCCAAAAAGTCCTAAACAGCAAATGAAAAAATTAAATCTTTTCTAGGATTAGAACCGTGACCTTTTGTTTGTCACAAATTTCAGATAACATTCTAAACCATTAGGTTGGTCACTTGCTACTTGTTCACTCATTAACCTCAATTATTGTTAATAGTTAATCTGAATACTTAACTTATAAATTCTTAATACGAAATGTGGACTGTCAATAGACCATGTCATCATTCTCGTGTTAAGTTTCTTCTAAAGTCTCAAACTAAATTTTCGAAGGATCAAATTTGCTCCATCATTTTAAAATATCAATCCCTAAACACGAAGCAATAGTAAGTGTTTGGTTTCCTTTCTACAAAAGAAATCATTTTAAACTGAACTACGTGGACTTTGATCCCGACTACTCGAGCACGTTGGCAACCAATAGGTTCGTGTCCAACTAACTTAAAACTTTTTCATTCCCAATATGTACGTCAATAAACGTAAAATCCAACTAACAAATTTTCTCAACAATTTAACATGAAAACGTTAACATTTCAAATCACTCATTTTAAAACAAACTACATGGACTTTGATTCCTACTACTCGGGTACGTAGGCAATCAATAGGTTTGAGTCCAACTAACCAAAAACTCTTTCTTTGCATTTGAGAATTACGTCAATAGGCGTATGATCAAATTTTATAAATCAAAAAGTAACTAATTAATTGAATTCTATAATTAAATACGGAATAAAGCCAAATAAGAATAATACACCAAACTCTTAAAAACTTATAGATTTAAGTAGTAACAATTTTGGGTGTTTTGGGGTGTGAATACACTTCCCCATAAGTAACCATACTCCCGAACCCAGAACTCTCAAAATTCATAGACCAAATCCTGGTTCTGACCCTAAGGTCGAAACCGGGCCAAATGAGTGTTCGTTCCACTCCAAGTAAGATCGATGGCGGCTCCGAGCAACTCACGATGAGTCCCCCCGATTCCGAGGGGTGGTTGCGATAGTGGCAACTCCGCTGGGGAATTTGAGAGTCGAGCTACAGTAACAAATCAATAGGTCTTTCTTTTCTTCGCTTTTTGGGTGTTCATTATATTGTTTGTACACTTAATTTATCATGTATTTAATTATTTGCATTCATTCAGAAAAGCTCTATACCCGAGCCATCCCTTTAGAAAGTGAAAGGAGTACCGTGACTTCTACAATAGTAGAGGAATAGCGCAATACTTTCTAACCAAGTTGAACTCGAATCCGAGGTTGATTTGAGGTATTTGGCTAAACTCGATAGGGTTATAGCCAAATACAACTTGGAAACCAATTCCTAGGAAATCCTCACCCAACATATAGTTAGCATAGCAGCCGCCTACAACTATCCAAAACTTATCCCGGGGCCTATCCTTAATCTTGTTGTTAAAGCCTCTAAAAACTATAGGTTTACCTAAATAGGATGTGTTTATGATGTTGATTCATGTGGGCCTATGGCATAGTGTATGCTTTATCGATTTTCCATAAATGACCTAAGTAGATGTTATGCAAAAGTTTCACAAACTCATGGTACTAGCATTCTTTCGTTAGTTTTTCATTCACTCATTTAAAATCATGATGGTAAACGTACAAGCATTCATGCATGCATTCTTCAAAAGATTCATCTTACATACCACATTCATACCATTTAGCATAACTATCATGCTTTCATCTCATATAACAATAGGAAATATTTTAACAAAAATAAATCATGACCAAATTTTCTCAAAATTGATCATCCACAAGGAAAGTCAACCTTTGAGTATCTATTCCAAGGTTGTGTTAGTTCAAGAGTCATTTCGAAAGGAATTTGATGACACCCAAAGAAGGTCAACAGTACTTGAAGAAGTGAAAGAGCAAGTTGGCATGTTCACGAGGAGTTTGCCATATAATACGAAGAAGAAGACAATTATCCAAGAGTTAACAACAACTCACTGATTAATCGTGGAGATCAGTACTCATACCAGAAGGCAAGGCTTGATTCGAATATGATGTTGACCCTCAATGCAAATAAATGTCAAGATACAACACCGCTCAACTATTTATCATCATTTCCATTCTTCATGAAGAATACTATGTTTTTTGTATTTCCACCTACTTGGAACATTATATGACTACTACCAATCTTAATCTAAGACTTTGCATCAATGATTCTTTTTCAAAATGTAGAATATCACTTCCAAATATGTTAAAATCTACCTTTCTTCTGTGAAAATGGGAACCTTAAAATGCATTCCATGTTTTCAAGTTGAGTCGTGAGATTTTCATATTAAGCAAGCATAAGCACCCCACTGGTGCCAAGTGATTATGAACACCCTACTAGTGTCAAGAATTTAAGCACTCTGCTAACGTTGAAAGTCTACACACTTCACTAAACTTGAGAGTATAAACACCCCACTGGTGTCCATGAATAATGTGAGCTAAATAGTCAAAGGGTGTAACGAGGATACGACATCAGGCTATTTGTAGAAGCTTGTCACTACTATATTCGAAATTCTCTATCAAATTATGGCGTGCGAGCATCCAGAGGAGTTTCAGAGGTTACTGACGCCAAGGCAGTAAGACCGTGAACTCCATACGTGAAGTGGCACGTTTTGATCTATGTTCACGGTCCCAGCCTGATGTTCATGGCCGTGAACTGGGACCTTGAACTAGGTCCGATCTGTGTATAAATTGAGAGCTGAAATGAAGAAGAAGGGAGATCACAAAGTGAGAGAAACCTTCTTCTTCTTGAAACTCTAGATAGAGAAAGCATGAACCACGAGGGAGAAGAGGCTAGGGTTTGCTCCAAGTGAAAATTTTGGAACTTCCTCTTCAAGAAAGGATCTCTACAAGCACAGGGGGGGGGGGGGGGGGGGGGGGGGGGGGGGAGGTTGAAGGCATCACAATGATGGTTTCTTTCTTCTTCTTTTGTGTTCTTCCTTTGTTTAGCATGGAGTAGTTTCCCTTTTCACTTGGGTGTTGTAGAACCCTAACTTTTACCATGTACTTGATTGTGTGGATTGAATGATTGTGTGATGGCGGTGTTTAATTTAAGAATTGAGGTATTTTTCATGGTGATTGTGCATTTTGTGTGCTTGGCAATCTATTGTGCTATTCTAACCTAGTTTAGAGAGAATCTTATCTTAAGAGGCTCAGATTGAGCTAGGTTTTCTCAAGCATTCCATGTCTCCTAACTAGGTTAATGATGGGCAAACCTCTAAACTTGAATTGGACACCTAGGTTAATTGCGATTATGCCGTCCAAACCTTGGTTTGAGTGAGAAGGTAAGTCAACCCTCAATTGCTTATGCCAAGAGGGCTACAATTTTAGCCTATAATGCTTTCCTTGGCCTAGCAATTGAGATGATGGTTTCTAACCATTGTTGCACCTCCTATGGGTCATTGTTGCCTTGTCACACACCGATTCATTCGATCCCACAGTTCATGGTAGTTAGTTAGAGGGAAGCAACTCCCGAGTGAAGCTTCTCACCAAGAGTTTTCCACCCTTTTACTTTTCAAGTCCTGCTTTTAAATAGTAGATTGTAGAGATTTTAACAAACAAGATTCCGCTAGATAATGTTTCAAACAATTGAAGTAGGGGTACATGGGCTGGCCCTGGTTGATATTTAAACATACTTTCCCTATATTGCACCCATTTAAGGTTTATACTTGGGCCTTAAGTGAGATTTTATTGTGATATTCGGAGCCAGTCAAGTTTTTGGCGCCGTTGCTAGGGAGATTCAGTATGCTATCTTGAAAAGTTTGTTTGGTGTTAATCTAGCTTTTAATTTAAGTTTTGCTAAGTGTGTATTTTGCTTGTGCAAGACGTGTTGTTGTTCTTTAAGTGTGTGTAGGGAGGTGTATGACCGAGATCAATCCAACGCCTTTAACACCACTAGACAAGAACATCAAACGGACTCTCCGACTCTTGGCTCGAGAGAGGGAGTTAGCGGAAGCAAGAAGGAGAATTGAAGAGAGGGGACAACAAGTTGATCCCGGATTTGGAGGAATTGAAGTAGAAGTTGAAGTTGAGATGGCAGAGAATCAACATCGAGGTGCTAATCCACTCCAAAAGCAAAATGAGGAAGCGGGAGTCGAGGAAGAACCGAGAGCTATGGGCTATTACATGGCCCCGTGGGCGGTGGATATCCAATCTCCCATCCTACATCCACCCGTGGCCGCCAACAACTTTGAAATCAAGCCCGCTCTCGTCATGATGATTCAAAACAACGCCTTGTTCCACAGGCTTGCCAATGAATCACCGCGAGAGCATGTTCAAAGGTTTCTTGAGCTTGCGGAAAGCCTGAAGATAAATAGAGTCCCGAAGGAGGCATTGCAACTGAGGTTATTCCCCTACTCTCTTGCGGGGAAGGCGCTCCGATGGCTCAACAACCGACCGGCTAGATTGATCACCTCTTGGGACGATTTGCACAACAAGTTTATGACCTGATATTATCCTCCTTCCAAGACGGTTGAGTGGAGGAAGAAGATCACTCACTTTGAGCAAGAGGAAGATGAGACGTTGAGGGATGCATGGGAAAGATTCTCCGACTACTTCCTCCAATGCCCTCACCATGGATTCGAGGAGCGATTTCAGATATAGACATTTTATGGCGGTCTCATTCAGGATGACAAGATTCCCATCGACTCTCTTTGCCAACGGAATTTGATGAACATGACCCCATCTCAAGTGACCGAGTTGCTCGAAGATATGACTCTCAAAGGATATGATTGGGGCTTGACAAGGAGTGGTAAGGAAGCACCGAAAGAGGAGTGCAAAGTGTGGGAGCAAGTGCTCCACTTGAAGCAAAGCTTGAAAAGTTGATCGAAGTGATCCTTGAGGACAAGAAGCAAGAGAAGAGAGCGGTGATATGTTGTGATTGGAGTTTAAGCATTAATCATGAAATTGCGGATTGCCCAGCGATGAAGGAGACAAGTACCCCCGAGGAGAAAGTGAGTTTCATAGCCAACTCTAGAGTGACAACCCTTATAGCAACACCTACAACCCCGGGTGGCACAATCATCCAAACTTCCCCTACCAATCCAAGACCTCTCGGTTTACAAGGTCCAACGGGAAACTATCAACCCCGACCAACTTTCATCCAACAAAGGCCTCAATTCCAAAACTCGAAATTCCAACAACCATACCAAACACAAGGTGGTTAAGGGTTCCAACAACAACAACAAGTCGACAAGTTTTCTAAACTTGAAGACATAGTCACCACCTTTGTGAGTACAAGCTCTTAGAAGTTCGAGAAGATTGAGCAATTCATGGATGTGGCAACCTCCAAGTTTACATCGGTTGAGGCAGGACTCTGAAGTCATCAAGCAAGTCTCCAGAATTTGGAAGTGCAAATCGACAATCTTGTCGGGATCCTCGTTGAGAGACCAAAGGAAGCCCTACCCTCTCAAACCATTGCAAACCATAAGGATCATGCTGGGGTGAATGAAATTCAATTGCGAAGTGGGAAGGTGACTCCGGAGGTCGTGGCCAAAGAAGTGAACGAGAAGGAAGAACCTCTACAAGAGGGTGGAGAAGAAGAAACCTCGGGAGAAAAGAGACGAATGGCGAGGAAGGCATCGCCAACGCCACCTCCAGTGGCTGAGTACACGCCACCCCTGCCATTTCCCCCGAGGGTGCACAAGGAAAGATGGGAAGCGGAATGTGGAGGTTTCATGGAGATGCTCAGGAAACTCCACCTTAAGATTCCCTTCCTTGAAGCAATGGCCCACATGCCAAGGTATTTGAAATACCTCAAGGGGCTTCTCTCCAAGAAGCCGAAGTACGAAGACCTCGCCAATGTGGTATCCCTGTGCCAGGTCTTTGTGATTATGTATTTTGAGTTGTGTCGTGATCGGTAGTAGATACGGTGGAGTAGGTGGAGTCAAAATTTTCCAGTAATGTCCTGTTTTCACTGCAGTTCACGGTTTTCCCTTGGAGTTCACGGTCTTAATAGACCGTGAACTGCCAAACGCGTCCTTGAACTAGGGTGTTGCGCGTTTTATGAAACTCGTTGTTTTTACCCCAGTTCACGGTCCGCGAGTTATGTTCACGGTCTTAGCAACCGTGAATTGGCAAACGCGTCTGGGAACCGAAGGGGGTCTGCCTATAAAAGGGCCGTGAATGCCCTATCTTCATTTCACGACCCAATCTTGGCGGAATCCTTTCAAATTTGCCGGAAAATCACGATTTTAAGACGAACTTTGGCATTTACACCTCCCTCCGCCCTCCCAAATAAAAAACAATTCACATACCCAATATCCCCTCGTCATGGGCGGCCCTCGCTGACATTTTGGGGAGATTTGGAGTCAATTTTTTCCGGTGCATTCACCGGCTCACCGCCGGTGAGCCTTTCACGAGTCTCCGATGAGCTTCCGGATAAGCTCCGACGACCTTTCTCCTGCCTGTTATTGGGCAGATTTTCGCTTCCCTCACTCTGCCCTCACTTCCCCTACGATCCTACTTGAGTCTCCAGGTTTGTTTTCGACTTTACCTTTGTTAATTATGGAGAATCGGATTAGGGAGTGAAGTGAGGAGGACTTAGAGAATTGAATGTTCAACTTAGAAATAGGGCGAGGGATTAGTTGACTTGTGATAAATGAATGTTGAATGTGTTTGAATGAGCTTAATTGCGCCTTGGTGGGCATAATCTCGGACAAATTGTTTTCAAATGTGAAATTTTCCCACCAAGTGCAAAAATTATGAATCGATGTGGAATTTGTATGTCTGAGTGGTGGATGGTAGCCACCATGTCATGGTTTGGGTTAGAATTTTTGTGTGGATAAACCGTCAAAAACCTAGAACCATGCCTCGGTGTGCTTGAACTTAATTGTTCTAAATGGCATGGACCCGTAGTGGAAATATAAATGTGGGGGGAATTCCTTTTTCCTCCCAATGAGTTGAGATTGACAATTGTTTCCACATATGGTGCATGTTCGAATGTCTTGCAGGATGGTCAACATGAGGCACCCGTACCTTTTGGTGCTAAGAGGGGGACCCCTTAATGGAAAAAGAGCTGAGATTTTGGGCAAGCGCCCACTCCGAAGACCACTAGAAGCTCGACTTCACTCAGTTTGATGGTCTTCATTGTGTAGATATTGTTATATCCCAACTAGCATCGTTCTCTCGAGTACAGTGTTAAATCGTTCAAGTGATTGCTCTACCGTTCAAATTTCAGGGACGAAATTTTTATAAGGGTGGATGAAATGTAACACCCCGAATTTTGGGTTATGGTTCGACCATAGTACGTGATCGGTTGGGTTGACAGTTGTGTACTAAAAGTTGCAATCGCGGATTAGTAATAATAATAAGATAATTATTATTATTATTATTATTATTATTATTATAAAAAAATACAATCAGCCCTGGGGCCGAGAGGCCCCCTTCCCAAACCCTCGGCCTCTGCTTTTTTCCCCAAACCCCAGCAATTAATTCCCCAGCCAAACCCGACCGTTCCAATTAATTCCCCCCAACAAATAAACCCCCGCCCCAAATTCCTTTCCCAGTAGCCGCGAGCAAACCCCGCTTGTTATTCTCCCAGAGGGCAAAAGAAATCACCGCCGCCCAATCCCCAGCCCCGCGCGGGTGAGAGAAAAAGAGAAGGAGTTGCACCCAATCCCAATCCTGATCCCGATCCCATCCCTCTCGTGTTCTGGCGGTGACGTTGAGGGTTCGATCAGAAGGAGATCAACGTCCCAGGTCTTCCAACCTAGGCCTAGGCGTATTCTAGAGGTAAGGGAACTCGATCCCTTTGAGTTAGATCGATCGATTTGGTGATTTTTCGTGATGGTGCAATTCTGAGGTTTCAGCAATAGACATTCAGACCTGTAGTGACAGAATTTGGGTAGTCACTAAAGCTGCTGGGAATTTTCAGAAACTTGTTTTAGATGTTCTTAATTGTTTCGAGTCTTTATGGGATTTTTTCTTGAGTTTAAAATTTATATAAATTGAGGAGGTCAAGGAGATGGCTGTAATTTAATTTGGGGATTTTTGAAAATGTATTTTTAATTTTAGAAATTGTTCGAACATTCGTTTTAATTAAATAAAAATATTTCCGAGGAGTTTATAAGGGTTTGATAATTTTCCAGGGTATAAGTACTCATGATTGTTGTGGGAAAATTATTATCCTAATTTTTAAGAAGGTTCAAGTTAGGTGGAAAATTCGTCCAAGACTAAAATAATTAGGAAAAGTGGTCCGTTTTGAAGGGATTGTTTCTAGAAAATTTTTAAAGGGGGTTAAGGGACCTTGGGAGCGAGTCTCGAGGACTGGATTTTGAGAAGAGGATGTTCTAGTGACCCAAAAGGGAATTCTAAATCGAGAAAGGTCGACTAAGGGGATGACTTTCTTATTAATAGGTTCACCGAGATAATTCGGCTAGGAGAGATTTCTTCGAGTAAGGAATCGAGGAGTCATCTTTACATGGTGAGTGTAAAGGGGGTAAATTCTACGCCTTACATATTCTTTTAAGTATTATGATTTTAAGTATTTTACGAATTGGTTACCGTTGCTTGATTATGTGTATGATTGATTATTTGTGCTTTGCTTGAGTTATGGTTCGAGGTGATTTTGTGCTATTTACCTTAAAGCGTTATGTTTAATTTATTGTTAAAGTTTAAGAAACAAGTTCTTTTAAAGAAGTAACCCACCTTCAAGAAGGTGAAGTCATTTTTAAGTGTTTTTAGTCACTAGCGCCAGTCCGTTGCCTTTGGAGACATTTTGAGATAGAGCAGCAGTTATGCGCTTGAGACTTTTAAGATGGGCAGCAGTTATGCTCTTGAGGATCGTGGTGAAGAGCCACCACGATAAGTTTAAGATTTTAGGGGGATGAATCGTTATGACTCCCCTAACTAAGTTTAAGGTTAAGGAAAGCCTGAATGGCTTCTCATACGTATGAGTTGGCAACCGGACTAGCTAGTGAGAGATCCCTGTGTCAGTCAAAAGATTTAAGTCAAGTTTTGAGTTTTAAGGGAGAGTAACTTTAACTCCCGAAGTATTTTATGAGTTAAGATTGTTGAGCGTGGAAGTACAAAATGACCTCCACTAGTAGAAGTTAAGTGTTTAGAGAAGAATACTAAAGTATTAGATATTTCAATCGTAAGGGCGTAGACTGACCCCAACTCACTCACCAAATCGTAGAGGAGGATATCCTAACCAGCCAGTCCGTGACCAGCAAGCTAGAGGAGCTCAACACCACCATCGCTGAGAGATGTCGAGCCAGACGTCAGAGTAAGCATCGAAGAACTTTCCAAGTTATTAAGACTTTATGGTTAAGAGTTAAAGATTGGAGATTCATTTCTTTTGGACAATTTGAGTTTTGCCCACGTGTTTAGGTCTTCGATTTGAGATATTGAGATATTTGAGTTCGGTATTTTATTTAAACATGTGTTATTTGATATTTTTATTTATACCCTGGGGTAGAAATGTCTTTTTTTCCAAATTCAAAGAGGTGGGATGTTTCATTTTGGCATTAGAGCCGGTCTTCCTCTGTTTCTTGGTTCCCAAGAAATATTGGAATGTCGGTCTCAATTTTTACAGGTTTTGTTTTAAAGATTTCAAGTCAAAATTTGGCCAAACAAGTCAAGGATTTCTTTTAAGAATTTAGAATCTCCAGTCTACTCGAAACCATATAAAGGAAGAAATAACTGAGATCTAACGAAACCCTGTGCGTCTACAGTGCTAGTGTTGGCCCGCATCCCACACCACCGGTGCCATTACTAGAGAGGCGTCCACCAGACTATGTAGGGTTCCGGAAGAGAAAGGTGGAATATTTAAGAGAGGGGGGGGGGGGGCGTTCAACAGACCCCATGGAAGTAGAGCAGTGGCTAGCTAAGGTCACTCGTACGCTGGTCGAGATGAGAGCTGATGACGAGGACAGAGTACTGCTGACCGTGTCCTTGCTGCAGGACGTTGCATACAACTGGTGGACTACCCAGCCAGCGAGTCGAGAGGATCCACCAGCCATCACTTGGCTAGAGTTCGTGCAGTCGTTCAAAGACCACTTCATACCGGAGGCTTACCGGATCGGGAAGCAAAGGGAATTTTTGCTGATCAGGCAGAAGTGGGGCAATGAAGGCAGGGAAAGCGTGACTGAGTACACGGCCAGGTTTGACAAGCTACTTACCTATGGAGGGCCTCCGTTTCAGGATGTAGCAGCTCAACGCACCCATTACCTGGAGAGCCTGAAGCCTGCTTTTCGGCGTCAGCTGAGTATACTGAATTGGAACAACAGGGAAGAGATTTATCAGGCGGCTCTTCGATTGGAGAGGGCGGATACAGCTCTGTATGAGGAGGGGATGCAACGAGAAGGGAACAAAAGAAAGGCTGCTAGCCTGTCTGAGGGGCCAGGACAGCCGAGTCAGCAGAGAAGGAGACCATCCCAGAGCTACTGTGGGGCCACCCAGAGTCAGGTCGGCTCAACCATATCAGGACCGACCTACATTCCTCGGGACCCATGCAACCAGTGTGGGAGAACTCACCCGGGAGAGTGTAAGGTGCATCTGGGAGGCATCTGCTATCACTGAAACGAGCCGGGTCACTATGCCAGATATTTCCCTAGGAGAGGAGGACAGAGGGAGAGCCCAGTCCGAGCAATCAGTCCGGGGTAGAGGAGGAAGAACTCAGACCGAACCGCAGTTTGGCAACCAGCCAAACCGGTCTTATCACAAGCAGGGAGGAAATGCATGGCGGTTCAATCGCAATGAGCGAGATTGAGGGAAAGGTTCTCAATCATCTGAGAAACCAAGACTGTTTGCCATGAGGAGAGAAGAAGCTGACGCTGCACCTGAGGTGGTGACTGGTATGATCGCTTTACCACCAGCCCGCTTTTGTATTATTTGATTCCGGTTCCACGCACTCTTTCATTTCTACCAAGCTTGCTAGAACCTTAGGAGTCCCATTTGTGAGGTTGGGGCAGAATTTAGGGGTCAAGACTCCAGTGAGGGATACCCTTATAGTGGACTCAGTCATTCGGGATTGTTTTGTCACCGTGGCAGGGCACGAATTCGAGGCGAACCTAATTCTACTACCCTTCGACGAGTTTGATGTCATCTTGGGTATGGATTGGCTGTCAAAGAATAGAGCAAAGGTGGATTGCTACAAGAAGGAGGTTAGCCTAGAGGTGGAAGGAAAGGGCACTGCGTTGTTCAAAGGGACTAAGAAGCTTATTCCTGGGTGCTTAATCTCCGCGGTTAAGGCATTCTCATTAATTCAAGAAGGATGTGAAGCATATTTAGCTCATGTTAAGGAGCTGCAAGAGAAGAAGATAGACGATGTACCTGTCTTCAGGGAATACCCCGAGGTATTTCCCGAAGATCTTCCTGGGCTACCGCCGCATCGAGAGGTGGAATTCGATATTGAAGTGATTCCTGGCACGACACCGATATCTATTCCTCCTTACCGTATGGCACCAGTGGAGTTAAAGGAGTTGAAGGAGCAGTTGCAGGAGCTGTTGGAGAAGGGGTTCATACGCCCTAGTGTATCACCATGGGGAGCACTAGTGTTATTCGTGAAGAAGAAGAATGGCAGTATGAGACTGTGCATTGACTATAGGAAGTTGAACAAAGCTACCATCAAAAACCGCTATCCTTTGCCAAGGATAGATGATCTCTTAGACCAACTACAAGGAGCAAGGGTGTTCTCGAAGATCGATCTACGTTCAGGGTATCATCAGTTGAGAGTGGCGGATGGTTCAGTACCCAAAACAGCTTTTCGCACTAGGTACGGCCACTACGAATTCTTGGTCATGCCGTTCGGACTGACCAATGCACCGACAGCTTTCATGGCACTAATGAATCGGGTTCTTCATGAGTACTTGGACAAGTTTGTCATCGTCTTCATAGATGACATACTCATCTACTCGAGAAGTAAGGAGGAGCACGAAGAACACCTTAGAGTGGTTTTGTATAAATTTAAAGCGGAGAAGCTATACGCCAAGTTCTCGAAGTGTGACTTTTGGTTGGAGGAGGTCTTGTTCTTGGGTCACATGATTTCGGGAAGGGGAGTTGAAGTGGATCCCAAGAAGATTGAAGCTGTAACAAACTGGGCTCCACCAAAGAATGTTTCTGAAGTGCGGAGTTTTCTGGGTCTAGCTGGGTACTACTGGAGGTTTGTGGAAGGGTTCTCCAGCGTTGCACGACCCATGACACAGCTATTGTAGAAGGGGAAGGCATTTGTTTGGGACGAGAAGTGTCAAACAGCGTTTGAGTTGCTGAAGGAGAAGCTGACCTCTGCACCAGTGCTGGCACTACCGACCAGCGGTGGGGAGTATTCCATCTATAGCGATGCATCCTACCAAGGCGTGGGTTGTGTACTGATGCAGGATAAAAAGGTCATCGCCTATGCCTCGAGGAAGCTACGGCCCCATGAGGTGAACTACCCCACCCATGACTTAGAGTTGGCCGCAGTGGTCTTTGCCTTGAAGTTATGGAGACACTACCTCTACGGCGAGACGTTCACCATCTTCACGGATCACAAGAGCCTCCAACACCTGACTGATCAGAAGGAGTTGAACATGAGGCAGAGAAGGTGGATGGAGTTGTTGAGCGATTATGACTGCACCATTAAGTACCATCCGAGAAAGGCAAATGTGGTGGCTGACGCTTTGAGCAGGAAGAGGGAGAGCCCTTTACCGGAGTTGGTCTCTTTGAGGGCCATGAACGTGGAATTGGAGCTAGAAGAGGTAACGAAGTTGCTAGCAACTTTGAAAATTCGGCCTATGCTGCAGGAACGAATCAAGGAGAAGCAGAGTGAAGATTTGGAATTAGAGAAGTACAAGAAGCAAGTGTTAGAAGGGAAGGACACCAAATTTGGACTGGTAGATGGGGTACTGATGTATCAAGGAAGGCTGTGTGTCCCAGATGTTGACAAGCTAAGGAAGATATTTTGGACGAGGCGCACTCTGCACCCTATGCAATGCACCCTGGGGCTACTAAGATGTATCGTACCCTCAAGAAGCATTTCTGGTGGCCAGGATTGAAGAAGGAGGTAGCGACACATGTCTACCAATTCTTGGAGTGTCAAATGATCAAGGCTGAACATCAAGCTCCAGTCATTGAGCACCTACCGTTGGAGATTCCGCAGTGGGCTTGGGAGAAGATCACCATGGATTTTGTGTATGGTTTACCGAGGACCCCAAGGGGAAATGATGGAGTATGGGTGATTATGGATCGCTTCTCGAAGATGGCTCATTTTATACCCATCAAATTCAAGCCAAGGCTGGAGAAGCTGGCTAGGCTGTATGTGAGGGAGATAGTGAGATTGCATGGAGTTCCACTTAGTATCGTGTCTGATCACGACCCTAGCTTCACGGCACGATTTTGGGTGAGTCTTCAAAAGGCAATGGGCACTAAAGTTCACTTCTCTACCGCGTATCACCCTCAGACGGATGGGCAGTCAAAGAGGACGATTCACACACTGGAAGACCTGTTGAGGGCGTGTGTCTTGACCATGGAAGGAGCTTGGGACGAGCATTTGCCTTTAATGGAGTTTGCTTACAACAACCAGTATCACCAGCTTGGGACGAGCATTTGCCATGGTAACGGTTATATGGAGGAACCAGGGCAGCGAGGCTGCAACTTGGGAGACCGAGAGTAGCATGAGAGAGAAGTACCCAGAGTTGTTTAACGGTGCTTAGAGCAGTGGTTGGTGACTCTCTTTGTACTTTCTCGTTTAAATTTTGTTACTCGGTATTTCAGAATAGACCCAGTGATGCATTTCTATTCCACCATAGCTAACAACTCTGTCCAGCCAAAAATTTCGGGGTCGAAATTTCTTAAGGGGGTGGAAAATGTTATATCCCTACTAGCATCGCTCTCTCGAGTACAGTGTTAAATCGTTTAAGTGATTGCTCTACTGTTCATATTTCGTGGACGAAATTTTAATAAGGGTGGAGGAAATGTAACACCCCAAATTTTGGGTTATGGTTCGACCATAGTACGTGATCGGTTGGGCTGACAGTTGCGTACTAAAAGTTGCAATCGCGGAGTAATAATAATAATAATAATAATAATAATAACTGTTATTATTATTATAAAAAATATATACAATCAGCCCTGGGGCCGAGCGGCCACCTTCCCAAACCCTCGGCCTCTGATTTTTTTTCCCCAACCCCAGCAAAACCCGACCCTCCCAATTAATTCCCCCCGACAAATAAACCCCCGCCCCAAATTCTTTTCCCAGCAGCCGCGAGCAAACCCCGCTCGTTATTCTCCCAGAGGGCAAAAGAAATCACCGCCGCCCAATCCCCAACCCCGCGCGGGCGAGAGGAAAAGAGAAGGAGTTGCACCCAATCCCGATCCCGATCCCGATCCCATCACTCTCGTGTTCTAGCAGTGACGTTGAGGGTTCAATCAGCAAGGAGATCAACGTCCCGGGTCATCCAACCTAGGCCTACGCGAGTTCTAGAGGTAAGGGAACTCGATCCCTTTGAGTTAGATCGATCAATTTGGTGATTTTTCGTGAGGGTGCAATTCTGAGGTTTTAGCAACAGACATTCAGGCCTGTAGTGACAGAATTTGGGTAGTCACTAAAGCTGCTGGGAATTTTCGGAAACTTGTTTTAGATGTTTTTAATTGTTTCGAGTCTTTATGGGGGTTTGTTCTTGAGTTTAAAATTTTTATAAATTGAGGGTGGTCTAGGAGATGGCTTTAATTTAATTTGGGGATTTTTGAAGATATATTTTCAATTTTAGAAATTATTTGAACATTCGTTTTAATTAAATAAATATATTTCCGAGGAATTTATAAGGGTTTGATAATTTTTCAGGGTATAAGTACTCATGATTGTTGTGCGAAAATTATTATCCGAATTTTTAAGAAGGTTCAAGTTAGGTGGAAAATTCGTACAAGACTAAAATAATTAGGAAAAGTGGTCGGTTTTGAAGGGATTTTTTCTAGAAAATTTTTAAAGGGGGTTAAGGGACCTTGGGAGCGAGTCTCAAGGGATGGATTTTGAGGAGAGGATGTTCTAGTGACCCAAAAGGGAATTCTAAATCGAGAAAGGTCGACTAAGGGGATGACTTTCTTATTAATAGGTCCACCGAGATAATTCGGCTAGGAGGGATTTCTTCGAGTAAGGAATCGAGGAGTCATCTTTGCAAGGTGAATGTAAAGGGGGTAAATTCTACGCCTTACGTATTCTTTTAAGTATTATGATTTTAAGTATTTTAGCGAATTGGTTACCGTTGCTTGAATGTGTATGATTGATTATTGGGCTTTGCTTGAGTTATGGTTTGAGGTGATTTTGTGCTATTTGATGTGATTTAAGGTGATTTTGTGCTATTTACCTTAAAGCGTTATGTTTAATTTATTGTTAAAGTTTAAGAAACAAGTTCTTTTAAAGAAGTAACCCACCTTCAAGAAGGTGAAGTCATTTTTAAGTGTTTTTAGTCACTAGCGCCAGTCCGTTGCCTTTGGAGACATTTTGAGATAGAGCAGCAGTTATGCTCTTGAGACTTTTAAGATGGGCAGCAGTTATGCTCTTGAGGATCGTGGTGAAGAGCCACCACAATAAGTTTAAAATGTTAAGGAGATGAATCGTTACGACTCCCCTAACTAAGTTTAAGTTTAAGGAAAGCCTGAATGGCTTCTCATACGTATGAGTTGGCAACCAGACTAGCTAGTGAGGGATCCCCGTGTCAGTCAACAGATTTAAGTCAAGTTTTGAGCTTTAAGAAGGGAGAGTAACTTTAACTCCCGAATTATTTTATGAGTTAAGATTGTTGAGCGTGGAAGTACAAAAGGACCTCCACTAGTAGAAGTTAAGTGTTTAGAGAAGAATACTAAAGTATTAGATATTTCAATCGTAAGGGCGTAGACTGACCCCAACTCACTCACCAGATTGTAGAGGAGGATATCCTAACCAGCCAGTCCGTGACCAGCAAGCTAGAGGAGCTCAACACCACCGTCGATGAGAGATGCCGAGCCATGCGTCAGAGTAAGCATCGAAGAACTTTCCAAGTTATTAAGACTTTATGGTTAAGAGTTAAAAATTGGAGATTCATTTCTTTTGGACAATTTGAGTTTTTCCCACGTGTTTAGGGCTTCGATTTGAGATATTGAGATATTTGAGTTTCGTATTTTATTTAAACTTGTGTTATTTGAGATTTTTATTTATACCCCGGAGTAGAAATGTCTTTTTTCCAAATTCAAAGAGGTGGGATGTTTCAGATAATGAAGGAGGCTGTGGCGCTGATGCGATATCAACTAGCACGATATATAATTCCTGTGGTCCAAAGATGAAGGTTCGAATAAGGAGAAATAAGGATCAACTGGGAGCATTCTTGATGGAAGCAATGGTGCTCACATTGATTAATAACTCCAAGAGTTTTACGTGTCTTTTATAAACTAGAGAACGCGTCTAGTTGTGGCGAGCTTCTACCCAATAGCGATTGGCCTTATTCACGAGTGGGTGATTGTTTGATTGGTTTCATATACCAATTGACCTTTCACACGAGTTGGAATCTGTTTGATCGTGTTTCATATCTATCCTTTATTTTCAAGTTGTCAAGAAAAGCTTCGAAAATTCCATAAAAAGATGGAAGTCTACTTACTTTGGTTATATAATCCGAGTTCGAGGGTATCAAGTGGTATCATATAAAGTGGTATCAAAGCTCGGTTTAAACTCAGCGGCGATTTGAAGATTACCTGCTCAAACTCAGCAGCAAAAAAAAGGTGTTTTTTATGAGCAGTTACTAGAAAAAAAAACTGTGATTTTCGTTTCTGTAGTTTTGTTTAAGAGAAAAAAAAATAACGAGAAAAAAGGAGTTCATTTCGTTTTTTCAGTTTGTACGCTAGATTATTAGCAGCAAAAAAAAAAACATTAAAAAGTGTTGCGGTATGAATTGTTTTGCTTTTATTTTTGGCATTACGTGAGCTCAAGTTCTACTTTAGGATTGTTGCGTACGTAGCTATTAGTGAATAAAATAAAATAAAAAGTTATTTAGCCACAAAGCTGAACGTGAGCAGATAAAAAAAAATTGTGTTTTTGGTTTTTGTGTGTTTATTAGCTCTTCGCAGTAAGCATATATAAAGATATGATGGAGATCAATAGAGAAGGTGAGAAGCTCTACATTCCATTGTTTCATGGGGAAAGGAATCCATAAGCCTATCTTGATTGGGAGGAGGAGATGGACGACTTGTTTACATATTATTACTATGCAGATTGGAAAAGGGTGCAAATCGCTTCTATGACATTCACTGATTATGCTCGTAAATGGTGGATTCGATTGTGTTCATCTTGGAGGCATGATGGCAGTGGAGAAGTAGATTCATGGAAAACATTGAAGCGGATCATGAGAAAGAGATTTGTACATATGATAGATATCCTCAAACTACTCTCCAAAGTCGCCACCAAAGTTTCAAGATTTCTGACGATTACTCTAGGAGATCTTTTCCTTCACAAGAGATCAAGTCAAGCAGGCAAACCACTTATCATAAGAAGGAAGATCCGTCACCTAAAATATCTCCAGAGAGCACATTACGACTTTCAAGTGATTGGAAATCTCTTCACGAAGAGATAATGGGACGCTTAGCTAGAGTAAAGGAGCTAATGGAAGAAGAGAAAAATAAGAAAGAGCAAGAGGCTGCAAGTGCACGATCCATTGATATTAATAAGCATGATGCTTCTTCATGCTCAATCCATGGCGAGGAAGTTAAGGTAGAAGTTGAAGTTGAAGAAGAGAAAGATAAGGTTCTTGTTGATGGACTTGCTATAGTCACTTGTGAAGATGATGCACAAGTTTTGATTTCATCTCAAGAAGTAGGGGTGGGCATACGGTTTGGTAAAACCAAACCTGACCGAACCGAATATAAATCGAACCGAAACCGAATTAATGTTATTCGGTTCGGAATTCGGAAGAGAAAAGGGCATATTTCGGAAACCAGGGTCCTTTCGACCGAACCGAATTTCCGAATTCCGAACCGAAAAACCGAATTATTATAATTGCAAGCTCTAAATGGTGGATTTTTATGTTTCTACTTATTATGAGACTTAAATATTTGAATTATGTTAGTGTTGTATGACTTATGTGTTGAAATGTTTGATTTTATCATTGATGATACATATTTATTGTTTACATTAGGGCGAAAAACAATTTAAAAAATAGAAAATACAAGCTAACCTCACTATTTCGGTTTTGTATGAAAAATCGAACCGAACCGAATTATAATTCGGTTTGAACCGACCGAACCGAATTATAATTCGGTTCGAATTTGGTTTGAGGTTTGATAGAATTTGGGGACCCGGTATGCATAATTTTGGTTTGGTTTGAACCGAACCGACCGAATGCCCACCCCTATCAAGAAGAACCAAAATTTGAAGTAGAAGAGAAAGTTGAAGAAGAGGCAGAAGAGGTGAAAGAAGATATTCTTGCTGATGTGTCAGTGTTGAGTGCACCTGGAGTTGAGCAATACATTGAGGAACCAGATTTTGATCGAGGAGATAAGTGCTTGGAAATTACGGAGGATTTACCAATAGTTTCCGAAGTTGCTCATACTGATTTTGTGATTGGTGATACAATTTATGAAGAGGAAGCACGCATGAAAAAACGACGAGAATTGCAGAGCTATGGGGAAGGTGTTCATCAAAATGATGTCTCTACAATTCATGGAAGAATTGTTCTTATGAAGGGGGGAATGATACGATCATCACACAGGCAATTTGGTTCGAAAACTAAGAGGAGTGGCGGTGATCGGAGATCAATATTTTATAAAGATTCGAGGGCGAATCTTCTTCAAGAGAGAGGGAATAATGTGATATCAACTAGCACGATATGTAATTCCCGTGGTCCAAAGATGAAGGTTCGAATAAGGAGATATAAGGATCAATTGGGAGCATTCTTTATGGAAGCAATGGTGCTCACATTGATTAATAGTTGCTGCCTATTCGTTAAAATTACAACAACTGATAGCGGTTCACTTCATCCTATCAATTTGGGACGTGCTTATTCTTGGAAAGATTATCATGGCTACGTGTTTTATTGAGAGACTTTGCATGGATTAAAGTGTTTGGTTGGTGGAATTTGGATGTTTACTTTAGACATTGGAGCAGCTCACGTGAAGGTTAATTGTGCATGAATTATTATATGAGGTTTATTTGTCCCAAGGAAGGTTATGAGAAGACTGTCCGTATCCTCCAAGAAGAAGGGGAATTAAAGTGGACCGGAATTGCCATCCGCAAAGGAGAAGGACGCGCAACTGCAAGAGGCATAGCGAGTTGAAGTTTATTTGTTTTATTTGATTATATTATGTTTCATAGTTAGTATGGAATTTGTTTTATGTTTTTGAGACCTCTATAAAGAGAGGGTGTAAGACCTACGAATTTTGTACTCAATATTCAAGTTATCAATTAAGAGTTTTTACTCATGTTCCTTTGTGAACGTTTGTGCAAGCTTCTGTCGAGAATCTCCAAGAGTTTCATGTGTCTCTTATCAACTAGAGAACGCGTCTAGTTGTGGCGAGCTTCTACCCAATAGTGATTGGCATTATTTACGAGTGGGTGATTGTTTGATTGGTTTCATATACCAATTGGCCTTTCACACGAGTTGGAATCTGTTTGATCGTGTTCCATATCTATCCTTTATTTTCAAGTTGTCAAGAAAAGCTTCAAAAATTCCGTAAAAAGAAGGTTGCGTACTTTGGTTATAGAATCCGAGTTCGAGGGTTCTCTTCAGATTTGGATCATGTCAGGCGCACCAACAATGGCGCCAGCTCCTTGAATTGGAAGATGACACTTATGGGAAGCTGTGTGTTGAGTTTTTTAGAACCTTCACCATCTCTAAGACCATGAGCCCATTCGAAAATTGGAGGCGCACGGTGAAATTTCATTTGGGCGGAGAATGCCGCACCTTGACTTTCGACAGGCTAGCCCGAGCCATGAGAGTTTGAGCCCGATCTGGAGCTGCGTGGGAAGAGGACGCCACTAGATTTTGCGACGTGAATGCAACATTTTGAAGATTTTTCCTCCCAGAGCACCGAAAAACACCATTTTTATCAGCACTCACGTTGGCGTCCACACTCAAGCCACAGTGGCGCATCATCAATGCAGTTCTTGCCCGTTCCCTCTAGTCGAGCTATCACAATCCGAACAAGATAACCGAGAGGATCTTGCTGGCATACGCTTGCATGATGGACCCGTCTAGCAATCTTCATCTTGGTTTAGTCTTGGCCACCTCTTTCTCTAGAGCTATAGGTGAAATCGATGATATGTCACATCAATGGGGCCCTACATCACCCATCTTGCTCGTCACTTTAATTTTAACCTTGCGGGCTGCACTAAGGAGGGGCACACCTCGGGGTTTGAAGATGGCACTTTGAGTTCCATGTGTTTACTATGAAAATTTGGACCATTTCAGTTCATTGAGGAACTGACTCTACCACCAAGGGTCCCTCCTCCAGAGCAGCCACCTGCTAGAGCTCCCGGCCATTGTCGGGGTCCTGCACTCCAACATCCTGCACCACCACCACCAGCATCATCATCAGGAGTCGGTCCTTCCACCTCCGGGGTGCACCTCATGGAGAGGATGGATCACCTCAAGACCCATATTGTGGGAGTCACCTCCCAGCTCGATCGACACACCGACTTGCTAGAGCGGATCGCCCGTCGCCAGGGTATCCTTCCAGATGATGGGGAAGGACCTTCGACCAGTGAGAGGTAGCTGACGAGTGAGATATGTGGTAGAGCCAATTTATTTCGCCCCACTTCTCCAGCTGGAACACTGAACTCTTTTATTTTTATTTTTCTTTCTTTTATTTGGTGTGTGTGAACAACTACTGCTACTATTGTATTGTACTGTTATGTGTAATAACATCGCCTCAAGCGAGTATGTGTTGTGTTTGTGTGTGTGTGTGTGGTATGTGTTGTGTTTGTGTGTGTGTGTGTGTGTGTGTGTGTGTGTGTGTGTGTGTGTGTGTTGTCTTCTCCTTGAAGCTCAAATGTCCTACCCTGGAAAAATTCCAACTTTCACTCACCAAGCCATGTGGTAACATCATTCTACCCCCTATCTTACACCATTGAGGGCAATGTCAAACTTAAGTGTGTAGGGGGGGGTAGTTTATTATTATGCTTGTGTGAGTGTGATTGATGCTTGGAGCCTTGATGTATGCCCAAATTTGAAAATTTTGAGAGCTCTAAGCAATGTTTTCATGATCAAAGTGGCCGGTTTGTGGGAGAATCTCGTGTTTATTGGCATTGACCTTGAATTGTTGCATGTGGTCGAGTGTGTCCTATGATGATGATTGAGAGGTGCATTAGGATAGTGAAAAGGTTTAGTTCTCATGTGTGCAAAAATGAATGGATGTCTTTACTTGATTACTTATTGATTACAATTGCCATGCATTGTGTTTTGTGAATTGGAATAGATGATTGGGTGACTAGGTAGCCATGTGAGTTTTGAGCCGATCTTTTTCGTCTTGTGTGCTTAGATCCCTCTTACCATGGGGAGTAACATCACATTTTTCACTAGTGAGTATGATGGAGGCATATGATTAGTCCACACCCAAAAGTTGATTGTCCCGAAATGATTTATCCACTAGTCAACCCCTTTGAGCGTTGTGACTTTGTGGATCGCTCTCATGTTAGGAGCTTTTCGTTTGTGAGCTTAATGGTGTTTGGTAGAACGATCCCCCCATCCTTTCTTCGTATCTATATGTGAGTCGTCCTTGTGTCCCGGAGCTCTCGCTTTTGAGTTCCATTGAGGTTCTACATAGAAGGATTTCGTGCGGTTCTTGCTAGGAATGAAAAAGAAAAGAGTAGTGTTGGAGTAAGTTATTAAAAGAGAACATTGGTTGATAAATGTAATGTGGAAAGTGTTTTACTCTCTAGTCCCCCCCCTCAAAAAGAGGGGGGTAAAAAGAGGAGTGTTTTACTCTCTAGTACCCCCCTCAAAAAGAGAAAAAGAATCGAAAAAGAGGTAATACAACGGGTAAATAAAGTAGAGAATGCCAAAAAGATCAAAGTGTATGCTCTAGGAGGGGTTTCTTGGCACTCAAGCCATTTAAACACCCACATTTTTGTTGAACTCCTTCACTACCATGTCGAAATTTGATAGCAAGAGTAGACCGAGGAAGTGCGCATAAATGTAGTTCATGATGGGTGATAGTTTGGAAGGGATAAGTAAGGTTTTTGGCCGATGCTAGTGGCCATTGTTTGTAGGGAAGGTTCTTAGTCGAAACCAAACCTTCGGGTTTAGGGTGAAGATGTAGGACCTCATGTTGTGTTTGTCACCACCCAAAAAGGCCTTTTCCCCATGTCCAAGACAATTGCCAGTCATTTGAACCCGTGTCTAAGACCTCCGGTCAAGCTAGTGATGACAACCGTCCCATGAACTCTATCATTTAGAGGTTGGCGCCAGGGTGAAGAGACGTTAGGACCGAGTGTTGATGATTGTGCATATTATTTTCACCAAATGGTCCCGACCCCACTGGTCAAGAGAGTGAGTGATTCATTCTTGTTTTGCATGTCATATCATACCCCGGTGAGGACCTTTGTTGTCCATTCGTTTGTTCCTTGGACTTGAATGTTATGCATGGTTAGTTTTGGTTTATAAGTGATCTTGTTGAGACTTGCATTGATTCATGAACAAGGTGAGAACTTTTTGTTTGCCCGCTTTTGGTCACCTCGAATGTTGTTTGTGGTGGATGCTGGTATTGCTTGCAACGGTCCATGTGTTAATTGCCAATAGCTATTGAGATTCGCCACTTTATGCCCTTTGATTTGTCCCCAAGTTATTTTGTTAGGTTGAGATATTACCTTGTGTGAAATGGTTTGCTTGGGGACAAGCAAACGTCTAAATATGGGGGAGTGATTCGGGCCTAATTGTACACTTTTTATCCCCGTTTCTCTTTGGCTTTTGTGGCATTTGAGCTCCTAAAAGGGTGGTTTCATGCTAGGTTTCTTGTGTTTCAATGTGTTTCAGAGTCTAACAGGTGAAACCAACCCCGGAGTCGAAAGTTGAAAGAAAAGGCTCAAAGATCGGGCAAAAAGGAGAATCCAGCCGTAGTTCGCGGTCAGAGCTTAGAGTTCATGGCCGCTAGGACCGTGAAATAGAACCACAAATTGTGAACCGCAGAGCATCCAAAGGAGTTTCAGATGTTAATGACGTCAAGGCAGTTCACGATCATAAGACCGTGAACTGGAGCCATGGACTGTGAACTCCATAAGTGAGGCGGCGCATTTTGATCTGTGTTTACGGTCCCGGTCTGATGTTCACGACCGTGAACTGGGACCATGAACTGGGCGCGATCTGTGTATAAATTGGGAGTTGAAAGGAAGAAGAAGGGAGAGCCCAAAGTGTGAGAAACCTTCTTCTTCTTGAAACCCTAGAGAGAGAAAGCACGAACCAAGAGGGAGAAGAGGCTAGGGTTTGCTCCAAGTGAAGATTTTGGAAGTTCCTCTTCAAGAGAGGATCTTGACAAGCACAAGGGGAGTTGGAGGCATCACAATGATGGTTTCTTTCTTCTTCTTTTGTGTTCTTCCTTTGTTTAGCATGGAGTGGTTTCCCTTTTCACTTGTGTGTTGTAGCACCCTAACTTTTACCATGTAAGTGATTGTGTGGATTGAATGATTGTGTGATGGTGGTGTTTAATTTAATAATTGAGGTATTTTTCATGGTGATTGTGCATTGTGTGTGCATGGAAATCTATAGTGCTATTCTAACCTAGCTTAGAGAGAAGCCCCCTTATCTTAAGAGGCTCAAATTGAGCTGGGTTTTCTTAGGAATTCCATGCCTCCTAACTAGGTTAATGAAGGGCAAACCTCTAAACTTGAATTAGACACCTAGGTTAATTGAGATTATGCCGTCCAACCTTGGTTTGACGGAGAAGGTAAGTCAACCATCAATTGCTTGTGCCAAGAGGGCTACAATTGTAGCCTATAATGCTTTCCTTGGCCTAGCAATTGAGAGGATGATTTTAACCATTGTTGTGCCTCCTACGGGTCACTATCGCCTTGTCACACAGTGATTCATTCGATCCCACGGTTCATGGTAGTTAGTTAGTGCAGGGGGAAGCAACTCTTGAGTGAAACTTCTCACCAAGAGTTTTCCACCCTTTTACTTTTCAAGTCTTGCTTTTAAATAGTAGATTGTAGATATTTTAACAAACAACATTCCGCTAGATAATGTTTCAAACAATTGAAGTAGGGGTACATGGGCCATCCCGGGTTGATATTTAAACATACTTGCCCTATATTGCACCCATTTAAGGTTTATACTTGGGCCTTAGGTGGGAATTTATTGTGATATTCAGAGTGAGTCAAATACCCCAGTTATTTTCTGAACGGTTAAATTTCTCCCTAATTTTACTATTAAGTATTATCGCCCTAACTTAAATAGTAAACTTACTAAATTATCCTTCATCATTTAAATCAAATTCAATAAAAATAAACGGTCTCTAAAATCCATAACCATCCTTTATTTCTGAACAATCGTCGCCGATCACCGCCACCCAGCCACCACTGTCGTCAGTTGGTCAACGGTGCCCGCCGAAGAAAACCATCTTGCACCTGCGACGGGAACTTTGCGGCCGGTGGCAACTGGTGTGGTGATTGACGAAAAAAGATCAATTTTGCAGTTCCTGGCGATGGGAATCAGCCTGCGGTGGAGGCGGTTAGTCACTTGTTTTGGATTAATTATGGTTACTGACTCCACCACCCAGCCATCACTTATCTATTTTCAACTTTTATACTGCCAATTTGCTGAAGAACACCATGATGAAAAATATATCAATTTTGCGGCTGCTGGCGATGGGAATCAGCCTACGGTGGAGGCGGTTAATTGTGGTTATTAGAATAAAACTAGTTACTTGACCTGCGCTTCGCGGCGATAATTAGCTTTTTTATATATGTTAGTTTACCGCAATCTAAGTGATGATTTTTGGAATGGTTCATGCTTCACAATAGTATATTGAGTTGTGTTTACGGTGAGTCTAATAGTGTAGAAGATTGATCTCCAGTTGAATTTAAAGATGCACATAAGTTGATATGGTTGCCTACAATAAACATTCTTTCTGTAAAAGGGAAATGTGAATGTCAAATACAATTCAATGGGGAAGAGTTGCAAACCTCAAATGACCCCACTCCTAAGCTACTTGCAAAACCGAGAGCCAGTTCAAACAAATTGCAGAATCAAACTAATCATGGTTAACTCCACCTGGCCTCCAATACCATCATTCAGTGTGTTACTTACAAACTAAAGTTAGTGACACTTAGGGAGTTAGGGTAATCTCAGTAAACAACATACCAAAATCCTTTAAGCTTTCAATGAGTACATGGACTGAACAGTTACTAAAGAGAAAGAATTCACCTTAGTAATTATGCAGCACTCATAGCAGCGCTCCAGTTCTCTTTGGCTGCAAACGAAGCGAACCAAATCAATTGGAAAATCCAATGCATTAGTTGAGGTGAGAAGAGCATTAGTAGGCTTGGCTGTACCAGCAAGAATTAAACCACAACATGAAGTTGGCAACAATTTTAAGCATATGTGCAGCAATCTTACCGAAATAAGATGTTTTATGGGCTGGCTCTCTGCCAATATGTCATTCACTCTTGGATAATTAATGTTAGAGAAAAATAGAAGGAGTAAATGTACTTGTAGAAGCTCCAAACAGCGTTCCAAGCATAGCCCAAGTAAGCTGATTGAAGATGAGAAAAAATTAATAATAGAAGCTCAAATTAAAAGGAGTAATAGCAGCTCCAATACTTGACAGCATCACAACCTCAAACCAGCTGTTCACCAGTTTGATTAAGCTACTCCTTTATCTTCTCTGACACCACACAACCATAGCTAACAATTGCAGCAGTTTAATTAAGTTCATCTTGGGAAACAGTATTATAAAAGCATTAAGCGCATTAATTTTGCTAGTACTGACAAAATCACTGAACTCGCAAGCATTCTATATGGTTCTGTTTTGGATTCAAGAGCGCATTACAAAGTAAAATCAAATATGAAAACCTTAGCAATTAGTAACTCGGTCATTAGTCACGTTGCTAGTTCAATAAAATGACCCATTGCCTTTGAATTGCAGCTCAAAGAACTTGTCGGATTGCAAATAGAGTTCTCACCTATCTCCTATCATTGAGTTCGTTTGTACACTAACATGAGTTCACAATGGTAAACACCAAGTAACAAAATATAAGTAGATGAATCATGCCAATAACACATGAATCAATTCATGTGTTCTGAAAAGGCCAGATTTGGATTATGAATACTTACAAAAGACCACTTTTTTCATTCATGTCATTTGGAAGAATGCCAACACCTGTGCTGTTTAAGTTGGAATTAAGTCCAGCCTGAAGTGAATTGCACAACCAATTAGCAACTTTTTCTTGATTAGGAGGTAGATAAGGACTACAAAGGAAACTTAAAGAACTAATACAAATCAGATCAGTCAAACATGACAATTAGTGGCTCTAAACTTTATACCTATCGCATGGGTAACTGTTGAGTGTTGACTATAGAGGCGTTTAACTTGGTATTACTACAGTTCAAAGTGCCTCAAACCCAACCCATGAGGGATTCCTCTACTTCGTTCCTCTCTCCATGAAGATTTGGTAGACTCACCTAGCTAGGGACACGCTTTCGTGGAGGGGAGGAGCTCTTTCCCATGGTCTCGGTTTTGCGGAGAAGGAAATCCAATTTCGCAAAGAGGATAATGGATTAAGACTTTAATTTGCTGGGGAAGAAGAATGGTCTCGGGTTTGCGGAGAAAGAAATCCAATTTCCCAAAGAGGATAATGGATTAAGACTTCAATTTAGTTTGGAAGAAGAAATATATAGGAGTGAGCACATTATCAAAAAAATAAGAATGAGTTCACCAGCTAATCAACGAAGAAAACAATCATTTGACGCCACCCAATCCCTCTTCTTCATCTTCATCTTAGAACTCCCCGGTCGAATGGGTTGCTTCCTCCGATTACCCTCCTCTGATCATCTGATCCCATCGCCAACGAAACAAAATCTCCCTGCATCTAACAGAGACTGAATCACTATGAGGAGGATGTAAGGTCGTTTATTGGTGGCGTCGAGGATTGGGTAGGAGGAGGGAAAAGCGGCCTAGGCGTAGGCTTCGGAAGGGAGAAGGGTTCTGGAAGCTGGGCGAGTAGCTAGGCGGCGTCAGAGGAGGGGTCGAAAGGGGAAGCGGCGTCCGACTAAAAGAAGGGCCACTGCTTGCTTAGCTAGCCGCCAGAGGTTGCTTAGGAACACCAATTTTAGTATAGGTTTAGTTGTAGCTTATAAAAATCACCGAGTGAACAGCAATCCCGAATTTTTCTTAATGAACAGTAACTCCGATTTTTTTGAACTTGGGACTTAATAATTCTAATATTTCTTAACAATAAAAAAGAAAAGGGTAAAGTGTTAATCTCAACTATTAAGTTAGGGCGATTATAGTAATATCTAGGGTGACAGTTAGCAATCCCCAATTTTTGTATATATTACAAAGTTGCCATTACGAATCCACATATCAAGTTCAATTGATGGGTTGAAAACGCAACTTAATTATAAAACTTGGTTGTCAAGCACACTAACAACTTCAATTTGAGTCAAGTATAACCCGAATTGGAGAAGTAATATAGGCATTACCCTTGAGGTCGTATTCCCACATGCACCTTAGGTTTACTACTACTTTGCTCTAAACTATTATCTAATCGATCGATAATGGTTGATTTGAAATTAACTAACTAGGAAGAACAACAATTAACTAGTTAGGAGGTCGCTAGAGATGTAGTTACTTAGGATTTAATCCTTCTAATAGTAGGAAGGGTATGTGATTGATGCTAGCCTTAACACGACTTCCCTATCTTCTAAGTTGCAAGAAATGACTTAGTATAGTGGTTGGTGCAAGGATTATATCTCTCAACTACAATTCTAAGCCTCTAAACTAGCTCAATGATCATTTAATTAGCTAGGAACTTCAGCTCAATGATAATGTAATATCGTGCAATACTTTATCTATATTATAATCTTAACATAAGAGGGTGGTCACCTCAACTTAGGTCAAGAATAAATCAATAACCACTTTCCGAAGCAAGAGATTGACAAGATTAAATATCAAATAAACATAGGTAGATATGAATCATGATAGGTTCACATTCAGACAACAAAACCTAGCTACTTACTGGAATTCATCATTCCTAAGCAACTATAGGAGTTTCAGTCATAGAGAGAAAGAGGAAAATACAAACTAGAAAGAGAAGACAAGGTTGAAACCATCTTCTTCTCCTATGATTAACCTCTTCTCCTTGACTCTTGGATGACTTCTTTCTTCCTTAGCTCTTTCGAGGTATTTTATTTCATTAAAACTACTTAAAATCCTAATTTCTCACTCTAGGTTGGCTCTTCTTCATCAAGTGACTCGCTCGAAATACAACTTGATGCCCAAGTGCAACCAATGACAGGAATGCGTGAAAGTGGAAGTGTGTTTAATAATTAACCCAGAGTCTCTACATGTATTACTACTCTGTATTAATATATTATCCAACAATCAAGTTCGAGTGGTACCAGTTAAAAACTAAGAACACAATAAGAAATTGGTTTGGGTTTCAAATATCAAAGAGGTCAATCAAGTATTGATTCCCCTAGTCTCTAGCCAGATTAAAGATCGTTGATTCTCTAAATAGTTTCATTCAATATTTATACCGTGGAGAATCATTGATTAGTCTTGAATATCGATTAAAGCAGACAAGGGACTCTTGAAATAGACTATTCAAAGGGACACCATCCTCTACCGAAACAGAATACCAAGGCAATAAAAAACTATATTCCTTATATTGGGTAAGGCTCTCATCCAATACCAAGTAGTGAATCGATTGACTCTCATGTAATTGATTCCCTACTTGTAATTGACGATGGTCTATTAGTCTAATAAGGTATTTTCTCTCCTAGGTTAAAGCAGAAATCACAAGATTATGATCATGATTCAAACCAACTCATGAAAATGCATTAACTAGATATGAACTTTGGACTAAAAAATCTAGGTTGTCAAACAATAATACAAATCCATACAATATTAGGGCTCGTCAAAATCCAAGTGAAAGAGGGATTATTTCATGAAGGACAAGAGAACAATGATAACGTCGTATTTGCACATGTTTGCACCCTCGTTTCTTGATCATTTTGGCTTGAGTTTTTGCTTTCTTGGACTATTTTACGCTAGGTTGTGTTCCTTTGTCACATTTCAGGTCCTAGCATGTAAATTGAATCAAAGGCGCAAGTTTCAAGTCAATCGTAATTCATTTGGCAATTCGGGAGAAGAAACACGAGCATGACCTGAGGAATAATGGACTTCTACCTCATATTATGGACAAATAATCATGGAAGTTTGTCATGAAAAGAAAGAGGAAGAGACTACGAGCGTTTGGGATCAAACGGTGATGGATTCGGAGTCCGGACGAGGGAGAAACGAAGCATTAAACAGGAGCGGAGGAAGAAATACGGGCATCCCCTGCCCAATTATGGGCGTAATTGCCTCTGCCCTGCCCGTAAATGCGAAGAACAAACCCTAGGAGCTATTTGGAGTGGATTTCTCACCATTGAAGCCTAGATTGCATCCCCAGGAGTGAAGATCATCATCCCAGAGCAGATTTTCCTCATCTTTATGAGTATGACTACTCTGATTTATGTTGTCCTCTCTCTCTCTATGGAGTAGAACTTTCTCTCACTTGGGTATGAAGAACCCTAGTTCCATGTGTTAGGGATCTTGATTGTAATGACTTGGGATTGTTATACTGTTTGATCTTAATTGATTGATGCATGATTTATTGAGTCAATTGAAGTCTAATCATCTTTTCTTGATTTCTGCTGCAACTTGAGATAGATAGAATCTTATTAGGTTGCTAGAGCTTCATCAATTGGTAGTGGTAGATTGATTATACGAGAGTTAATTGATTTGCTACTTTGTACTGGAACCTGATTCCAGTAGTGGAGTTCTGCGTTCATAGCCTCAGCTTTCTATCCCGGTGAAGACTAGACGTCTACCGGGTAGTTGGACTGAGAGGGCTTGGTCAGCTTAAGAGATTCCAAGCTACTGTCGGATCTTTCCGCAGTTTAATCAACAGTTAATCAACCCATGGTAATTACAACTGTGACCTAACTAAGGAGCTAGGGGGACTCATTCCCGAGTGACTCTTCCCTTGCTTTAGAAAACCGAACCATTTCCTGCTTTCTTACTGCTTTTAGTTAAAATCACAATCCCTCGACTTAGTTTGCTAGATAATAGATATTCACGGAGTAGGCAGTAGATCTAGACCCCGGGTTGACAATTAGAGCTTGCATGTTACTGCATTCCCGGACTACGATTACACTTGGTCGCAGTTTGGTGTTGTGTTTTAGCGTGTCAAGTTTTTGGCGTCGTTGCCGGGGAACTCTAGGTTATTGTAGAAACGTGAAAGTCTGTTACTTTAGCATTTACTTTTATGCATCTCTCTTTTCCACCCTTGATTTTCACTTGGGTATTTTGTTTTTGTTGGTGCAGATCTGATACTCCTCATGGCTTCTCCAATCATTGGGGGTATCCACCACCACCGGAGTGGTATTACCCGAGACTTCCTGGAGCAACCAAGGAGGAGAAGACTATGGACTCGGGTTTCAGTACTAACCCCCTACTACGAAGAACAATCTCCTTATCAAGAAGAATTCCTCCCACAACCAGAAGGGCCATCAGATCTTGATTTAGCCACAGCCTTCACGGGCCATCCGGCAGAGCCATGCTACACTCCACAGCCGAATCCAAACTATCACTTGAGGCTTCTCGTGGAGCAGATTGCTCGAGTACCTGATAGATCCTTTCCCGAGATGGATCCTCATATCCAGACCATGGCCCAAACTGACTTCTCCTTTCCCTGTGAAACAGAGGATACCCTTCGGAGCATAAAGAAGCTCATAGAGGTCATTGAGAAAGCTTGTGCACAGTTTTCTCAAGACAACCTTTATGTTGCCATACAAGTAGAGGAGGAGGAAGAAGAAGGCAATCATGAGGATGTTGAGGAGCATACAGAAGTTGTCACGGAAAGCTCCCATGATAATCATGATCAAGTGTATCCTCTGGTGGTAGATCACAACTGTCCCCATTTCCGCTCTGATATGCTGGGCCTGAGCGAGGAGATGCAAGATGATCTCATTGAAGAAATTACATGGCGACTTGCTCTCCAATCTGTGCTAGAAGAAGAAGAGCGAGAAAGGGTGAGGGAAGAAGTTGTGGAGGATGAGGAAGAAAGAAAAGAAGAGGAAGTTCTTGATCTTTACCTAGGGGAGAGACCACATTTTGAAGAAGGAAGGGGGGTTGAAGCAAATGGCATCCAGGCTGAGGATGAAGTTGAGGTGGAAGAGGCTTGCACCAGCCCTATGTTACATGTGATATCTCCACCAAACTTCGAGGAGCTTCTTGGCAAGGACCCATTTGCAATGTCTCTTTGCCAGACCAAGACCACATCAACATCAATCCCTCTTGGTGGATGCGATACTGATCAATCGATGATATCTTATCTGGTTTGGGGAAATGAGACAAGAGAAAACGCGAAGGAGAGGTCTCGAGAGTGGAGACTTCATCTTCCTCAAGGCCACGAGCCATCTTCATCACCTATCACATCACCTGCTTGTGACTTGAGACTCCACATCATCGACGAGAACCTCAACTTCAAGGAGGTTCTGGGGTGGACCGAAACTTAGGAGCCACCGTCCAGCTAAAGATGTAAAAGAAGCGCTTGTGGGGGAGGCAACCCCACCAAGGTTTTTTTTTCCTTTTGTTTGTTTTCGGTTTGTCCACTTGGAACTATGGTTTCTATCACCCAATGTGTTTTGATGACTCTAGTCCTGCTGACTGGTCCAATTTCCAGTCCCCCGACAGTCCATATTTCCGGTAACGTCGTTTCCCCTTATCTTTCCCTCTGCTCCATTGAGGGCAATGTCGTGCTTAAGTGTGGGGGGTAATCTATTGTTGACTGCTAGATGAGTTTGTGTGCCTGGAGCCTAGTCTGCTGTCCAAATCTTGAGATTGAGGGCTCCAAGTACTGTTGTTTGCTTAATCGTATTGGCACTGTGGGTTTAATTGGTGAATTGAATGGCTTTTGAATTAATGCATGAAAACTGGAGTGTGACTAGGACAACCTATAATGATGATTGAGACGTGCAGTAGAGTTGTGTAGGGGTTCAGTTTTTCAACTATTTGCTTACCAACTATGACTTGGATTGATCACTAGCTCTTGACATTCGTTTATGCATCTATTTCAAGGAATCAGAATGAGAGAGAGCATATAGGTAGCTATGTGAGATTTGAGCCTACTCGTTTCTTTCTTGTGCGATAGATCCCTCTTCCATGATGTGTAGCACTCACGTTGTCACTAGCTAAGATGATGGAGGCATAGGAATAGGCCACGACCAAATTGACTGTCCTGGTGTGTCATACCCCCCTAGTCAGCCCCTTTGAGCCGTGTACTTTCCTTTCTTTCGGTCTACACTGGAAAATCACCCTTTTGCATCTCTTAGAAGGTTCCACAGAGTGGTCTTTGCATGTTTTCTGCTGTTTCTGTTAAATATAATGTGAGGGTTGGAGGTAATGCTTAAAAATTGGACATGTGTTTGAAAAATGTGCAGAGGTGGTGGTTCTCTCAAGAAATGAAAAAAATGAAAAAAAGAGGGGAAAAAATGAATGAAAGCAAAAGAGAGCCACTATCCAAAAATCTTAATCATGCTCATTAAGTAGTGTTTCTTAGCAGTCTGGCTTGGAAATACCAACATTATTGTGACCTCCTTCGCTCTTGTGCTCTAAGTAATTTGAGTAATGCAGAATAGCATAAAGAAAGTTACTGGTTTGATTGGCTGTGATTGTGTTGGGTTTGGAACTGTGGAACGTTGTGCTATGAATACTTCCACCACCTAAAAGGCATTTTCCCCATGTCCAAGACCCTAGCCAGTCATCTGAACCTGTGTCTAAGACCTCCAGATTAGTTAGTGGTGACACCCAATATGTGAACTCTAACATTAAGAGGCTACATTCATGGCGAAGAGACGTTAGGGATTGAGAGAATAAGCATGCGCATTTTTTGCATCAAATTGTCCTGATCCCACTAGTCGAGAGTGAGCGATTCATTTTCTCATATTCTCTATGCTCTTTACCCCGGTGAGGACCTAGATGGCTCGGACTTGATTATGACGTCTTGAATTTGATGCAAGCGATGACTTTCTTGGTTAAGTGGTTGAGTCGAGTCTATGTTGGTTGGTGAACAGAAAATATTCCTCTTCCTTTACCCGCTTTTGCTGCACTCGAATGTCCTTTGTGGTGGTTGTCCAAGTTGCTATTGAAGTTGTCCATGTGTTAATGATCAAAAGCCAGTATTATTCTCATGTTTCGTGCCTATATGATATACCCCCAAGGGTTTCATGGTTAAAATGTTTTGAGCTTACCTTGTATCTGACTTGATTTGCTTGGGGACAAGCAAACGGTTAAGTGTGGGGAAATTTCATAACGTAGTATTTGCACATGTTTGCACCCTCGTTTCTTGATCATTTTGGCTTTAGTTTTTTATTTCTTGGACTATTTTACTCTAGGTTGTGTTCCTTTGTCACATTTCAGGTCCTAGCATGTAAATTGAAGCAAAGGCGCAAGTTTCAAGTCAATCGGAATTCATTTGGCAATTCAGGAGAAGAAACATGAGCATGACCTGAGGAATAATAGACTTCTACCTCATATTATGGACAAATAATCATGGAAGTTTGTCATGAAAAGAAAGAGGAAGAGACTACGAGCGTTTGGGATCAAACGGCGACTGATTCGGAGTCCGGACGAGGGTGAAACGAAGCATTAAATAGGAGCGGAAGAAGAAATACGGGCATCCCCTGCCCAATTATGGGCGTAATTGCCTCTGCCCTGCCAGTAAATGCAATGCCAAGCCAAATCCCTGAGAATGCCTTCGAAGATCAAATTACGGGCAAGAGCAAAATGAACTACGGTCATAATTCCACAAATACTGGCAGTAATTGGGTAATTACGACCGTAATTCCTCTCATCGGTGTTAAGTGAAACGCGCGTTTTGGGTGAAATACGGGCAAACCATGTTTACGACCGTAATTCAGCCTATATTTCGCCCATAATCGGGTTTTTGAGGCAGATTCGAGCCAAAGGAGACGGAATCGACTTTTTGGAGCAAAAACAGAGTTTTAGAGAGAGAAAGTGCGAAGAACAAACCCTAGGAGCTATTTGGAGTGGATTTCTCACCATTGAAGCCCAGATTGCATCCCTAGGAGTGAAGATCATCATCCCAGAGCAGATTTTCCTCATCTTTATGAGTATGACTACTCTGATTTCTGTTGTCCTCTCTCTCTATGGAGTAGAACTTTCTCTCACTTGGGTATGAAGAACTCTAGTTCCATGTGTTAGGAATCTTGATTGTAATGACTTGGGATTGTTATACGGTTTGATTTTAATCGATTGATGCATGATTTATTGAGTCAATTGAAGTCTGATCATCTTTTCTTGATTTCTGCTGCAACTTGAGATTGATAGAATCTAATTAGGTTGCTAGAGCTTCATCAATCGATAGTGGTATATTGATTATACGAGAGTTAATTGATTTACTGCTTTGTATTGGAACCCAATTCCAGTAGTGGAGTTCTGCGTTCATAGCCTCAGTTTTCTATCCCGGTGAAGACTAGTCGTCTGCCGGGTAGTTGGACAGAGAGGGTTTGGTCAGTTTAAGAGATTCCAAGCTACTGTCGGATCTTCCACAGTTTAATCAACAGTTAATCAACCCAGGGTAATTACAGCTGTGAACTAACTAAGGATCTAGGGGGACTCATTCCCGAGTGACTCTTCCCTTGCTTTAGAAAACCGAACCATTTCCTGCTTTCTTACTACTTTTAGTTAAAATCACAATCACTCGACTTAGTTTGCTAGATAATAGATATTCACGGAGTAGGCAGTAGATCTAGACCCGAGTTGATAATTAGAGCTTGCCTGTTACTGCATTCCCGGACTGCGATTACACTTGGTCGCAGTTTGGTGTTGTGTTTTAGAGTGTCAAACAAGCACATAAGAAGAAGAGGGAGCAATCTACATGTTAGAAGTCTTGATCAAATCCTCCCAATCGCCTCATATGGTCATGAGCAGCTGGAAGATGCCCTTTCTCTACCCTCTATCTCGAAATTTAGGTTTTAGGTCGTAACTGGTTGTCTCCCTTCAGAAAACCCTAAGTTTAGCTTAAATAGACTGGAAACCAAGCTCGAACACGACCATGGGCATGCATGTGCTGATCGTGGCTTTTATTTTATTTTTTTCATCTTTTTCGACTTTTCGAGGGGCGAATGGATCCCGAGCATGCCTCGAAGAACGATCGTGTCTTAGGTCGTGTTGGTTCATAAAAATATATTCAAATCACATTTAAATGCACGTCAAATCGTCTTGAACTATATAACCTCCATCTTTAGTGCATTTTTCATCTAAATATCATTTAATTCTCTCAAACTAACTTGAAATACACTAAAACAACAAACGAAGCATAAAACGGTAAAAAAAATATAAATCTTGCTGAAATGATAGCCCAAACAATGTCAAATGAGGAGTAAAAATATATAGAATTTACGGTGCATCATCAAATGTAGAAAAATGGCTTAAATAGTGATTTTTGGTGCACGTCAGGACCACTGACCGTGATCTGAAGGCTCGTCATGGCTTGGAGTCCGCGAATATCACGAAATAGTGGATTGAAGACAGGTCACGCCCACATCACGGTCGTGATCGTGACGTGTAAAACGTCGCCAAGTTATCGTTTTCCTCCACGTATTGACTTGTACACGGTTTCCGAGTTCCAGACCTTGACCTCCAAGATCCCGAGTGATCTCAAAGTCGATGTTGTTATCCTTCTCGCAGTTAGACCATTCTTGGCATCAAGCTGGGTCGCAGAACATTCTCCACATTTCTGCGTTGGGGATGCTAAGTTCACAGTCACAGTTGTGACCGTGACCTAGCTCAAAAGCTCCCTTCCTTGCTCGTGTGTTGCAAAAGTGCCCAGATGAACCTCAAATCAATCCCTAATCAATTTAAAATGACTACAAAATCAAGAATACCATTAGAAAAAACACCAAACAAACAGAAAATACAACAAAATGAAATGAGGTAGTTTCCCCATGAAGAACCTTCACAACAACCTAACTCATGCTAAACCTCGTGATTTATGCATAGGAATGCATATTGACATAAAAGCTTTAATGGAAGTTAAACATCGGTTTAGATGTTATCATGGATTTAATTGTTATCATCCAAACTCAGATAAAAATTATATTTCAACCATTCTATTAGTGCCGAAAACAACTTTTTACCAATCAGGCATCAGCTAATTAAGAAGATAGAAAAGAGTGAATTCATTCATAAAAAAAGGACTAATTAGTAGCCGCATGGCCGCCTAAGCTAACGAGTAGCTCTGCCGACTGCCAAGAGGAATTCTTTTGCTCACCTTGAGAAAGAGAAACAAAACACCGCGTCCAGTCTAGCCGCTCGCTATTAATATTTGGGGCTGCTACTGCTGTCTAAAAATGGAGTTAAGCTACTTGGGAGAGAAAGAGAAACGAATCTAGTGCAAGGGAAAGGACGGATTTGGGAAGGGGAGGCCGGTCGACGTGTCAGCTCCAGATTCCTCCTCTTCAATGGGGAACAACTGAACAAGAACACACACCCGAGTCCAAAACACCTAACACACATCAGCATCATTATCTTTCAGTCTGGGTTTTGGTTTTGCAGTTTCTAGTAACTTTGTACCGTCCGAACGAACCCCCACAGCCAATTTCACTACCAACACTAGTCGGTTGTCACTTGGTCAATTTATGGCTTTACTTTTTAGGCCTTTCTTCTTTAATTATCTGCATTGATGATTGCTGGTGTAGGAAACTCGGATCATTTTTTCTGCCAGCCTTTTGCTTTTGTTTTTTCTCCAGTTCAGCGAAACGTTTTAGAATAAATTTTTAAGAGGATTTTGAGAGGGGGAAGAAGAAAAAGGAGAAACCCACAGAAATTGGTGGGGGAAGGGTTTTTACTGCTGCTCTCTCGTATCTAACTGTATTTAATCCCCGGCTCTTTGACATGGAACAAAACCCTAAGGGTTCTTGTAAGAACCAATCGCCGCCAGATTGATCTCAGCCGTTAAACCCCATCTCTCTCGTTCATTTTTCTTTCCTCCTCTTTGCTTTCTTCCACTCTGTTCCTCCCTGAAATTTGTTTCCCCTCGAAAACCAGGCAACCCACTTCCCCTGATTCTGTTGCTTGCTTGGTTCTTGCTCTTTCTCCCTTGTTTTGGTTGCTGGTGCTTTCTTACCGGGCATGGTCTCCAAAGTTGTCTGCTTTGGACGTGGAAGAGAATAGTAGACCCTCCCCTGCTTCGGATTCCTCTTTTTTTTTTTTTCTTGGGTTTTTAATTATAAAGAAATGTTTTCTTTTATTTCCGGGTTTTGGTAGGTTAGGATGGTTGATAATTAGTTTTATCATCATTTCAGTGTAGGTGATGGAAAAGTTTTGATCTTTTTTTCTTCATTTCCTGGTCTTAGGTTGCTGTCTAGTTTTTTTTCTTCTTTCTCCTGTCCTGCTTTTTTGTTGCAAAACCTCCGAAAGTTGCAGTCTTTGAACCTGTACATACGGGGGGTTTAGCTCCGGTGGGAAGTTTTGATTTTTGATCCGTTTTGCGGGTGTCAATCGGTTCTGAGGTTTGCTGCAGTGGGTAAATGATCAATTTTGGAATTTGAAAAACCATGTTATCTGAATTGGGAAGGAGACCGATGATAGGAGCTAGTGATGGATCATTCGGTGATGATTTAGAGAAGGAAATTGGGTTGTTGCTCCGTGAGCAGCGCACTAGACAAGAAGCTGATGATCTTGAGAGGGAGCTCAATTTGTATAGAAGTGGGTCTGCTCCGCCCACTGTTGAGGGTTCCCTCAACGCCGTAGGCGGCTTGCTAGGTAGTTCGGCGCTGCCTCACGGTGGAGTAGGAGGCGGTGGAGGAGGAGCCGCCGTCGCCTTTTCGGACTTTGCTAGTGGTAAAAATGGCTTTATGAATGAGGAGGAGCTTAGGTCTGACCCAGCTTACTCAGCTTACTATTACTCAAACGTGAATTTGAACCCTAGGCTACCCCCTCCTTTGATATCTAAGGAAGATTGGAGGTTTGCTCAGAGAATGAAGGGAGGAGGGAGTTCAGTTGTAGGTGGGATTGGAGATAGGAGGAAAGTGAGTAGGGCTGATAATGGTAGTGGGAGGTCATTGTTCGCTATGCCTCCCGGTTTTGATTCGAGGAAGCCAGAAAATGACAACGAGCAGGAGAAGGTTCACAACTCCTCTAGTGAATGGGGTGGGGATGGACTGATAGGTTTACCAGGGTTAGGGCTTGGGACTAAGCAGAAGAGTCTTGCTGAAATCTTTCAGGTGATTGATTACATCTTAATTGCCCGATGAACTCAGTCATTTGACTGCTCTTTTTGAATTTAAATTGCTTGTGATGTATTTATTGGTGGTACAGTGGTGGTAAGTGATTGATTTTTATGAGATTCTCATCGTGCAATATGTATGTTATTGTTGTAATTTGCATGTGGAACTGGTTATGCATTTCCCTTTGAAAGTATTATAGTTTGGAGGATGCATTTATACAAATACGTCCTGTGCTTTTCTTTCTTGGTATTGCTTTTGTTGAGGTGACAGGAAGGTGCTTTGTGTTGCTGATGAGTTGCCGGTCTTTTATGTGCATTCTTTTATCTGTAGCCAGTTTTGAGGTGGAGAATGCGAATTATGAATGAAAAACTCTTGTTGCTGTTTGTTTCTTGTGAACTCTAATAATGCTTCATGGTAATTGAATGGCCATTTGCAACATTTTGGGCATACTGGCTATAAAATATCTGCCGGAGTTGCTATATTCTACTGTTTGACTATAATGAATTGTATAACCATGTGTTTGCACCTTGGATGATGACATAAAAGTATTCATATCATCTAGTATGTAACTTATCAATCTTCTTCAGAAGTAATGTGTTCCTATTGTTTCTCACTGGAAGACTATTGTAGTGTTGCTGTGTAATCGTTGTTTGCCCTCGTATTGTTCTAATTGTTGAGGGTTCTTGCACCTGTGCAGGATGACATGGGTCGTGTGACTCCTGCTGTTGGCCACCCTTCTCGCCCTGCTAGTCGCAATGCATTTGGTGAAAATTTAGAGAGCATGGGCGCTGCTGAAGCTGAGCTAGCTCACTTGCGACGTGAGTTGTCTTCTGCAGATCCTGTACGATCAGTTGCAAATGCCCAAGGTTCTTCTGCTGTAACTAGTGTTGGCCAAGCTTCGTCTTACTCTTATGCAGCTGCTCTTGGTTCCTCTTTGTCTAGGAGTAACACTCCTGATGCACAACTAGTAGCTAGGGCTCCCAGTCCTTGTCCTACACCCATAGGGCAAGGCAGGAATTCTGCATCTGAAAAGAGAGGGGCTTCTAGCTCTAACTCATTTAATGGTGTGCCTACCAGCATCAGTGAATCTGGAGATCTTGTTGCTGCTTTAACTGGTATGAACTTGAGCAATGGCATAGAAGAAGAAAACCAATTGCCACCCCAGATGGGACAGGGTGCTGATAACCACCACCAGAACAATTTATTTAGTCTCCAAGGAGGTCAGAACCACTTGAAGAATCAGAATACTTATTTTATGAACTCAGACTCTGGGCATTATCAAATGCCTTCTGTTTCTCAAGCTGGAAAGATGACATATGCAGATTTAGGCAAGAGCAATGGTAGTAGCTCAAACCTTAATGGCCCATCCTTTGGAGAGAGGCATGCAGACATGCAAAAATCAGACGTTCGTCATGGTAATAATTCTTATGTGAAGGGATCACCTCCATCAACTCATAATAGCCGAAGTGGCTTGCACACTTACCAACAGATGGATAACATGAACCCATCACTTCTGAACTATGGAATGAGTGGGTATTCTGTTAATCCAGCTTTGGCTTCTGTGATGGCTGCTGGTCAACTTGGCTCTGGAAATCTCCCCCCTTTATTTGAAAATGTTGCTGCAGCGTCAGCCATGGGTGTCCCTGGTCTGGATTCCAGGGTTCTTGGAGCGGGTATGGGATCTGGAGCAGGTCTCACAGGTGCGAATCCTGAATCACGCAATTTCGGAAGACTAGGGAGCCCTATTAGTGGAAGTTCCCCTCAGGCACCATATGTTGATCCTTTGTATCTCCAGTATCTGAGGACTCCTGAATATGCTGCTGCAGCTCAGCTTGCTGCATACAGTGATCCCACGGGTGAGGGGAACTATTTGGGTAACTCCTATATGAATTTACTTGAACTCCAAAAAGCTGCCTATGCTGGAGCTATGCTGTCCCCGCACAAATCTCAGTATGGAGGCCCTGTGGGTGGTAAATCTGGCAGTTCTAATCTCCATAACTACTATGGAGGTCATGGTTACGGTGTTGGTGGTATGTCATATCCTGGTAGTCCTCTTGCAAGTCCTGTTATTCCAAACTCCCCTGTTGGTCCCGGAAGTCCAATTAGACACAATGATCTGAATATGAGGTTTGCTTCTGGTATGAGGAGCTTGGGTGGTGGTGGTATCATGGGTCCATGGCACTTAGATGGAGGGATGGATGAAACCTTTGCATCCTCACTTCTAGAAGAGTTCAAGAGTAATAAAACCAAGTGTTTGGAACTTTCAGAAATTGCAGGTCATGTTGTTGAGTTCAGGTAATCTATAGTCAAAATCAAGTTAGTCTTCTTCTATCATTGTTTATCCATACTGTATCAGATTATGCAACCTTGAATGCCTTATTATGAGCAGTGCTGATCAATACGGGAGCCGATTCATCCAACAGAAGCTAGAGACAGCCACAATAGATGAGAAGAACATGGTGTATAAAGAAATCATGCCACAAGCTCTTGCTCTAATGACTGATGTGTTTGGTAATTATGTTATTCAAAAGGTAATTAACCCCAAATTCGTTCATTCTTTAACTATTCTGTTTTGCAAGTGCTTTCTAGTTCTAGTAATGGTAACACTTGGATTGCTTCTGTTGCAGTTTTTTGAGCATGGGCTGCAGTCACAGAGAAGGGAACTAGCTGCCAAGTTAATTGGTCATGTTTTGACGCTTAGTCTTCAAATGTATGGATGCCGGGTGATTCAGAAGGTATAGCTATGATGAGTAGTTATTTGTTCAGTATCATAATAAAGCATTATTCCGTTTATCTTTTCTTGGTTGATGAAATCAGTTTAATACCTAGAGAATGAAGGACAATAGTATCATTCAGCATTGACAATTCCAATTTTGAAGTCCTTATTCCATTTTAGTTTCATAATGTGTTTAATACTCTTCTTAGTTGAACCATAATTAATAAATTGACTTGAGGGTAGAAAGGAAGGAGGTTTAGTTTACTATACTGGGTCTAATCACTTATTTACCATTCAGGCAATTGAGGTTGTTGACCTGGACCAAAAGATCAAAATGGTCGGAGAACTTGAGGGTCATGTTATGCGCTGTGTCCGTGATCAGAATGGGAACCATGTCATCCAAAAGTGTATTGAATGTGTCCCCGAGGATAACATCCAGTTTATCGTCACAACATTCTATGATCAAGTAGTGACCCTCTCCACCCATCCTTATGGTTGCCGTGTGATACAGGTGAAAAGAAATTACTTGTCTTGTTTGGCTTGTATCTATGGAGGATATCTGGTTAACATGTATGTAACATGTGTTTATGATATCCAGAGAATTCTGGAACATTGCGAGGACCCAAACACGCAGAGTAAAGTTATGGATGAGATTCTAGGAGCTGTCAGCATGCTAGCACAAGATCAGTATGGCAATTATGTTGTTCAGGTTTGTGATCTTTAGCCCGAAATTGTTTTACATAACCGAAGTTTTTCTTATGGATATCACGTCTTGTTATTCTGTTCAAGATCGCAAGTGCTTTTGGCTTTTTGCTTCTGCTGTATCTTTTTTTTCCTTAGCAGTGTCTTCCGATATTTTTTAGGATGTGTAGTCATTTACTATGAATGTCTTTGTTCAGCACAAAAGAAATTTGATTTAAAAGTTGAAACAAACAATTTTCATTCTAAACCCACAAATAATTAGACACTTAAGGTGTCCTCAATGAAACATTTTTCTTCCACCTTCGCCCTTTCATAATAGGAATCTATCTTATGCCCATAATAGTCATTTTCCTAAGTCTACTCATTTCGTTATCGTCAAACACCATGCACTATAATTTCAGCTCTGGAATAAGCTGTACCTCTGCATCTTATTTGTCATACTCTCTTGCAACTTGGAAGAATACCCCATGACAATCTTGCTTGCATAGCGACTTAATCCTACTTTGAAGCCATTTCAAAAGTATATTCCCTCTCCTGGCGGCTTTGCTATAACTCTAGCCTTAATTTTTTATTGGTCTGACAGCATGTACTGGAGCATGGAAAGCCGCATGAACGATCTACTATCATTAAGGAGTTAGCCGGGAAGATAGTCCAGATGAGTCAGCAGAAGTTTGCGTCGAATGTTGTTGAGAAGTGTCTGACATTTGGCGGTCCTGATGAACGGCAGCTGCTGGTGAATGAGATGCTCGGCACTACGGATGAGAACGAACCTCTCCAGGTTCTGCAGAATTTTCCTTTCTGCTGCGTATGTAACAGATGCTACTAGCAAAATGCATGCATATGCTTAATAGTCACTTCCTGTTTCCTTAGGCTATGATGAAAGACCAGTTTGCAAACTACGTGGTACAGAAGGTGCTGGAGACTTGCGAAGATCAGCAGCGCGAGCTGATCATGACGCGAATCAAAATCCATCTCAATGCACTGAAGAAGTATACATATGGGAAGCACATTGTTGCTCGTGTAGAGAAACTTCTTGCTGCTGGAGGTATATATTATACCTCCAAAACATCAGGAACTGTCTTTCCTTCTTGTTCTCTGACTACCTTGATCATAAGTCCATCAATTTTTGTTTTTGTTTTTTTGCGTTTGCAGAAAGGAGAATCGCTGCAGTGTCGCTGCAGTCTGCACAGGGGGCGGCGTAGAGCTAAGAAGGGAAAGAAAAACGCTAAAGAGGGAATCTTTTATCTGTATAGCTAACTGAGGCTAGTGTGAGCTTTCTTGGCATCTTCTTTGGTGGTGATGAGGATTGAAAATAATAAAGTTGTACCGGCGAGAGAGAGATAGTGAGAGGGAGAAACTGTACATTTTGTAGTTGTAAGGGTCGTCTGTCTGTCTATACATACGGTCGATAGATGAGCTGATTGCCATTCCAAGAACCGCCACCTTACGCAGAGGACATGACGGCGTGAATCGATGTGTACCGAGTTTCAGGTAGGGTGTAAAAATGAGAGCAGGGGAGCAGGAAACGTTTTTTAGTCTATAAGAAAACGTGACTGTAAAGGAAATGAAACTTGTTTGGTTTGGTTGAGAATGAGAGCTGTTAATGTTTAGTCTCGAGGCCTAGTGCAGTTTTCTTCGCTCTTTCAATGGCAATGTATCCCTATTTTCTATCTTCTTCATATCTACTTCCGGCATTTTGCATCTCAGTCGTCGAAATTCGCATCTGGAAACTACAACGTTGTTGAATCCAGCAGCATGAGACTGTGGGTTTGATGGTATTCGAAATCGAATTGAGTATCAGGAAAGTACATCAATCAATCCATAACATGTGCAAAGGGTAAAAAATTATGCTAATCGTCATCAGCAAATTCATCTTCAGTATCGATCTTCTGGCCGAAACCTCTAGGACCAGCTCTTGCTCTGGCCTTGACCTTCTTGCCCTTCCCACCTCTCTTCTTCTTGGCTGCTTCTTCCTTGTCAAACTTGTCCTTCTCCCTCTTCTGCAGGAAATCTGTGACTGCTATGTAAATCACCTGCAAAACCAGAATTTTCCCCTCAATCAATCCACAGTCTACAGTGAAGAAAACGGAGAGGGGGAGATATAGAGCTGTGGAAAGTGGCTTACCCCAACAGTGAGAACAGAGAGAGCAACAAAAGCGATGAGTAGAAGGGTGGAGATGATGGTGCTGACTCCGTCGTCGGAAACAATCTCCTGGGCGGCGTCGAGCGGGGCGACTATGTCAGCCGGCGGTGGAAGGGTAGCAGCATCTTGGGCGGCGGCGAGGGTCCTCCAAATTTGGGGACTCCGGCGGTGGGATTTCGAATGGGAGAGGAATTTGCAGTTGGTGGCGATGGAGAGGTTAGGAGTGGATAAGGAGAGAGGTGGAGAGATACCAGGTGGCAGTCGGAGGAGAAGTGCAGAAGGCGGTCGGGTTGTGGAGGGCGACGGCGGCGGCGGAAGTAGCGGAATGGGTGCGATTGCAGCCATGGTACATCTGCTTGAGCTCTGCCTGCCACTGGAAGCAAGTCCAGTCCAGTGGAGATGGAATGTGAGTTTATGGGTAAGTTAGTCTACGAGTTTGGCAGTAAGAACTAAGAACCCAGCTGCTTGCTTTACTAATTAATTACTACAGGTTGTCTCGGTGCTGACTGGCACTGCTGCTGATGACGGAGTTTGCATTTTGCACCTTATTGACACTTGACAGTGTATATCAAAGTTCGATGGGCCTGTCATGGTCAATCCAAGCCCAATCTACATAGCCCTGATGGCTGATGTAGGAAGGGGCAATGACTGCCGAATGCCACCCGCCAGTCTCAATAGGCCAATACTACGGTGTCGCGGTAAAAAGTGTGGCACCACCAATGACGCTGTTTTTTATTCGTCCAAGTGGAGCAGATGTGGCGGACTGGGTTGGTTTAATGAATATTGATCCAAACTCGGTGGTCCATTACAGTAGCCCAACCGACCTCTCCCAAACTAACGGCCAACTCCCGTCACTTTATTAATTAATAATAAAGTAAATTAATATGAGCCTTTTGAGTTTTGACTGATATTAGTTTTGTTTTTCCCAGAATCTTAAAACAAAAAAACAGGGATCGACCAAACGAACCAAAGCCAACTTCCTCAATCTCCCTCTCCAGGGTGTACATTTGTTTCCTCCTACATTTATTATGTAAAATAGAGCCGAAGGAATCCGACTTCTTCGTGGGCCTCTGTCTCTACCGAACAGTGTCGTCGACAAGGTTGCAGACGATCCCAATCCGAGAGTTGTCTTTCCCTTCGCGTCCTGCTCCTCAGTTTTCAACGTCCCCTATTTCAATCGCTGAAACCAATTTCTAAGCAATGCAGAGTGACTTTGGCCATCAAATCGAAAGGTTGTCGTTGTTTTAATTCCCTGTTGCGTTTGTAGTTTTCATGGTTGCTGCAATAGAGGGTCGGTTTAAATGTTTCCCTTTGTATTTCTGGGTTTAGAGAGCAGCAGGGGATTGTGTGCATTCGTCACTTTTCTGCTCTTTGTCTCTTCTTCCCTCTTTCATCTTGTGCATTTGTATGTTCCATTATGGGGAATGCTGTAATTTATGAGGAGTTTTTGAGGTGGTAGAGGATTACAGCCTTGTCAGTCCACGAAAGTAGCCAGTTCACTCATTCATCTTGTGGTAGCATGCTGCAGCTGAACAAACTAATAAGAGTTTAATTTTTTTGTCTTTTTTGTTATTGTGTGATGCAGCTGAACAAACTAATGACAGCTTCATGTTTTTATTGTTATGTGGTAGTCATGTTGGAAGTGAGCAAGAACTTGAATTGGCTCTTCTTCATTTTGTTTATTCCCCTTCCTTTTGTTCCTTCATGGTTTATGAATATTGGATAATTCTGCAGCTTCCAACTAGAATTTATGTAACCTTCTATATTTCAATTTGAGTGTAATAGGCCTAAATATATATGACCACTATGTAAAGTGTATTGAATGATACAGAAATCAAATTCAAGATAAATAGCAAATAACACCAAACCTGCTTCTCATTAAGATCATTAGTAAGAAAGCACTTCAGCCACATTCTGATTCATAAAAAAGTCAAATTCACTGGTCTCCTTGATAAAAGGAAGGTTCAGATCTCCTGAGTAATTGAGTACAGTGCAAACTTAAGAGGATGTACATCAGCAGCAACAATACATTCTTGGCTATTTCTTTTGCTTTCATTTTATAGAAAAGATTTACTACTGCACATGAATCCATGAGCTCTATCAGATGGTTCATCAGTGATACCTAAAATCCTCTCCAAGAGTAAAAACCGACCAACGAAATTAGATACCATACTCTGTTCGCACAAGGTTAGCAGCAACCAACTAATAACATAACGACTGCAAACAATAGATTTTGACCATTCCATGTCTGATTCACCTGGAGTATAAAGATCTCAACTTTACAAGGAAGGGCAAACAGTTTTCTCGAGATTGTGATTGGTTTTTTTCTCCTGTCCTAATGGATCAACAACATTGGACTGAGTGTTGAACTTTTTGCATCTGGCATTCATACCGAGGCATCTTTCGCATCATTTCCAAGAGGGCTCTTTAGCTTGGACAAATAATAAGAACTATATATAACAAGCAAACCTTTAGTTAAGTACATTCATCTAGCATTTGTGTGAAGAACTATTTTGTAGTTTTGCTTCAGGTCCACTAGTACCGTGACCAACTTGGCAATGTCCAGCTTTCATCCGAAGATTAAGAGCAAACAAAGGTTATAAATAGGCTTAGTTACTTTTCAACACTACCCTACCATTCCCTTGAACGCATCTCTAAATTAATTGGTTTCCAAGAATTTCATGGCTAGCAAGTTCCTGGCCATGAGCAAAACCTGACTGCTCCCCATCAAGCTCTCCGATCACGCAAACAAGAAAACCAGAAGCAAAGCTACGACCATTCTGACAAAATCCAAGTATGAAAAATATACAAAGTTGATCCTTCCATCCAAACACAACTCAAGGAGGGACTCACTCAAGTCCTTTTTGCATTAATATTCCAAATTCGTTCATATATATTGATTACAACGGGTACAAGTTACAAGCAAAAGGGTGCACTGCACACAAGATAAAACAACATAATTTAGCATACTACTCAAACCATTGTCGTTGGGGTCAAAAGATTATAAAGAAGTAAATTAAAAAGAAAGTCAAATGCTTATTATGCTACTCAAAGCAGAAAACCCAGAGGACACAAACAACTAAACTACAACAAAGTCAATTGCTGGGATGCTCTCAATTGGAACTCCAAAGCAAGGTTTATGGCTTCCTCAGCTTGTTCCTCACGACAAGGAACCTAAGATGAACTACTATTCTCTCTAATCTCTATCTCCACGAAACACTTGAGCATATACTCCATAAACTCACAGGCAATTTGGTAGCCAATAAACTCCAATAGATTCACTCTAACAACATCTGGTTCCCGCGTTTGCCCACCATTCACTCATAGCAGTAAGTGTTCATCTACTTCCCCAAAAGACAATCAGCGCCAAAGAGATTGAAATTGAAAGGAAGGAAGAACCAAGCCCCAAAAAACAATGATAATGACCACGTCACAGTTAGCTAGAGGTAGAGCATGGAAGACAACTTCAGATTGTACCTATACTTTTTGTACAAATTTTTTTATGGTACAACTTACCTTTATGTGATGGTACAACTTCAAGTTGTAAAGTTATACCATAACATAATGATATAAATTTCTTTATGGGACAACCTAAACTTATAGGTATTTTTCCATAAATAGCACTATTCAGGAAAACAATTCCAAAAATAGCACACAACTCCGAAAAATTCCAAAATTGCACCCTTTCTGCAAAACCGCCACCCGTACTAGCGGTTTAGGCGTAAATCGCTTCCCGGGGACGCGTTTTTCGATGAAAACCGCACTGGTAGGGGGCGGTTTTGAAAACCGCACCCCCACCATGCGGTCTGTTTTTTTTTTTAATCCTAACCTAGGTGAATTTTTTTTTATTCCGCGTAACCTTTTGAGATCTTGCAAGCCGAAGACTGCCGAAGGCCTACGTCCCAAAAAATGTCGTTTGCTACCTCGAACGTGCTTTTTCCTATTTCGTCAAACTTTGGACAACCATAACTTTGTGCTCCAAAATCCAAACGACATGAATTTTTTTTATTTCGCATAACTTTTTAAGGACTTCAATATTTACTAGGAATGAATTTTCAAAACCAGAATTATTTTTGGATATACAGGATTTTGGGAATAGCTTACCTTCTGTTCTCAGCAATCCACGTACATTTTGAAATTCTGTCTATGATAAAAGTTGTATTCCTTAAAAATTTATGTGAAATAAAAAAAAATTCACACCGCTTGGATTTTGGAGCACAAAAATATGGTTGTTCAAAGTTTGACAAAATCGGAAAAAAGCTCGTTCGGGGTAGAAACGACATTTTTTGGGACGAAGGCGGGATCAAACCACCTTCGGCAGTCTTCGGCTTGCAAGATCTCAAAAGGTTAGGCGGAATAAAAAAAATTGCGATGATCGGATACCCGAACACAAAGATACTTTCGTTTGAAGTTTCCACCTAGGTTAGGATTTAAAAAAAAAAAGCAGACCCCATGGTGGGGTTGTGGTTTGCAAAACTGCCCCCTACCAGTGCAGTTTTCATCGAAAAACGCGTCCCCGGAGAGCGGTTTTCGCCTAAACTGCTAGTACGGGTGGCGGTTTTGCAGAAAGTGTGCTATTTTTGGAATTTTACGGAGTTGAGTACTATTTTTGGATTTTTTTTTTAAACAGTGCTATTTCTAGAAAAATCTCAAACTTATACATTTAATGTTGTGGTACAACTTCAAATTGTACATTAAACCACCAATACTATTTAGCATAGTAATAGTGCTCCTGGGTTGCTTAGTTTTTGTTCCTGGAGATTAGATGGGGTGAAAACAAGACGAAGAGCTTTCCGTCTGTTTGGTCAGCTGGTGGTTCGGCCACTTCTTACTTGGTCAATATCTGGGTTTGATTCGATTATAGTTGTAATCATTTTTTTTCAATTAGAGGTTAATCGTTAATCAATCTTTGCCTACCATTAACTGTACCGAGTATGTTAGTCGGTTTAGCAATAACCAAATTAGGTGTCTGTTAATTTTTTGGTCAACCATCTAACCGGCTAGCAATCAACAAGGAATGGTTAGTCTAAAATAATTGATATGTCATCTGTTAGTTATTTTTTTTTGAATCCGCTGATTGAAATCTTTTGTTTTACCACCGCCACTTCTAACACGTAAATGAAGAGGATGAGGTAGGACACAATCAAATTGGATGACAACTACTATGATTAAAACTTATACGAAGAGTCTAATAGGTTTGGTCCGGTGTCGTTTGAAGCTGTTTTTATTGGTTTGGATGCCCTTATATATATAGTTATTAATATTAATGCCGACAACACACAACTTAAGCCTTATCCAACCAATCATTTATTAATCTAATCGCAACAAATTGAGCATATTATAGTCTGTAATAATTGAGGGCGTGAAATCCATTTCCCGAGTTTCCACCAAGCAAGTTGATTCCCTTTTCCCTCTGGACCGTTTCACGTCTTTGTTTGTTGTTGTATTTTTGTAAAAGCCAAATTCATCAATTCATCCCTACAGGCGAAGGCGATCATCAGGTGCGCAACCTGCGTATTCTGTTCTGCAGTTGCTCACCACCGCTGTCTGATCTCCGAATCCGCAACTCCCATTCTGCAACTTGTTCCGGTTTGCACGCACGGACGACGACGGCGTTCAAAATTACGACCACCGTCTGGATCTGATCACACAAACAAACCAACTTAATTTCCCCCGTCCCTAAATCCAATCCAATCGTACGGCTCTCTCTGGCTGGTAAACGCAGTTTTGAGCTTTTCTTTTGACGCCCCTTCCCACTCTCCAAACTCCAATCCTTTTTTTGTCCCGTCCCTAATTCTCCACGTTGCACTTCTGCCAGCTGTCTTCCACCGCCTCGACCCCTCTGACGTCTCCCATTGGCCCGACTCTCTTTAGTCTTTTCTTCGCTTGCCACTGCCTCATCCCCCACCAAGTTGTATTTATTTTTTGTTCCTCTTTTTTTTTTTTGGTTGAAATATTTTTTGTTCCTCTATAATTGATGGATGGTCCTTTTAATGAAATAAGAAATCACTTTATATAAAAAGTTTTAACTAATATAATAATAATAATAATAATAATAATAATGTGATAAAAGGTCATATAAGCTAAGCTCAATTCTAACAAACTAAGAAAAAGAAACTACATTCGTTGAAATCACCTAGCAATTTGTGATCCAATACCTAGCATTTTCGGTATGACAGATTGATATAGTACGGTTTTAAACATTGATTTCTAATGATAACGTTTCCAAATTCTTTATTGATTAATTTTCTTTTGTTATATATATAGTGGCGTAATCGGTGCACCCACTTTTTTGGGTGCACCCGGCTCATAATTGTCATTCTGAGCATGCGATTCATGTAAAAATGGTATCAATTGTTGCTTATGATATTATGAACAAGAAGCACGTGAATTTGAAAAAAAGTAATCATTCAAAATTTACTATAATTTGAAGGATTTAGGGTTAGGGTTTAGGTTTACAATTTGAGATTTTGGGTTGGGATTCAAAATTGAAGGTTAAGGGGTTAGGGTAATTAAAGTTCAAAATTAGATTGAGAGTGCTAATTAAAGTTCAAAATTTGATGTATTATGGACACTTTTAGAGTTGGGTGCACTCAGTGAGTGCGCCGAAGTAGCCATCATATATATATATTAATAAGTAGGGATGGCAATTTTGACGTGAAATGTTTTACCCGACCTGTTTGACCTATTTTGGGGCGGGTCCGATCCGTCCCTTAGGCGTGGCGGGGCGGACATGGGTATCTCTCATTGATACGACCTGCCTTGACCCGCCCCAATCTCGACCCATTCTTGCCTAAATTACATATAATCTTAGTCAAATTGCTTAGAATTTTCCTTTTGTTACCTCATATTTTAGCTATAATAAAGTTGTAAGTAAGTGGAAAACTCAATTTCTCCAATAATTTAGCTACATTTTATCATATTATGGTTTGTTTCTTGGTGTTTCAATGAAAATAACAAATATTTATAATATTTTTCATATAAATTACATACCCGTTGCATCGACCTGTCCTAACCCACACCCCATGACAAATTATCCGAACTGGAACCGACCTGCTACGAAATTGGTATGGATATTGAGATACCCACCCAGACTGCTCATTCCCATTCTTATTGATAAGCTTTTGTTTTCTATATTTAAATCTCAAAAGTGGTCCCAAAAAGAATTGTTCCATGGAAACAAAAAAAGTTTAAGTTACCCAAAGTCCATGGGCCACCTCCTCCACTAGAAAGAAAGAACTCACCCAGTTTACCGAAAACACCCTCAAAAAGCGCAAGATATTCGCCTACGTGGCTCGTTATCAGGTGTGAGATCCACAATCGCACTACCCTCACGGCCTTGGCGGTATTCACGCGTGATTGGATCGGCGGTTGAAGGGAAACACGTGGTCCAATCATAGCGCGAGTAAGAGAGGTAAGACAGCTCTCGGCGAGTGATGAGAAAGATAATTATCACGAGGATAGATATTTGTCCGGATCAAAAATATCTGTCTAAGTCGTCCACGTTGGCAACCCGATAGGGAGACCGCTCTGGCCCTGGAATTAGATATTGCGCTTTTTACTCCATTTTCCTTTCCCGATCCTATTATTTTAATTTTCCTTTCCTTCACTTTCCCTTATTTTCCTTCTAACCAAACACCACCTTCGGAAATATCTCCACTTTCGTCGCCCCCCTTTCTCTCTGACCCGGATCCACAATTTCCCAATTCCAGACTCGACTCCTGATTTCCACACTACCGATAACATCCTCCTTCCAATTTCTTCTCTAATTCTGCTGATTGAATCATAGTTTGGTGGGAGGCAATCATGGGGGAGGAAGTGAAGATGACCGACTATGAGGCCAACGGAGGAGAAAACGACCACGACGGTGGAGGCTCTGGGGACGACGCGAGGGTCACCGAGTGGGAGATGGGTTTGCCGTCTGCCGATGACCTAACCCCCTTATCTCACCACCTAATTTCCCCGGAACTGGCGTTGGCCTTCAGTATCTCGCCGGAGCCGTGCCGGACGCAGGTGGACGTCAACCGAGCTTCCGAGGTGACACTCTCTAATCTGTGCGGCAGCAGTGGCGGAGGGGGGAGCGGCAGCGGGGGCAGCGGTGGCCAGTTGAACACTCTCTCGTCGAACAACAACTTCAAGCCCTTGAACGACGACCGGGGGACGACGGCCAGAGACCCGATGTTGGTGGAACCGGAGGACAACGGCGGGGCGGACCGCGACGGATCCGGATCCGAGTCTAGGAAGATGAGGAAGCTCGATTCGGAGGAGGCGGATTCGGTACTCAGACCCGAGAATTCCACTGACGATCCGTCGGCGAGGTCGCTCAAACGCCCCCGCTTGGTGTGGACTCCGCAATTGCACAAGCGATTCGTGGACGTCGTGGCGTATCTAGGGATTAAAAACGCCGTCCCCAAGACTATTATGCAGCTGATGAACGTGGAAGGCCTGACGAGGGAGAACGTCGCTAGTCACTTGCAGAAGTACCGACTTTATCTCAAGAGGATGCAAGGGCTTTCCAACGAGGGCCCTTCGCCCTCCGATCAACTTTTCGCCTCGACGCCGGTGCCCCAGAGTCTGCACGAGAGTGGCGGTGGCGGCGGCAGCGGCAGCCGAGGAGGATCTAATTGTCCGCCGCCGCCTCCTCCTGCTTCTGCTGCTCCCACTGCTAATGGCCATTTGCCAGTTCCGATGCCGGGGCCGTATCATCAGGCTGGGGCCGGCGCAATGATGCCTGGCCCTATGTATGGGCATCTGGGGATGCCGCAGATTGGGAATAACCATCACTACCACCATTACCACCACCACCATGGATTTGATCGGAATGCTCCCCCGTACAATATGCTGCAGCAGCAGAAGGAATGGAGTGGGAATAATTACGGGTCCGTCGTCCCTTACCCGCATCATCACCCGCATCAGGTTGCTCCTAATGATAACATGTGATGTTCGTAATAGGAGCTCATTTTTGGTCATAAACCAGGTTGCGTTTCATTTCTGTGCAATTTCTCAACTTTTTATCTGTTATCTGTTTCCGCATGCCAACTGTTTGATAATAGTCCTCATTGCGTAGGGTACCTGAGCTTTGTGCCTAAAATTAGAGTGCCTCTAAACACCCTTTCCATTTCCGCTTGTTGATAATTCTTTTACGTCTTTTGTAATTTAGGAAATCAGACTTGGGGTAGCATCTGATTGTTATTTTCTGAGGGAGAACAATTGTACATGTCTGCTACGGAGGAATAACTGATGATTTGAAGTGCCTAATAGACACAGAAGTGCTGTTTTCTTCTATGTGTTTGCTAGACCTTTTTAGGATCCTCTGTTATGCTGAACTTAGGAAGCAGTACCATCCAAAGGAATGTGTTACTAGAACAGTATCTGTTAAACCTTCTTGCTATCTCCAATATGATATTGGCCATGGGGATCCTTGGAGGATGTTGTTCTTTACCAACCTTTCGCAGAAGTGGAGTTTTTTACTTTCTTCTTTTTAGACTTGAACTATTTGTTTGTCATGGAGAATGGAAGCATCGCCATGATGATGACCAATGTGCCCAAGTCTCACTTATTCAAGCTGCTTAAAATTGACATTTCCTAGCAAATTAGGGTTATCTTGTGGCATGCTATGAGCAGGAAAGATACATTAATGGCGACAATTTAAAACAATAAATGGATAGGCAGAATGATAAAATCTTCCTTGTTAGGTGGGTAAAGCAACCATGAGCTATCAATCATATGCTTGCAGTCCTCTTCTAGAAACCAAGCATTGGCGGACACTAGCCATGAATTTTAGTCCTTGACATTCTTAGCAACTAGAAACATTTGTTTTTATTTCAAAGCTCTATCTTTTGTCCCTTAGACTTGCTTGTAGCTGTCTTAATGCTTTCTGTTTGTTGTTGATAAAAATGATGCTGATAGGCGTGAGACTTGCTTGACTGGTGTTTGTAAACATGGACTCTAATGCCGTTCTATCTCTTATAGGTTATGAATGAGAAACCTGAAACATGCTTGGTTCTTGGAAGTGGTTAAAGACGGTGAAAGAAGAACAATGAAGCTTAAGAATGTGTGGAGTATCAGCATCATGTGTTCTGGCCTTCTGCATGACTCTAGGAAAGAGGAAGTTCTCCTCAGTAAATATATCCTATTTGGTTATCAATGATCAACATGAGGATTGCAGGATGCAGTATGATGTGGAACCAGGCGAGAACTCAAGGCATACATTCTCTCAACTTGTTCATTGTTTGATGAAGCGAAATAAGAAGTTTATTTCTGGATTAACCAAACCCCTCCTTTTGTGCTACATAGCAGAAATCAATAAAGGAAAGCCAAATTGGTTCACCTAGAAATTGACACTATTGGATATTGGAATGCCATTGCATTACACTGATATATCTATCTATTTGGTCATAATTCTTTATTTTATTTTTCTAGCTGTCAGGTAACCTGGCCGTTTATATGGTTATTTACTACATCCTTGAGATTGTTTATATATCAATCTTGTCAAATTCTTGTGTTAACTTAATCCGCCTTGGCAAGGACTTCGGTTATGTGATTTCAGATTGTTTCGACGTTCTCTTCCCTGTTAATGTGTCCTACATGTCTTTTCTTTTGTAATTTGACAACATGCTTACATGTTTCTACTATCTGGCTGTGTTTTGAGCGGTAAATGGCCAGAGGAAAACAGATCGAGTACTGTGGGTTCGTTTCTGCTCGTGTTTATATGAAAGGAATGAAAAAGGTAGCAATCTGCAAGGAATGGACATTGAAGTTTCATCTACTAAGTTGATGAGGTACAGGTTTTACACAATTTATAATCTTATTTTCCTCAGCCTCCTGCACAACTTTTCTAGCTTCTTTGTCTAGCAGTTTATTCTGAGCGGGGGACCTACAACCATGCCTTTCTGCTTCCCCTTTCTTGATGTTCTGTGATAACTCGTTTTGTTAGTATACATGTTTAGATTCAGGTGGTCTTGTTCTTTGAGCCCTATTTTAGTCATTCAGACTGTTCACGCTTCTGCAATGGTAATATGGTATATCTCCTCCCATCAGCTCCTTTGCTGTGTAAAGCACTACGGCATTTGCCATTGAAGGTTGATGAACTGCCTGGGGCTCTTGTGTCTACATATCGTCGTCTCGTTTCATTTTAACAATGGCTCGAATGCTCGATCTCAAAACTAGAAGCTCAGCTCTAAGTTATAGCATAAGATATGCAGAACCTTTGTGGTAATCTGAGTGTATTTTGTTTAGTTGAGCGGCAAGTGGGTTGGTGCAAGTAGTTCTCACTTACACGTGATAAAGTTAGCCTTTTGGCAATTATTTTCCGTAAAGGGAAACACGAAATGTTGCTCTATTTGCTGTTGGCCTCAAAAGTGTTCATCCACCACGGTATAAGTTGCCGAAACGACACTACATATTGCACCTGATCGATCACGAACTACTTTTCTGCGGCTGTTTTGGTTGCAAATTCTTGCACAGCTGCATAATCTTAACTGAGAGCAGAGAGATACAGTGTGTTTGTATTGAACATCCGAATATGGCACATGACTCTTAGACCTTCATAAGTTCTCTGGATTATGATTTTAACCCTTGATTTGCCTCGAGGTAACTGAAACAAAATCAGCTTTGCAACTTGTCCAACTGCGCTATCCAATAAGTCCGTCTCTATCCAACCTTAAGCAGTGAAGTTGGCAGCCTGCCCCCTACTCCAACTATGATGTCTACTTCCTTACCCCACATGTTTCTATCCAGCTGCACCCAGAGAACCGCCTAGTTTTACTGTTCAACCGCTTCTTAAACCTTGCAACAGCTCCCCAACTGCCTGCTTCAGCATGTAGACTCGACATGAGAATTTCGTTACCAGGGTTTCTGGGCTCAAGCTCCACTAACTGCTTAGCTGCGACGTCAGCGAGCTGCACATTGCCATGTTTTCTACACGCCCCCAACAGTGCTCCCCACACGAAAAGATCAGGCTTCATAGGCATCGTTTCAATCAGACGATAGGCCTCCTCAAGTTTCCCAGCTGTCCCAAGAAGATCCACCATACATGCATAATGCTCCAATCTTGATCCAATGTTGTACTTCTGTTGCATCAAAAGGAACAAACTTTGTCCCAGCTCGACCATTCCAGCATGACTACAAGCTGTGAGAACAGCTGTGAAAGTCAAGTGATCAAGCTTGGTATTGCCTTCGGTCTTTTCCAACCGAGTAAACAGCTGGACTGCTTCGTGGGAGCAACCATTGTTTGCATATCCGAAGATCATTGAATTCCAGGTAGCCGTGTTCTTCTCCGACATTTTGTGGAACAGCAATCTCGCTTGGTGGAGAAAACCAGACTTGGCATACATGTCAATCAGAGCACTCCTCACGTATATATCATCATCAACTCCTATCACCACAGCATGGCCGTGAAGCTCCCTCCCATGCCTGGCGTTTGCCACACTGGCACAAGCTGGCAAGAGACTGCTGATTGTGGCAGGCCTGGGCAAGAAGCCATGGCTCAACATCCGTTTGAATGTGCTAAAAGCTGCGTCATTTCGAAAGTTCTGCACTAGCCCTGATATAACTGTCGTCCAAGAAACCACATCAGGTTCTATGCCGTTGTCAGCCATTAGTTGAAGAAGTTCTGAAGCAATAACTTCGTCACCCTTCTGGGCAAACCCAGCAATCAATGTGTTCCAAGTTATGATATTTGGTTTAAGCCCCACTAGTTGCATTCGCTCTACCAAACTAAATGCTTCTTCTGCAAGACCATGATGAGCGTAGCCTGAAACCAGGGCATTCAGAGCTACCAAGTCTTTCTCCCATATTGTATCGAAAACTTTCGTTGCGTTGTCAACTTCACCGCATTTGGAGTACATATCAATCAATGCACTCACCACAAACGAATCTGATACAAAACAACGTTTCAAACTTAGGCTATGCAAAATCTTCCCAGTATGTACATCAAACACATGCCCGCAAGCCTTCAGAGCACTTGGAATAACGAACTGGTTTGGGAGTAATCCCTCTTTCCTCATTTCAAAGAAGACATCCAAAGCTTCCTGGTAAAACCCACATCGAGAATACGCCCCCACAATGACGATCCACCGCCGAATGTCCGAGTGGGGAATTTTGTCGAACACTTGGCGCGCGCTGGACAACCGCTTACATTCTGTGTAGAAAGACACGAGCTTCGCTGCAAAATGCGTACGACGGGCCAACCCATTAGTTATCAGGTGGGCGTGGAGTAGTTTCCCTCTCAGTAGCGATCGACGGTGAGCGTATGTCTCGATGAGTTTGGTATATATATCTGGAGATGAATGAAACCGAGAGCAACCAGCTTCAAACTTCCGTTGGTCCCTGAAACGAGTTAGCCTGACGAGAGAGAGCATTGGATTTTAGTCGACGATGAAACCATTACAATCATTTTAGCCATACTGCCGGCTTGAGAGGGCGACATTTCGGACCTTCCGGCGATGGCGCCAATGAATAAACAGTTACTAACGGTGTCGATTTTGACATCTCTGTCGCATTTAGGAAGGCCGGTAACGTTCTGGCTTCTGTATACAGCCAACCGCCATCGGACGGACCGGTTTGACCCGGACCGGCCGGGTTGGCTCCTCGGTTCTATATTTGGAGACGACATTGCTACAAGTCAAGAAACGACATTGGTCGAACAAAGAGAGATGTCTTGAGAGGTTGAAGAGCAAAACCCAGAAGGCAGTATGGACGGATTGATTCTCCTTCCAACGCCACACAAGCTTCTCGTTTGTTTTTCGCCTGAGCTCCACTCAAGATCCCTTCTTTACATTCAACGCCGGGAAATTTCGTCGGTACCCAGTTGCAGTTTTGTCTATGGCTGTGGTGGTGGTGGGTTCGACGTTTTCTCTGTTTCTCCAGGAGGGTCGTTGGTTCCGGTGTATGGGAGTTTCAAGAGCACGAGAAGGAGAAGAAATTCGACGACCCTCTTGAGAGCGAGCCGCAGGGAATCTCCTTACGAAGTGTTGGGAGTGGCTCCTTCTGCAACTCAGGATGAAATCAAAAGGGCCTACAGGAAACTTGCTCTCAAGTATCACCCTGATGTCAATAAGGAGGTATAGTTTAATCTGTGGGTGTTTGTTAATCTGCTAATTCTGTTCGAATGAAAATGTGTCCATTTGGGTATCAATTTGTTTGTCAGTTGAGCTAGCTAGTAAACAAGAATGAAGAGGGGGAACAAATTTGGTGATTGGATCCTTCTAAAGAATGGAGAATTACCTGCAGAAAATACACTATGCTGGATATAGCAACACCATCAGTAGCCTATGATATCATAAGTCCTGTTACTGATGCTAATGTGTCCAAGTGTTTTCGGTTTGGTTTACAGGCAAATGCTCAGGAGAAATTTATGAGGATTAAACATGCCTATAATACATTACTAAGCTCTGAATCCCGAAGAAAGTATGATGGTGGAACGTCATCTTCTGGGTTTTCATATTCCGGTGCTGACAGAAGGAAGACGAGTAGTACTGGAAATGAAGAGGAGTTCTACGGGTTTGGTAATTACTTTGCCTCTGCCCATTCGTTTGTTTCATTCTCGAATCTATTCCCTACTATTTCAGCTGTAATGTGAATGTTCAAGATCATATAAGATAGTTATTCTCGCAGTTTCCTCGCCTCAAGTTGTCTTTGTTTATACCCTACTATTTTGAAGTAGTTCCAGATAGGACTACTCCTGCTTCTTCTTTTTGCTTCTGTTCCTCTGTTTGTAATTCAAATTGGTGGTAGTAGGTTCACTAGTTTTTCTCATATTTGCCCACTTTATGCTGCAGGTAATTTTTTCAAGGATGTTCAAGTAACTCTAGGTAGATTGTACTGTATGAGTAGGACAACTGTCATCTTCTCATCTTGCCTTTAAGTCTGTTAACTTGTTTTGCCTTGGAGAAGTAGTAGTCGCGATTGCGGTGGATGGTTCCTCCATTGTTGAGTGGCAGTGCTTTTGTTGTATTGATGCAGGGGACTTCTTCAAAGATCTCCAAGAAGAGTACCGGAACTGGGAATCGAGTGCACCATCAGATGGCAAGCCAAAGAGCTTATGGGAAGAATTGGCGGTATGACACTGCTGCTTGCACCATCTATTCTTTGCTACGTATTGTGATGAATCTTTGCCATATTTCTGTTAATTAACTTTTACGTACGATTAACTTCTACTTTTACTTCTGGCAGGAAGTTGGGGAAGAATTTGTAGAATTCTTAGAGAAAGAGCTTAACATAACAGACCCAGATTTGGAACGAAACGCAAATGATGGTTCACGAACTGATAACTCCTTCTCCAGTTCAAGGACTGAAGAAAGTGGAGATGATAGTAAAACGAAAGGGAAGGGTGGCACCATCGAAGATAGCATCGATGAAATTGAAGCTACCCTTGCTAAGTTGAAGAAGGACTTGGGTTTATAGCAAAGCATTGAAAACACCTATGTGAAGATGTGAACGAGTCTTGACTTTTAGAAATCGAGCAGCGAGCAGTTCTTTGTCACAGTGCCAAAGCCACTGGTTGCCATTTAACAACAGTTGCTCGTTGCTGATGTCTAGATGAACTTAGATTGAATGCTTATTACTGCAGAATGTGACGTTGTTTTAGAAGTGGTGATTTTTTATTTCCAAGGCCTCGAGAACAGGGCAAAGAATGAAAGAACCACCTAAAGTGAATCCGCACTTTCACACATTCATAACTTCTTGCTTCCCGAGAGTAGTTATGTGGCAATGCCACAGTACATTCTGGCAGCAAGTTCTGAAACAAAACAAGAACAGTTGAACTCAAGGAAGTGACCCAGTGAGACAGATTATTCAACTACATAGGAAATAAGTTGATCCAATTCCACGGAACACAAGGAAAAAAAATAAATCACAACTTCAAATCTCTCTTGCTAAACTATCTTAGGCCTACGCCTTGACAGAAAAATTTATGGCAGTTTCTCCTGCTGCTTCCAGTACAAACTTATCTCTGTTTCAGTATCTCTCACCAAATCGGAAGAACAATGCACCCGTGCCAGTGTTGTGATCCACAGCGTACTCTGCTCGAACCAATCCCAACTTCACACCAGCACCATATGATGAGCCATGCCCCATTCTTCTGTATACTTCTGTTGGGTTACCTTTCACATCCTTGGAGCTTCCAAGATCATTTCCATGTTCAGCAAAAACATATACATGCGTGTTTTTCACGGGTATCCTTAGCTCAGCTCCAAGCTGCAAACATTGAAAATGAAGATTTTTGAATATCAATCTTCTGCTTCTTTATATCTCTATATACGCCTACCTAGTCAGTCAACGTGAGTGTACCACACTGATCTATATCCAGGTAGTAACCAATCTCAACAGCCCTTTAGGTCTAAATGCGGAGAAAATAACATATTTGTAATGTAAGGCAGAATACAATTAGTCATAGTTCCAACTATAGATCTTCACCTCGAGGATGTTTCTGGCTGCTCCAAGCTCACCCATGTTGTAACCTCTCACAGAGTAAGGTCCACCAAGTGTAAAAGCGTCATAGCTTGGAAGGTCTCCAACACAGCCCCCATAATGGCCATTAAGGACTAGAATAGGAGGTGGCGGTTTGCCCGCACCTTCCTCCACTTGTTTTAGTGGAATGAATTGTGTAACTGTCAGCTGGTGACGGTTGAAGAACGGGAACTTGCTACCAATGCCAAGCCCTTGATCCACCTATATCACATAAGTGAACAAAATTATTGAAGTCAATTGACTTTTTTAAAGCAAGTATTCAGGAAATCGCTTTCATTGAATAAGCGTGCATAAAAATATTTATAGACTCTGAAAATGATGATAGGGAGGTTCTCCTTCCAAATGCAGAAGTGGTGATCAGTTGAATGTAAAACTCATTATGAGAGCACAGTAGCTGTTCACCTGAAAGACATTTCTTTCACCAACTACAGCTCCATTTATGAACTTTGTGTTGTCACGAGTGATATTGGCCTGTAAAAATGCCATCCGGTCGATGCCAGTACCACTGAGAGTTGTTGGCGGCCCATCTGCACTAATTCCACCACTTGGTAAAACTCTTTGGCCATTTGCAGATATGTGACTGCTCTCGTCACGTGTTGTTATCTCTTCCATCACCAGCCCATATGTGAATTTGCTCTGGCGGGTGAAGTTCTAATAGCATTGAAAAAAGAAAAAACACTTTTGAGTTGTAGAATCTGAGGGTAAGATAACAAGTTGGGTGAATCATAGACATCGAGATGAAATTACCTCTGTAACATTAACTTTCACCCCAGCTCGATCCACCCATATTGGAGGAACCTCGTCGACCCCTGGCCCACCAGTAAAGACTGGACTAAGTTTTCTGCTGTTGAAGCAGCTGGTTCGAAGGGTGCGGTTGCGAGCATTGTATACACCATCAAGATATGGATGGACATATTCAAGCTTGAAGGCAAGATCATCCTGACGAAGAAGAGTTCCCAATCATATTCAAAGTAGTTAAGCAACAATTCGATATGCATATCTAGTAATAATAATAATAATCATCATGATCAATATTTTGAGATAGTCAAAGCACAAAGCTAGTTTAGTTACCTGAGGCAAAAAGAAATTGCTTGTTGTGATTGAGCCCACAACTGACCGATTCAGCCCTTTGATATTCCTATGTTCAAAAGAAACAGTTCCACCAGGCTGGAGTGACGCCTGAAGGATGAATTGCAGTTAGTATAGTTGTAATGGAAGCTCACGCTGCAGATGTGCAATGGACTTAAAAGAGCAAGGAAGACATACCAATGTGGGCCGTCCACCACGCCCAGGAACAATGCTCCACTCTGTACTAACTTCAGCTGATTTTGGCTCCAACTCTTTAAGCTTAATTTCAACAATGATTCCTCCTTCATTCTTCTCATCGGGCCTTGGGTTCACTTCAATGTTGGAAAACAAGCCCAAAGCATTTATATTCTTCAGAGCTTGTTTTCCAGCTTCAATGTTGAACACTTGACCAGGCCGTAACTGAAACATTAACATCCACACTACAATTAAGCTTACCGGGACTATGAACAAAGTTACTAGTTCACGCCTAGAAGGAAAAGCAAAATCGCAAGCGACGTGACACTTAATCACAGTAGAATTTATTTTGAATTTGTTGGAGAGAGGCTCATTTAAGATCATTTCACTTGGCAGATGGAAGCACCTCACTAAAGCCAGAGTGACATCTACAGCTAACTTGGTGTTCCACAGCTTGCTACTTCGTGATTCCTAGCACGAAGCTTAAACCAGAGCCACGCCCCTAAGTTTGTTACATCGCACAGTTCACAACCATTCCCAAAATGACTTCAGAGATTATACATTAACCATCCCCGAGAGATGCATTCCATTGATCCCTCACCGGTATCACACACCTAGAGATGAATCAAATAAAACCAAACATCGCAAATGAAGCAATCAAGGGCTTCCCAGTCTTACCTGCTTAGGCAGCTCTCTCTTGACAACAGGCATTTGAGTATTCCCCTCAACAACGTTACCAAGTTTGTCCTGAAACTGAATAACCAGCTGCGTAATATCACCTTCGACCACCTCACAGACTACCTCCTTGGTGTTGAGATTCCCAAAATTAACGACCTGGGCACAGGCATAACCCTCATCGTGGTACCACTTCTGCACTGTATCCCTTATCTTCTGCAGCGACCTGGCGCTAACCTTGCCTTGGTCCCTCAACATTTGCATAACCTCCCTGTGAACTGGAGGTGCCAACAAACAGGGGCGCGCCCTGTCAATCCTCCTCTTGTAGTCCTTCTCCTGACTCCTGAAGTACTCAAGCTTCTCTTTCTCGGTCATGTCAGCATCCATCTCAATGGGCTTGGACTGTTGCATCAGCCCCACATTGATGCACCTGAACTTATCAGCCGACTGCCAGGTGCTCTCCGCGAAAGAGATGCTGATCCCTAGGCTCCCATCTGGGTTCGTTTTCCCGTCCAAATCGACCCTCTCGAACATTCCGCAAGTAGCTAGAGTCTCCAGCTCCTTCTGCAGCTGCGCTTTTGTGTAGACTCCGCCGGGCCGTAGGGAAACCATCTCGAAGAAAGAATCTTCCGTACCAACGGTGGCCCTTCTCCGGGTGTCGAAGAAAACAATGTCGGAGACTTTGTACTTCTTGAAGCCGCTGAGCTTGTTGAGTTGGACGGTAATGTTGGCCGGCAAGCCGTGGACATCCCAGTCTGGCGATTGGGGCTCGTCGGCAATAGCAGCCGATGGACAAAGCAATCTCTCCCAAAATCCCCCACCACCATCGCCGAATCCACCTCCGCCACCCCCACCGCCGCCGCCGCCACCGAACCAACCGCCATTACCTCCGAAATTGCCAGGGCCTCCGTCGGCGAATGAGAAGGGAACTGGAGCGAGACGGATGAGGAGAGTGGAGGCGGAAACGCCGGCTAGAACTAAGGGTTTGGAGATAGAACTGAGGAAAGAATTCCCCTTCTCCTTTGATTCAGAGGGTTTAGGGTTCTGCGGAGAGGAAGAAGAAGAAGAACCGAGGTCGCATTTGAAGGAGGCGGAACGGGGAGCAGCGGCGCGTGGGTTACGGCGGTGGGTGATGGAAGAGGGGGAGATCCGAGAGTTGACGAGGTAGTTGGCCGGTGCGGCGCCGGCGTAGGAGGACATGGTTTTAGAGAGGGATAAGGAGGCAGAAGAAACGAACGAGAAAGAAAGAGAGAGTGAATTCTACAGATGTAGGAGACGGCAGGTGAAGAGCTGAGTTGAGGTTAGTAGATAGAGACGGGCAAGAGCCGTGCGACTTTAGGTTGAACCGTGGTTGCGACTGCTATGGTTTAACCATGTCAACCGTCTGCGTTTCGCGTTTCTGATTTCCGAAACGGCGATACTCTTCGGAACGTGTCTCATGTCTGTCTTTCATTCTTGCTGTTGCTGGCCTGGGTGTCAAACAGTAAAAGAAAGTGGAGGTCAAACAGATGGGAAGCAGAGGCGAGAACGGTGCAGTCGGTTCCGCCATTGCATGGCACTATGGGAATGCTTCTGTCGTTTCTCTGCATCCGCCCGTCGCTACACCTCTTCCAAACCTTCAAAACCGGCTGGACTGCTCATCGCCAACTACGAACCAGAATGGGCTTACCGCCTTCACCTATCCCAGCCCTTCGACGGCGGCGGTGACAAGCACCAGCGTTCAGCTGTACTGGGCCTATTGGCTGGGTTTCATGGTCCTGGGTCTTTATCTGATCCTTACTTCATTAACAAAGCTGTCTCCTTCTGTGCCAAATCCACTTCTTTCCTAGAGGGTATTCAGTTGCATTCTCAAATTGTGAAGCTGGGTTTTACTTCAAACGTGTATGTGTGTAGCGCAGTTGTCGACATGTATTCCAAATGTGGCGACATCAGGAGTGCCCAGAAAATATTCGACGAAATGCCAGACAGAAACGTTGTCACGTGGAATTCACTTATTTCTGGCTATTTGGATGCTAATTTTCCGAAAGTAGCTGTTCAGTTGTTTGTTGAGATGCTCCGACATGCAGCTTCTGTTTCGCCATTTAGCCTTTCTAGTTGTCTGGTCAGTTGTTCACAGTTGGAGGACAGGGACCTCGGAGAGCAGCTTCATGCATTAAGTTTGAAAGCGGGGTTTGACAATCATGTTGTTGTGGGGACCGGTCTGATTGATATGTACTCAAAGTCTTGTAGCGTTGGCCTCTCAAAGTTGGTATTCGAGCGTATAGTGGATAAGAACGTGATTACTTGGACATCCATGGTCACTGCTTATTCACAGAATGAAGAGCCTTGTGAAGCAATGGTGGTAGTCAGAGAGATGTTGCAATTGGGTTTGAGATTAAATGGTGTGACGTTTAACAGTTTACTGAGTTCATTTTCTACTCCAGATCACTTAGAGTGCTGCAAGCAAGTTCATTGCTGTGTAATTCGCCAAGGTTTAGAGTCTAATGAGTATATTACAGTCACACTTGTGACTGTCTATTCGAAATGTAGTCGCAGCCTGGAAGAATTCGTTAAGGCATGCTCTGGTATTGCAATTTGGGACCAGGTATCTTGGAATGCAGTGATTGCTGGCTACTGCAATTTAGAATGTGAAAAGGAAGCTCTCAGATGTTTCTGTGAAATGAGGCAAGCTGGGACTGACGGTGACTTCTATACATTTACTAGTTTGATGGGAGTGATTGGGAGTAGTTCATTCCTTGAGGAGGGAAGAGAGGTTCATGCTCTCCTTTCCAAGACTAGGTATGCTTCAAGTTTGCATGTGCAGAATGGGCTTGTTTCCATGTATGCAAGATGTGGTGCAATTGACGAATCAAAAAGAATGTTCTGGTCGATGCCAAAACATGATGTCATTTCATGGAACTCGCTTCTAACAGCGTGTTCACATCACGGATATGGTAAGGAAGTTGTGGACTTATTCGAAGAAATGAAAAAAAGCAAGACAAAACCAGATGCTACCACTTTCCTTGCAGTGCTGTCTGCCTGTAGCCATGTTGGTTTAGTAGATCAGGGACTCGAGTACTTCGATTTGTTGAAAAGTGATGCTTTAGTTGGTCCCCCTAGATTAGAGCATTATGCTAGCGTTGTTGACATTTTTGGTCGAGCTGGATACATAAAAGAAGCAGAAACTTTTGTCAGCAACATGCCAATAAAACCTGGCTCCTCAGTCTACAAGGCTCTGCTTAGCGCTTGTTTAGTACATGGTAATATGGAAGCTGCAGAGCGTTCTGCCAGAAAGCTTGCAGATCTGTGGCCCGATGATAGTGCAACATACATCATGCTATCGAATATGTTGAAAAGAAGTGAGAATTGGGATGATGCAGCAGTTGTGCGCAAAAAGATCTGTGACAGAGGCATGAAGAAAATACCTGGTTGTAGTTGGAGTTAAGATTGAGATTGTTGATTGTGGACACTTGAACCTTATGGAGTCCCTTATGAAGTTTGGGTACTGTCACTTTCTGGAATGTTGGTTGAAATCACAATGGTTTACAAGAATTTGCTCTGAAGTATCACCCTGATGACAATTCCGACATATAGTTGAGTAGTGATTCCCGAACTTCAGTTCTTGGACACTTGGTCAATGGGTAATTAAGCTATCTGCAGGAGGGAGGGCTTTTAGAATATTTTCAAGCCTGCTCAATCATAAGTCTGTAGCTTTTGTAGAGGCCGTTCCAATGACAGAAATCTCAAAATCCGTGGTGGTCATAGTGGAGGAATACTGATTTGAGAATGATGTCCTACAATTACTCATTTCAGGCCTCTTCTCTCCGGCGGAACACTGCTTCAATTACTAGTACTCTTAAGGACTCAAATGGAAGTAACTTCAACATGACAACTGCAATGGATGGAGGGAAGCATGAGTGGTTTTAGCAACCAGGAATCCATTCATACCAAGTACATTGTTATCCTTCTTTCAACGTTTAGCTTATATACAACGAGAAGGATTAAACATGATGGTAATCACATGTGTTCTTGATTCTTAAAGTTGAGAGTTTGTGTCACCCGTAACTATAGGAGTGAATTTTCATAGCGAGGATGAATGGCTTAGCAGAACGATTCCTATTCTGATCAATAACCAAGGCAGATTGCAGATATTAATGGCGGAACTGTTTGTTGGCACCTCCAGTGCACAAGGAGGTTATGCAAATGTTGATCGACCAAGGCATGGTTAGTGCGAGGCTGTTGCTAAAGATGAGGATAAGGGATACAGTTCAAAAGTGGTACCAAGATGAGGGTTATGCCTGTATCCAGGTTGTTAATTTTGGGAATCTCATACACCAAGGAGGTTGTCTGTGAGGTGGTGGAAGGGGATATTAGCTAGTTATTCAGTTTCAGGACGAACTTGGTAATGTTGTTCAGGGGAAGACACATATCACTGTTGTCAAGAGAGAGTTTCCTAAGCAGGTAAGCCCGGGGAGCCCTAGATTGCTTCGTTTATGCTGTCTGCTCTTATTTGGTTCATCTCTTGTTGTGTGGTCAAGGTGAGGGACCAATGAAATCCAGCCACCTACTTGAAATGTCATCTTGTTTGGTCATTCTGGATAGTAGTCTATGTATCATCTCTTTAGTCATTCTGGGAATTGCCTTGAATTGTGAAGTAACAAAGTTAGGGATGTGGTTCTGGTTTAGCTAGGGCATTGCCATGAATCTTGAACTAGCAGACTGCTAAATACCTAGTTAGCTGTAGATGTCGTTCTGGTTTTATTGAGGTGATCCCATCTCCAACAAATTTCATATAATTTCTACTGTGATTAAGTGCCAGTCACTTTCGATTTTATTTTTCCTGCTAGGCATGATCTAGTAACTTCAATCATAATCCCAGTAAGGTTAATTGTTGTGTGGCTGTCAATGTTTCAGTTTGACCGGGTCAAGTGTTCAACATCGAAGCTGGAATACAAGCTCTGAATGATATAAGTGCTTTGGGTTTTCTGCAAACATTGAAATTAATCCAAGGCATTGTGAGAAGAATGAATGGTGAATCATTGTTGAAATAAATTTTAAAGAATTGGAGCCATAATCAGCTGAACCTAGTATGGAGTGGAGCATTGTTCTTGGGCGTGGTGGACTGCCCACATTGGTGCGTCTGCCTTACTCTTTTAATTTCATTACAAACCTGCAGCTTGAGCTTCCATTTTAACTTATACTAACTGAATTCATTCTTCAGGCTTCAATCCAGCCCGGTGGAACTTTTTATTTCGAACACAGGAATATCAAAGGGCTGAACCAGTCACTTGTGGGCTCAAGCACAACAAGCAATTTCTTTTTGTCTTAGGTAATGTTACTGGCTTTGTTTTTTGATATCACAAAATAACAAGGCAAAATTTTCACGTTTGTGCCAATAATAGCCACATTTGGCGAAATACCACTTATAGCCACTTTTTGAAAATGTTGTTGGACAAATATAGCCTTTTCCGTTAGAAACATTGACGGTGTTAGTAACACCGTCAAATTAGTAGACGGTTTGCTGATTAGGCGAGAAGAAATCGAACACGTCAGCGCCAACTAAGCAATTATGGACACGTCATATATTACATTATTAAAAAAAAATTGTACCATATATTCCCATTTGCGTCAAAGCGAATCCTTCAGCCCCCAACTTTGGCCCGATTTAAAAATTAGGGTTTGTCCCTAGTTTTCCTCTCCTCTCACGAATCCTCTTCCGATTTGGGAATTAGGGTTCTTCCCCAAACTTCCACTTTCCATTCTCCACGAATCCTCTACTCCCTTCTGATCGATTCCGATTTCGGAATTAGGGTTCTTCCCCCAAATCCCACACTCTGCCGACTCGCAACGACGCAACCCTCTCCTTCCACGATTTCTCCTGCCCAGCACTTCAAGCGAGCAGCTTCCTCATGTCCAGTCGCGACTGACGAGGGAGAAGTTTGTATGTGTTTCCTCATGGCCAAAGCTCGGCGTCTGTTAGTCAACCCATCCTCTGTATGTGTTTCTCGAGGAAGGAGGCGGTAGGTTCAACTCGATCGATGGAGGAAAATCGAGACTGGAGGAGGGGTGTATATTGATGGTGGAGGAAGGAATAGCGGTGGTCCGGGGTTCGTCGGAGGACGCTCCTCTCCTTCGTCGCCTTCGTGGTCGCCGCCTTCGTCGATGGGATTCAGAGGGGTTAGATGAAGAGGATAAGGAAAGAGGAAAGAGAGAACATAAAGGTGGGTGGGTAAAAATTAGTGGTTTCTGATTTTGTAATTTTTTTTAATTATTGTCCACATGGAAATTTGTGGCGGTCCACGTAAGCTGCGCCGTTTGCCCAGTCACACTTAACGTTAACAGCGTTAAAGAATTGGACGGACGTGGCTATAAGTGGTATTTCGCCAAATGTGACTATAATTGGCACAAACGTGAAAGTTTTGGCTATGGAACTGTATTTTGCCAAATAACAATGATGATGATTGTTATCTCAAGTGGGAAGTTAATTGGTTGAATATCTCTTATCTATGACGAACAAGGAATTGGTCTAGTGGTAATACCACTAGCCATGAACCTGGAGGTCCCAATTCGAGTCTCTTTAGTAGTATCTAATAACGAAAAAGTAATCTACATCATCTTATCTAAAAATGAGAATAACTCTTATCTATGAATTTATTTACTTTTTGTGGAACCCAATTATTTATATGTTTGTGGTTTCTGATTGTGTGGTTTTGTTTATATGATCTTAATAACTCTTATCTATGAATTTATTTACTTTTTGTCGAACCCAATTATTTATATGTTTGTGGTTTTGTTTATATGTTGTTGCTCTAGAGAAATTTGATGTACGTAGTTTATGTGAAGTGTCGATTTGATTACCGGTTTGATCTAGTTTTATATTTGATTAACTGATATTGTATGTTAGATTTATCATTAGAGCTAGGGATGGCAACTTTGCCCATACCCATGGGTTTCTTACTATCCAACCCAATTGGGTTGGGTATGAAATCCAAATAGATGGATATGAGTAGAGCTTGATGGGTTTGTACCCATACCCATTTACTTTGGGTTGAGTTGGGTTTATATCAAATGGATTTGGGTTTGTACCCATGCCCAAATACAAATTACAGTTTGGTACCCAAACTTAATAGACATGTATATTTAGTACCCAAATTTAATTTTTTTTGCATATAAGTCCTCAAAATATCGATGGAAAATTACGTTTTGGCACCTAAATTTTTTTGGTCTTACATTTTGGTACCTAAACTTTTCAAGTTTTGCAAATAGGTCCAATTTTTGCATGTGTAGTTAAAACACCCTCAAGTAAATGGATATCCATATCCAACCCATACCCATTTAGATTATGGAAGCCCCAAACCCAAACCCATCTATAAACCCCCAAATCCATATGCACTTCACCCATACCCAACCCATTATCAATGGGTCTACTTGGGTTTGGGTATAATTACCCATGGGTGGGTAATTTGCCATCCCTAATTAGAGCAAATGAAAAGAAGCTTGACTTGTGGCTCTATATAGGCGTAACAATAAAACTATAAGAATCCTTTTACAATTTTATTAAATTAAATATTTGTTCTAAACTTAATTTATGACCATTCCTTAACTTATTCCAAAACAAATGGAGTGAATGAATTGTTTTGGTGGAGTCAAAGGCAGAGGCATGTATGATAAAAAAAAAAAGGAAAAACAGTAAGGTTGGCCAAGTCAATATGGCTATATCAGGCAACCCAAAGTTTCAATGGCAAACAAAGCAAACTATCACGTTCTATCATCATCTTTTATTTCTTTCTACTATTTTCTAGCTAGCTCAACCATGTGGTCGGTCCTCTAGTTTCTCTCTTGTCCTTCCATGAGCCTCGGAGACAAATTGCTTAAGCATTGCTGCATTTCTCTTAAAATTTCTCACCTTGTTAGAGGGAGGGGAAGAGAGAGATTCTTGGCCGGATAGGACAATTAAGAGGGGCTGAAACCAATTTGCAAACACATTACTTTGACATGGCTCACCCGTTAAGAAGTGGATCCATGGCTCAACATGAGGCCATTGCTGCCAGACGTGGAAACTCTCCCAAAACTCCACCCAGCCCCAATATCGAGCAACTTGTACGAGGTACTTACATGTTCTTATATGTCCAAATAATTCTTTTGAAATGTATCCTTGATGAATATGACTTTTTTTTAATGATTTCCCGATTCTGATGTATTTGTATGTTTTTACACTTACTAACAGGAGGAGAAGCGATGAGATGGTCGGCACATACATCACCGTTGGTAAAGGAGCAGCCTGAATTGGAAATAGAACACACACCACAGCAGAAGAAGTCGGTTCTTGCCAAGGTGAAGGAGAAGGCCAAGAAATGGGGCCGCTCTCTGAGCAAGAAGAAGCACAATGGGGATGCGAACAACAATAACAACAACAACGCTACTCCTTCTTGGGGTGTCAGCTTGGATGACGAAGATGAGGACGATCCTGAAAATCTTGGAGCCCCGAGTAACATTCCAATCTCCCAACTTAACTATCTAGTTTCCTTCTTCAATATGCATACATATATATGTTAAGTTCCTGACACTAATTGGGTTTTCCAATTCCAATTTATGTATTCGTTCAGTGTACGAGTCAGAGATGGCACCCGATGGATACAGCAAGGTTACGGCAGCCAGGCAGCATCAACCTCCTCCGGCTAGATCATCTGCTCCTTTAGTATTGGAGAAGCATGTTTCCGTAAATGCCAACAGCAGCAGCAATATTGACAATCATCGTAACAAGTCCCCGACGAGTAAAATGCTCATCCGAGAAAGCGTGGCTGCAGGAAAGCAGCCACAGGTATCTCCCAGTCCCAGGACACTAGCAGAGACTCTCCAGGAGAAGGCTGCTCCACCACCTCCTGATACTGCCAGTCAAGTCATTGCTTCCAAGGACCAAAACCTCAGCATTTCAACCTCATCACAACCACAACAATCTTCAAGTGGAACCAAAACTGAAGCAGCTTCAGCATCGTCTTCTTCAGATGCAACAAGGACATCTAAATCAGCAGCTCCATCCTCTGCGCCGGCAGCAGTTGCTGCATCAGTCACGTGGAAACACCCACCAGCGTCAGTACCGACGACTATGGCATCGAAACAGGCTGCACCACCAGGGCCATTGAAAATAGAAAAGGAAGCACCAGCACCCGTGGCTACAAAGACAGCAGATGCGGATGAAAAAGAAACTTACTTAGAGCCCAAGGCTCACTCTGCTCCAGCCCCAGGGAAGGGCATTGCTCTGGACACAGGTAGAACTAACAACGACCAAATATGGGATAAAGGAGTTTCGGTGAAGGAGTATTTAATGAACAAACTCGAGCCAGGAGAAGACGCCAAGGCTCTGTCTCAAGTGATATCACAGGCCATGAGCCCAAGAAAAGCTCCCGGAGATGCAGGGGTGGTGGAGAAAGTCAAAGAGGTTGTATCTTCTCTTTGGCAACAAGAAGATTCTTCTTCTTCAAAATCTGCTTCTTCCCAGTTCACTTCACAGTCTGCCGCGTCTTCTCGTCCCACTCGTCATAACCCGCCCTCATCACCACACATTCCCATCTCAACCAACTCCACTGAAGGTAGTGCTTCTTTTCCGTGCAGTAAGCTAGCTAATCCATACCAGACAGACAAGGAGTCCTTGAACTTCAAAGCTTTCATTTCATTCAGACGTTTTCCCCTTTTATTAATGGGCAGCTGTTTGCTTGCTGTACGCAGTTGAGGAAGAAACTCAGGGAAGAATACTCCAAGCCAACTGAAACAAGCAGATGACATCCTCATGCGCCAAAAATAAAAAGAGGGATTATTTAGTAACCGTGCAGCTGAATGTACCAGATCCTGTGTGTAGTGATCAACACAGACAAAGTTTACCATGACGTTTGTTTAGGTCTTGTATTTTATCAAGCAACATACTTACTTGCTCGTAATCAAATCAACTAAATAATGGATCTGTCGATAAAGAAAAGCCTGTTGAATGGATAACATGTAACAGAGGTTAGTTGTCAACCTTGGGAAGTTAGATTAAAGTAAACTATAATCACTATTAGTTTCTAATCTTCCCTGAGTAGATCTCGCAATATCATTTTTGAGGAGGAATTTCGCTTCATAAGTCTAGGCCCTTGTTTAGTTGTTTCTTTCTCTTGAATTTCTTTACCACCTATTGATCGATGTCTGTCTAGTATAGCCAAAGAAGGTATAATCTAACCAAAACATGAGGAGTGCATCTTTTACATGATTCAGCTTTAGGGTACTAATGGCTGGTGGTTGCTTCTGAGGTTTAGTGACCTTTCTTTAATGTACCATCCTCAAACCATGGTTTTGTAATAATAACCATTTTGTTAATCAAACGTTTACGAGTATATATTATATGATATACAAAAACCTACTTGCATAAAAGTGACGCACATCATTCTTAAAAAAGCTCTCTTGATGATTTTCTTGACGTTGCCACCTCGCTGTTTTCCTCAATCGTTGCCCGGTCCTTTTGATCCTTTGTCAACTGTCGACTCCTTCCTCCTCTTCCCAATTTTGTGTTTCGAGTAGAAGAAAAGATAAATCATAGAGGCGGCTTGGGGGGGTGGGGGGGATGTTAGGCAATTGATGCTGGAGCAAGTGCACAACCTGCAAAGGTTCTAACAAAATCATGATTGCGACATGAAGGGTTCATAAAGTTGACTGTTGCAGAGATGGAGAGGAAGCTCTGGGACAACAGGTGCTGCAATTGTAACGAGAGGTATGTCGTCGGGTATTGTTGTGCCAATGCCAACCTTATGGTGTTGGTAGGAACTTTCGAGGATGATGTTTGTTGAGGAGATGAAAGCAAAAGTAGGGGAAAGCAAATGGAGATGCAACTAGTCAACATTGATGGAAAGGTTGCTCTGAAACGATGGTGAATTAATAGAAATTTACCCCTTTAGATTATTTATCGTTTAAAGATTAAGCATATGTTTGGCACGGTTTTTAGAAGTACTTTTCGGTTTGAAAAAATGAAGTAAGACCAAACATCTCAAAAAGCTTGGCTTTCGAAAAGCTGAAAAGTTTTTTTGTATAACATAAAAGCAGAAGTTTTGATTTGGAGTTTCTGCAAAAAAACTATTTTGACAAATACAAGATTATCCTTGCCATATTTTAATTTTACTTTAGAAAATACAATTTTCTTTCATTAATATCATTTTAAAAATAAAATAAAAAATAAAATATAATTATATAATATAAAAGAAATCTAACAATGGATGAAAAGTTATAAACTTTAAACGCTCTCTTCTCTCTCTTCTCTCTTCGGGGGAAAGGGTTCTGGTTAGGGTTCTTCACGCCGCCATGGAGGCCTCTCCATCGGCCACAGCTCCGATTGGAGAGGCGGTGACCTGGACTTCTCTGTCTGATGTCGCGCCTGCTAATAGGATGCGATTTCGCCCTCCTTGAAAAGATCAATGATGACTATCGTCTACCTCGCGAAGTGAAAAAGAGGGGCGAAGAAAGGTGGAAGGACTGTTTGATCAGGCAGTTTGTGGGAGCTCTTCCTAAGTTGGGGCTTCTCCAACAATGGGTGAATGGACTCTGGGGTAGGGATGGTCCAGTGACGGTCTCTCGGTTTGGACAGCGTTTGCTTTCTTCCAGTTCCCTTCAGGAAACCAGATCTTCTTTAGGAAATGAGCTCCAGGTATCCAGCCGGTTGCACCAGTGATTGAGGAGCTGTCGATATGGGTCAGAATTTGGGGGATTCCGTTGGAATACCATACTTTCGAGGGGCTTGAGTGGGTTGCAAGCACTATCGGTCCCCCGGTCTGGATGGATCAAACTACACGAAAAGGCCATCAGTTGGAGTTTGCTAAGGTGTGTGTTAACCTTGCTGCTGACTGTGGTTTCTAAGATTCGGTTATATCCAGATGATGATCCGGTTTTCGGTTTTTGATATTGAGATAGAATATCTGAATAAGCCTCTGGTATGTTCCAAGTGTGAGATACATGGTCATGATTGTAATAGAAGTGAGGGGGGGGGGGGTAAGATGTGGGTTCCTAAAGTTCAAGCTCTTGGTGTTAAAGAAGATCTGGCTGCAACTATTCATCGTGTTGTGGCGGTTTCGAGTAAGGGAAAAGAGAAAGTTAGTGTTGAACAGGAGGTTGAAAATATGAACTCTATGGTTTCAGTTGAGCAGGGGCAAGCTTCTAGTACTGTGGTAAATGCATGGGTTGATATTGGGGATCAGGTTGCCAAGTTTGTTGATGTGGTGAAGGGTTCAATTGCTGAGAATCCCACTGCCTCTCAGCAATTGGATTTGGAGAATTGTTCACCAATGCCAGGGGGACAACCTCCTTCACCTGATCCTCCTGATCAGAGAACTCGTGGATCACTATGAGTCATGCTAGAAGGAAGAAATCCCCTGCTGCTCCTTTTCCTAAGATAGGGGGTAGGGGAGGAAAGCGTAAATGAAGGTTCTATCATGGAATACCCGGGGCTTTAAGGATCCGGATAAGAATAATGCTATGCAGCTTTTAGTAAATAAATACAGTATAGATATTATAGCGTTATTAGAACCAAGAGTGAAGGTTGACAAAGCAGAAGAACTTGTGAACAAGCGTTTCCCGGGCTGGGAGAAGAAAGTTGTTAGTAATGCTAATGGATTAAGTAAGATTGGGTTAGTTTAGAGGTCTAATGTGAAGTTGTGAATCCTTCATAGTACTGATAAGCTCATACATGCCTTGGTTTGTTCTGGTAATCCTTTCTTTGTTATGGTGGTCTATGCCTCTAATGAAGAAGCAAAGAGAAGAGTTCTTTATAGTAATGTGGGGGCTATTCAAATTCAATATGAGCCATGGGTTATACTGGGAGATTTCAATGCAATTGGGGGTGTGAGTGAAGCCTCTAACTCTCCAAGTGTTAGTTCTAGTATGGTTGAATTTAGGAAATGGCAGTTTGATGCTGAGATTGTTGAGCATAAGTCTTCTGGGCCATGGTTTACTTGGGTCAATAAGCAATCTGGAAATCCAATTGCGAGGCAACTTGATAGAGCTTTTATTAACTACAAAAGGCTGGATTCCTTTGGATCTAGCATAGTGGATATCTTGGAACCTGCAGTTTCTGATCATTGTCCAGTGTTTGTAAACACTGATAACTCTATAAAGTATCTTCCTAAACCATTTAAGTTTTTCAAACTTTGGATGAAGAATGAGAGGTACTGAGACCTTGTGAAGGAGGCCTGGAGTTCTGAGGTCGTAGGATCACCTATGGGGCGAGTAAACAGGAAGCTCAGAATATTAAAAGGGTTACTTAAGCAGTTGAACAAAAGAGAATATTCTGATCTTCATGAAAGAGTAAAACTAAAGGAGCAGGAGTGGATTGGAGCTCAAGCTGGTGCATTGCAGAGTCCCTCAACTGAAACTTTCCAAAAAGAAGCTCGGCTATCTGCAGAAGTTAAAACTTTACGAGAAGCTGAGGAATCCTTTTTAATGCAGAAATCTCGAGAAGTTTGGTTGAAGGTTGGAGACTCGAACTCAGGGTATTTTCACCGTTCAGTAAAGATCAGAAATAAAAGGAACATGATCAGGTCTCTGATATATGATGAAGGAGTTCGGCTTACAGATACTGCAGGAATGAGTAGTAATGTTGCTGAAGTTTTCTACAAAAGGTTGCTGGGGCAGAAGGATTCAGATGTTGAGCTTGTAGTGTTGAGGAGATGCAGTACCTCCTGAGGTTTAAAGTTGATGAAGCGCCACATGATAATTTAGTTCGTCATATCTCAAAGGATGAAGTTAAGAATACCCTTTTTGGTTTTAAAGGTGATAAAAGCCCGGGTCGAGATGGTTTTCCAGCTTGTTTCTTCCAATCTGCTTGGCATATTGTTGGTCCTGATATCATATTGGTTGTGCAACACTGTCTTTTAATTTGCTCGCTCCCACCAAGTACTAATTCTACACTTCTAGCTTTGATACCTAAGGTTCAGAATCCTGAGAAGATGAAGTTGTTTAGACCAATTTCTTGTTGTAACACACTTTATAAGTGTGTTGCAAAAATATTAGCTAATCGGCTTAGTACAGTTTTTCCTTCCCTCATTAGTCACAATCAAACTGCATTCATTAAAGGGCGGGTGATTGGTGAAAACATTCTCTTAGCTCATGAGCTGGTCTAGAAGTATCATAGGAATGATATCTCCCAAAGAATTATTGTTAAAGTTGACATTATGAAGGCTTTTGATTCGGTGGATTGAGATTTTTTAATTACAGTTTTAAAGGCTATGAATTTCCCTGATCTCTTTGTGAGGTGGATTGTAATGTGTGTGACTACTCCCAAGTTAAGTGTAGGGTTTAATGGTAGTATAGTGGAATATTTCTCTGCTTGTAAAGGTTTAAGGCAAGGGGATCCTTTATCCCCTTACCTGTTTGCCATCTCTATGGAAATTCTGTCTTGTTTACTGGGAAAAGCAGTTAGGTTGGGTTTGACCCAATGTGCAGGAGGTTGGGTTTGACCCATTTAATGTTTGCTTCTCTGATGGCTCTAATCATGGAATCCAATGTATTCAGAGGGTGTTGGGGAGTTTAGAAGAATTTCTGGCCTAAAATCTAACCCTAAGAAATGTGAATTATTCTGTGGGGGAATTCCTATTGAATGAAAAAATCAGATGGCTCAGAGAGCAGGTTATAAGTTGAGTTCTCTTCCAATAAGATATTTGGGATTGCCTCTTATTCCTGGCAAGCTATCTATAAAAGCATGCAAACCTCTATTAGATAAAATAACGGGTAGAATTCATAGTTGGAAAACAAAGTTCCTTAGCTATGCAGGGCGGTTACAGCTTGTGATATCTGTGCTTGCTAGTTTGACTCAGTTTTGGATGGCAGTTTTTATTCTGCCAAAAAGGGTTATTAAAGAGATTGAAAAATTGTGTAGTGATTTCTTATGGTGAGTCAGTGCTGATGGGAAGAAGAAGGCTACTGCAGCTTGGCGTTACTTAGCCCTTCCTAAGAATGAAGGTGGATTGGGAATAAGGGACCTAGTGAGTTGGAATTTTGCGTGTGTGATCAGACATGTGTGGTTTATTCTTTTCCAACAGGGATCTCTGTGGGTGGCGTGGCTGAGGGAATATAGGCTGAAGAACCATGATTTTTGGATTTTTCAATCAAAAACTGGTTCTTGGATTTGGTTAAAGCTGTTGAAGAGCAGAGATAAAATTTGTCTGCAGATGTTTATGACGAATGGGGATGTTCTGTGGAATGGGAAAATTATGAAGAAGTATTGTATTAAGCTGGTATGGGAATCTTTAAGGCCAAAGGAGCCCCTGCTCCCTGGTGTTCTCTTGTCTGGAAAGATTTATCTCCCCAAAGGGACAAATTTCTTGTCTGGTTGGTTGTAAAGAACTTTATCACTACTTGTGATAAGGTGGCAAGCTGGGGAGGAAGTGGTCTTTTCTCATGTTTGTTCTGCCCTTGCTCTTTGGAGACTAGAGATCATCTCTTTGGTGGATGTGTGGTGTATAAAGAACTGTATGCAGGTTTGCTTGCTAAAGCTTTCCCGAGAACTCCTTCAGATGACTGGAACATAGAGTTGCAGTGGGCCTCGAACGATCTAAAAGGGAAGCAGTTGAGAAATCAAGCTGCTAAGGCGATTTGGCGGGCAATGATCAGTACCATTTGGCGAGAAAGGTATTCCCTGAAGATGGAGGATCCAAGAAGAGCTTCCAGGAGATGATAGATCGAATTAAACAGGATGTTACAGTGTTGTTTCCTGCTGAAGTTGTTGAAAGTTTTTGGGCGGGTTAACCTTCTCTCTTGGTTCATTCTTATAGGTTTTCGTTTGTAATGTCATAGGAAGATTAGTTGGAGTGTTGAAACAGTTTTACAGTGACTTAGTTGGCAGGGTTGTTGCCAAAAGTTTTGGGTTCCTTTTTTGATGATATAAAATCTTACTAATTCATAAAAAAATCTAACAAGATCCATATGGACTATTTTTTATTGTTTAAATTTTTTTTTATTTGTATTTTATATTATAAATTCTATATAGTCATTTTATATAACATCTTATATAAAAAAGCACTTATAATAGTTTTTAGTTAAATACTCTAACTTGAAAAGTACTTCTCCAAAAGCTCCGGCGAGAAGCTGATTCTGCAAAAATTACAACATGCTAAACTAGCCCTAAAACTATTTTCTTGTGTATTGGTGATATTTTGAAATAATTTGTGGATATTGGGGATTTTATGGGGTTTTAGAATCATTGATAGCTTTAGTAATTCTACAAAATAAGAGTACAATTCTACTCCTATCCATCTACAATTTGTCGTTTATTTCTATTCGTTGTGCGCCTAAATGGATCTCCTATCAAACGCAAACACCAAAATAGGTTTGTACAAGGTTGGTCTGATTGTGAAATCTGTCCGCGGGAAGTAATTATTTTGGTAGCTGTTTCTTTCATTAAACACGTCGAAATCACATACCAAAAATATCTCAACTCAACGCCTAAAACAAGGGCTTTGTTGAACAGCCAGCCATCGCTTCCAAGGTCAAATGTCTCCTGGTCCTGGATGCCGTCAGCCATGACCATCAAATCAAGATTAGTTAAGATATCAGAAATAATTAACACAAAGTCCACCTGTTTACTGTGTCTGGAAGGAAGCAAGCAGGTAGCCAACTGCCCGACTTGTCAGCCATCATGACAAACAAAGAATCCTCCCTGAAAATCAGCCAGCTTGATTGGAAGACAGACACCACACCAGTGGTTATCAATAATTTTTTAGGGCAAAAAGTCGTTTCTCCATCCATCTATGGACACTTCCACCATTTATCATGTTCAGACACAACCGCCGTTAGTATCTGGTTGGTTACACACAAGGGTTCCGGCTTCCCTGCCATTTTGGCTGTTCCGGCGAGCCTGAGGTACTGTGCTGGTCAGGTCTCTTGTCAAGTCCTGCTATTATTTCTGACCCCAAAGATGTAGACATGATCTGCCGTACAGCCCAGCAGCAACTTGCCTCCATGCCGAGAGCCAACCGCTGCCTCATTTGAATATTCATTATCTAGATAAACAGTCACACAGCCATCAGTTTGACCGAGTCTCTGGTCAACCAAATTACTTGAATGATTGAAGCTCACCAGATCGAGAGGCAAGTGGTAGAACCGTAGAAGTCTCTTCTGCTAATTTGCTGCCATAGGCTATCAGAATCAGAGCACAATCCTGATTTTCTTCGATGGCAACACTGTTGCTTAATCCACTCCAAGTTTTGTTACTTGCTCTACTAGCATCTCATTCCCTTAGGGTTTCAGCTCAGCAGGGAAACGCAGACCAGTTCATCTACAATGGCTTCAGTGGATCAAATCTCACCATCAGTGGGATGGCAACCACCCACCCCAATGGCATCTTGGAGCTAACAAACACCTCGAAGCAACAGATCGGCCACGCTTTCTTCCCGTTTCCAATCCACTTCAACGCTTCTCCATCCAGCAATTCAAGTTCGAGCAGCCCCAATGGAGTGCTCTCGTTCTCAACGACCTTCGTGTTTGCCATGGTCCCTGAGACACCAACGCTTGGAGGTCACGGCATAGCCTTTGTCGTCTCGCCTTCTTCCGAGTTCCAGAATTCCATTGCAACTCAGTACCTCGGACTCTTCAACTCCACCACCATCGGGCTGTCTTCGAATCATCTGATGGCCATCGAGCTCGACACTGTTATGAACCCTGAGTTTGACGACATCAACAATAACCATGTCGGGATAGACATCAACAACTTGACATCCATTCAATCTGCAGCGGCTGCATATTTCAATACTGAAGGTGAAGCAAATGAGTTGGAGCTCATGAGTGGAAAACCTATGCAGGTTTGGGTAGAGTACCGTGCACGAGAGAGGCAGTTAAATGTGACACTTGCTCCTGTAAGAACCAGAAGAAAACCAGAGAAACCACTCCTATCATCCACGATAGATCTTTCTTCTATTCTATTTGATCAAATGTACATTGGTTTCTCAGCATCCACAGGCTCGGTTGCCAGCCATCATTACATTCTCGGGTGGAGCTTCAACTTATCCGGCCCTGCTCAGGATCTTGACATCTCTAGCCTCCCATCACTGCCAGATGATAGAGACTCAGGAAGAGGAGGACCCAACTTAAAGATTGTACTTCCAACCATAGTAGGGATTCTCTTGATCCCAACAGTTGCTCTGACCATCTACTTCACGAGGAAGAGATATGAAGAACTGCGGGAAGATTGGGAAGAGCAATATGGTCCTCAGAGATTCACCTACAGAGAACTCCACAAAGCAACCAAAGGGTTCAAAGACAGCCAGGTTTTGGGATCAGGAGGTTTTGGGAAGGTTTACAGAGGAACCCTACCTGCTTCCAATGTCGAAGTCGCGGTGAAGAAAATCTCGCACAATTCCAGTCAAGGTATGAAGGAATTCATAGCGGAAATCGCCAGCATGGGAAGGCTGCGCCACCGGAACTTGGTGCAGCTGCTGGGCTACTGCCGACGAAAGGGCGAGCTGTTCTTGGTCTATGATTACATGCCTAATGGAAGCCTAGACCAAACACTGTTCAGTAGCAGCAAAGACACAGACGGAGCAACGAATAGCAATCTGAATTGGGGACAGCGTTACCAGATCGTGAAAGGAGTCGCCGCCGCGCTGGTTTACCTCCACGAGGAATGGGGACAAGTGGTAATCCACCGAGATGTGAAGGCCAGCAACGTCCTGCTGGACGCCGATCTCAACGGCCGGTTGGGGGATTTCGGGCTGGCCCGGTTCTACGACCACGGATCGGACCCGCAAACGACCAATGTGGTGGGGACGATCGGGTATTTGGCGCCGGAGCTGAGCAGGACGGGGAGGGCGACGACGAGCAGCGACGTTTTCGCGTTTGGGGTTTTCATGCTGGAGGTCGCGTGTGGAAGGAGGCCCGTGGTGGAGGCGCGTGAGAGGGCGGAGGAGGCGGTTTTGGTGGATTGGGCGGTGGAGTGCTGGCGAAGAGGCGAGATCTTGAAAACCTGCGATCCTAGGCTGCAGGGGAATTATGTGATGGAGGAGATGGAGATGGTGTTGAAGCTGGGGCTGATCTGTGCTCACCGGTCGCCGGCGGCGAGGCCGACGATGAGGAAAGTGATGCAGTTTCTGGATAAGAACGTGGCGTTGCCGGAGATTTCTCCGCAATCAGCCGGGGTTGGGGATCACCGTCGCCGGGGTGGATCGGGAGATTGGGTTGTGCAGTTTCATGTATCCACTGATGAAATTTCAGGTTCTTATTCCTTCTCTGATGCGGATTCGATCCTCAGCACTGGTCGGTGACAATGATTCTGACTCGTAGCTGAAGCAGCAAGCAATTTCCCGATCAGGAAAGGAAAACGATAAAGTAACCACTGGAAAATGATTCTTGAATTTTATTTATTTTTATCCCCCGGTCCCGTTTGTTTCGTTTCACTTCTTTTTTGTCATAATTATCCTTGCAGTTGCGGATAAAATGGTTAAAAGACTTAAGAGCAAAGAATATCACAAGAGGATCGGCATTTTTGCCCTCACAGACAATCTAACAAATTAAATTAGAGACAAAAAATGAAAAAATCATAAAGAACAATACTAAGACCAGGAAAGGGTAGGGTCTAATATGCCACATATATACTGGCCAGCTCGATTCGCCTATCGAGATGGATTTGTAGACAAATTGTACGAATGAGATCGAGCAACGAGTGTGCCTCGCTTAGCAACGCTACTGCATGAGCATCATGAATAGATCTCGATTCCAATATAATTGTCGCAAAACAACTTGAGTGTCGTGTCGCCACTAATAGTAAGTTAGTAACTGCGCGCACGAGCCTATCAATGCCACCGGCAAATGACAAGGAGGGCCTCGATCTTGAGCAGCAAGTTTGACGTACTACTGCAGGATCCACAATGCCAGGGAAGGAATGAACAAAGAAAAAAACCAACGCATCCCCAACAAAACCTACTGCCCCATGCATGCGTTGGGTTATTTGTGGCTCCATCGACAGCAATTAATGCAGAAGCCACGGACCCATGATGATGACCATTGTCGGCATAGCTGAAGTGGTAGAGGTTGTGTGGCTAGCTAGCAACATGACGAGCAGCCTTATGCGAAAGAAATTGACTATGGAGAATAGGAAAGGTGAATTGATCATGAGGGAGGAAGACGGCATTAGTGTGCTTCCTTTCCAAAGACGCCAGGTAGGGCTGGAGGTTCGGTTATCGGTTGCCGGTTAACCGGCCGGTTAAACTAATAACCGGCGGTTACCGGTTAACCGATAACCGAAAATTATATGCTTCGGTCGGTGTTCGGAGCTCCTAATAGGTACTTCGGTTAACCGAATAACCGAAAATCGGTTATCCGGTTAATCGACAATAACCAAAAATAACCAAAAATACCCGGTTATGAAGTTTATAACTTTATGTTGTTGAACTTGAGACATTAATTTGGTGATTTAGATGTATTTTCTATGCAAAAGTGATTGAAACTTTACTTTGGGTGTGATTTAGATGTAGAAATGTAAGTTAGAACCTTTCATGTTAGGCGGTTCTAATAATTTTACCCGGTTAAAAACGAACCACCATCATTTTTTCGGTTATCTCGGTTAACCGACCAACTAACCGATAACTGACCGGTCGGTTATTGGTTAACCGAGGCATTGGCATCGGTCGGTGTTCGGTAGGGGGAGATGGTGGTTCGGTTAACCGGTAACCGACCAATCGGTTATAACCGAACCGAATCCACCCCTAACGCCAGGACATGATGACCCATCGGATCGGATGACAGTGTTTGAATCGGTGAGAAGAAGCAAAAACCACCACAACAATGAGAAGTGAAAAGTGGTCCAAATAATTGTGTGAGAGACGCGGAGTAGGAGGCCGAGTCGGCCTACGAGGGGTATTCTTGTCATTTGGGAATTAGTGGGGAGAGAACTATTTAAGCTACATTCTTTTTGTTATTTCGATTAATCAAGCATAATATCAGAATTATCAAACCCTAATTCCTGTTCTCTTCTTCAATTCCCATCTCAATTCCCAATTCTCAACCCTAATTCTTCTATTCTCATCCCCAATTTCTGTTCGATTATCTGTGTTTCTCACAATTGGTATCAGAGCCTCGTCGATATGAGTTCCACAGGACTCTCGGATAGGGACCAAGGGGTGTCGATCGTTGACCGCCTGCTGGAGGTCATCGGCCGGCTGGACCGAGTGGCCGCCGACCTGCGGCGAGGAAGCGACGGAACGGAGGGCCTGGCCGCGAGCTCCGCTGCCCTAGCAGCGACGGCAACAGGAACGCGGCGGGAGGAGCAGACCGCGACGGAGAGGGAGGCGCGCGGCGCGACACCCGCAACGGTGCGGTTGGTGGAGCAGACCGCGGGGGAGGGAGAGGCGCTCGGCACGGCGGTCGGGGACGGCTGGCGGAGTCCGGCCAGCGATGCGGTGGCGCGGGCGTGCTCGGCATCTTTGGCGTCGCCGCAACCCGACATGAGGAGGAAGCAGGCGACGACGGGCAGGTGACCATCTTCGCCGTGGCCGCTGGCGTGGCAGCAGGGTCAGCAACGATGCGCTTCAAGGCGCAGATCGCAGGAGATTGGGGTGTGGCCCTCGTTGACAGTGGGGCCTCCCTCAACTTCGTGGGAGAAGAGTTTGTACGTCGACTGCCCACATCCCAGGTGACCATCATTCCCTTCGAGGCGAAGGTCGCCAATGGCGCGCCGGGAAGTTGGCCGGGGTGTCTGTGAAGATTCGGGGGTTACAGGTCCCTCTCGACTTGTACATACTGCCGCTACAGGGATTTGACATGATCTTGGGCATGCCATGGCTGAAGAGCTTGGGTCCGGTGACTAGTGACTGGGTGAAGATGACTATGCAGTTCAAGTGGAGGGACAAGGATTGGGAGCTGCAGGGCATGACCACGGCAACAGGGCCGGTTGAGTGGGGCGACCCACAGTTGGAGGTAGACGTCGAGCTCGCTGTGCTCTGCTGGCCACTAGGATCCCACTGGCAGCAGGCCTTAGCCCCAGACTTGCAGGCACTGCTCGATCGTTATGCAGAGTTATTTGGGAATCCGAACCATCTTCCCCCAAGGCGCCAGGTGGATCATCGGATTCGATTGAAGGAGGGCACGGACGCGGTTAATGTCTGACCCTACAGATATGCGCACAACCAGAAGGCGGAGATAGAGAGACAGGTGGAGGAGATGATGACTGCAGGACTGATTCGGGCGAGCTCTAGCCCGTTCTCTTCGCGGTGCTGGTGAAGAAGAAGGATGGTACCTGGAGATTCTGCATAGATTATCGGGCCCTAAACAACGCTAGTGTGCGTGATTGTTTCCCCATTCCCACAGTGGACGACATGCTAGATGAGTTGCGGGGAGCCCAGTACTTCACCAAGCTTGATCTAAGGGCTGGGTACCATCAGATACGCATGCATGAGGACGACATTCCTAAGACGACCTTTCGGACACACAGTGGACACTACGAGTACCTCGTGATGCCCTTCGGACTCTGTAATGCCCCATCGACTTTCCAGGCTGCCATGAACGACATTTTTCGGCCGTTGCTTCGCAGGTCAGTCCTGGTGTTTTTTGATGATATTCTGGTTTTCAGTAAGTCGTGGGAAAAGCATATGCAGCATCTGCAGGAAGTGTTTGAGATACTACAGAGGAACCAGATTTATGTGAAGGCATCTAAGTGTGCCTTCGGGTTCCAGTCTATGATGGACTATCTGGGGCATGTGATATCAGGCGAGGGAGTCAGGGTGGATCCGATGAAGATTCAGTCTATGATGGACTGGACGGTGTCGAAGTCGGCAACGAAATTGCGGGGTTTCCTCGGCCTCACGAGCTATTATCGGAGGTTCGTGCAGGGATACAGTTCGATAGCGGGGCCATTAAATGCTGTGTTGAAGAAAGGAGGATTTTGTTGGAACCCCGACGCGGAGAGGGCTTTCGGCGAGCTCAAGGCCGCTCTAGCTATGACTCCGGTCTTGGCTCTGCCGGATTTCTCTCAGCCATTTGAATCGAGATTGACGCGTCGGGCAGGGGGATCGGTGCGGTTCTATCCCTGGAAAGGCACCCCATCTCCTTTATGAGTCGTACCCTTCCTCCATCCAAGGAGGCTTGGTCCACATATCAGAAGGAGATGCATGCTATCACCGAAGCGGTTAAGATGTGGCGACCTTACTTGATTGGTCAGAAGATCAGCATCTACACCGATCACCAGAGTGTGAAGCATATGATGGATTAGAGGGTTTCCACTCCAGATCAGCACAAGTGGGTGGTGAAACTGATGGGGTATGACTACGAGCTACACTATAGACCCGGACCGACGAACAAGGCCGCAGATGCCTTGTCGAGAGTGGAGTGGAAACCGCAGGTGCCGGCAGTGACCGGACCAGTGGTTCTATTCTGGGAGGAGGTCTGGAGGGCAGTGGAGACGAGCCCGGACCTACAGGAGCGCCGCGATATCGCTCTCAGCCCGACACCCGACAGCTATACGTTCCGACACGGGCTGGTATTCCACCGCGGCCGAGTAGTTCTACCGCCATCCACCTCCCTGACGACGACAATGATGAGGGAATTTCATGATTCCCCGGTGGGTGGCCGTTTCGGGTATGAGCGGACTTTGAGGAAGATCCGTAGCCATTTCTATTGGCCACAGATGACCCGTGAGATCAAGGACTACGTCGCGTCCTGTGACACGTGGCAGCGGGTCAAGGCCTCCCAGTTGCGACTGGCAGGATTGCTGCAGCCGCTGCCGGTGCCCGAGCGGGTCTGGGAGGACATCAACATGGACTTCATAGTGGGGCTGCCACTATCCGGTGGAAAGACCGTTTTGCTAGTGGTGGTGGACTGACTCACTAAATATGCACATTTCATGGCCCTGTCTCATCCTTACACCGCCATGAGCGTCGCTGAGCAGTTCGTTTGGGGAGTCATTCGTCACCACGAGTTTCCTCGATCGATAGTGAGCGATCGAGATGCCCTGTTCCTGGGAAGGTTCTGGAAGGAAGTGTTTGCTATGGCAAAAACGGAGCTGAAGATGAGTTCGGCCTACCATCCTCAGACGAATGGGCAGACAGAGGTGGTGAACAAAATTTTGGAGCAGTACTTGAGATGTTTTGCACATCAGCAGCCACTGCGATGGCTAGCCATGCTACCGTGGGCAGAACTATGGTATAATACCACCTATCACCGGTCTATTCAGATGTCGTCGTTCGAGGCTCTATATGGGCGGACGCCTCCGATGCTAGTACGGTATCAGTCCGGAAGGAGTGCAGTGGACGTGGTGGACAGGTGGTTAGCTGATGGGGATGAGGCGCTGCAATAGTTGAAGGCGAATTTGGCCGCCTCCAACAACAGGTTGAAGCAGCAGGCGAATTCGGGGCGGAGAGGGGAGGAGTTTGCAGTGGGAGATAGGGTCTTACTCAGGCTGCACCCATACCGGCAGACTTTCGTGTTTAAGAGAGCTTACCAAAAGCTCGCGGCTCGATATTTCGGGCCGTACTAGGTGCTTGAGAGGATCGGGGCAGTGGCGTATCGGCTGCAGCTACCAGACGCAGCCAGGATTCACCCCACATTTCATGTTTCACTTCTGCGC